ATACAAAATCCAATTTTTCCCCCAAAAGGTCAATAAAACTTCTCGCTATATGTAATAGTATATAACAAGACACTCTTGACCCAAATGCACTTTATTTTATTTTACTAGAAGGATTTTTTAATTTCTTCTATATATAGAACATAGATACGTTATGTATTATTATTATTATGCGAATAAAATCTTGTTTCACAGGTTTTTTTTGCGGCGGCGAAAAAAGGATAATTGTACTTTTTTGGAGGAGCGAGGGGAATTGGGAAAATTCAAAAAATTCTAGAATTCTAGTTGAGATGAGATCTTGAGATCGGGAAAATCGAATTTCAGATCAAAACTTGGAAAAATTCAAATCTTATCTTGACTTTTGTACTCTTTGTTTCAAAATCTGGCCGAGAATCCACGTGGAAACTTTCAATTTTCAACGCAATCAAAAAATCAACAAAGCAAAAAAAACAGCTAGCTTTTCTAGGAAAATCGCGGTTGGTCCAAAAACACTGGCTTAGCGCAGTCGGGTAGGCGCGCGGTTTTTGGTGAAAAGGTCGGGGGTTCGAGTCCGCATGCGCGCTGAAAATTTTTTTTTTTGATTTTTTTTCAAAAATTGACAAATTTCCAAGTGAATTTAAAATTCCGTGATTTGGGTTTCAAAAAAACCATGATTTGGTCTCAATTTTTCAAAAATGATAATAAATACCAAAAGCATGAAAAATATTTCCAGACAAAATCAATCAAGTTCTACGATTTTTTTTATGCCAGTGTGACCATATAGTTAAAAATATACCTACAGTACTACTCATTTTCTTCTTTTACTTGAAACAAAATATATATATAATTTGATAAGAAGAATCGAAGCGGTTGTAATAAACAACATGTACTTTTTCTTAGGCCAAAACCAAAACTGAACTGAACTTTTATGAAGAAAAAAAGAACACAAAAAACTGAGTTATGACGTGGCAAAATTAATTCAAATTAAAGTTAGCCTAAGTGGGCCTAAGCTTAACATTTTTGGTCTCCTAAAAGCCTGAAGCCTAGGAGCCCAGGCCCAACTTAGCCTAACTTTTCAAAAAATTTTGTAACCTTTTGTGTTCTCTCTCTCTCGAAAAAAAGTTCCAAGGTCAAAACCAGCCGTTTTTTCTTCATCTAAACAAAAAAACGTCTATTTTACACATATTTTTTGAGGTTCACCGTTCCAAAAAATATAGATAGCTACAGTACCCCACTAGCCTATCTATCTATATGGCAAATCTTTTTTCGCGCGGTTTTTTCAAGTTTTTCGCCCTCTCTCTCATTTATAATATGTTCCATTCCATTATGTGACAAAAAAAAAGAGAACGCAGCAAAAAATGGCTGGGGGTGACTGACTGTTATCATGATCATCTTTCATCAAAATCGGACAAAAAATCGGTTTTTTTGGGGGGGTTCGCAAGTTTTTTTTCGCGAATTAATAGGGTTTTGGGGGGATTTGGGTATTATTGAGGCAGACAAGGATTTTTGAAAAAATCGGATTTTGAGCATAGCTTCCGCATCTTCGCTGAAATTCCAAAATTCCAGCTGAAAATCGATAAATTCCAAATTTTCCTTGATTTTCAGCTAGAATTTCAGATTATACAGGGTGGAAACTAACTTTTTTAATTTTTCATTCAAAATTTGGGCATAGCTTCCGCATTTCTGCTGAAATTCCAAAATTCCAGCTGAAAATCGATAAAATTCTTGATTTTATCGATTTTCAGCTAGAATTTCAGATTATACAGGGTGGAAACTAACTTTTTTCATTTTTAATTCAAAATTTGGGCATAGCTTCCGCATCTTTGCTGAAATTCCAAAATTCCAGCTGAAAATCGATGAAATTATTGGTTTTATCGATTTTCAGCTAGAATTTCAGATAAAACATGCTAGAAATTAACTTTTTTCATTTTTAATTCAAAATTTGGGCATAGCTTCCGCATCTTTGCTGAAATTCCAAAATTCCAGCTGAAAATCGATAAATTTCTTGATTTTATCAATTTTCAGCTATAATTTCAGATTATACAGGCTAGAAATTAACTTTTTTCATTTTTAATTCAAAATTTGGGCATAGCTTCCGCATTTCTGCTGAAATTCCAGCTGAAAATCGATAAATTTCTTGATTTTATCAATTTTCAGCTATAATTTCAGATTATACAGGCTAGAAATTAACTTTTTTCATTTTTAATTCAAAATTTGGGCATAGCTTCCGCATTTCTGCTGAAATTCCAGCTGAAAATCGATAAATTTCTTGATTTTATCAATTTTCAGCTATAATTTCAGATTATACAGGCTAGAAATTAACTTTTTTCATTTTTAATTCAAAATTTGGGCATAGCTTCCGCATTTCTGCTGAAATTCCAGCTGAAAATCGATAAAATTCTTGGTTTTATCGATTTTCAGCTAGAATTACAGATCATACAGGCTAGAAATCAACTTTTTTTCATTTTTAATTCAAAATTTGGGCATAGCTTCCGCATCTCTGCTGAAATTCCAGCTGAAAATCGATAAATTTCTTGATTTTATCAATTTTCAGCTATAATTTCAGATTATACAGGCTAGAAATTAACTTTTTTCATTTTTAATTCAAAATTTGGGCATAGCTTCCGCATCTCTGCTGAAATTCCAGCTGAAAATCGATAAAATTCTTGGTTTTATCGATTTTCAGCTAGAATTACAGATCATACAGGCTAGAAATCAACTTTTTTCATTTTTAATTCAAAATTTGGGCATAGCTTCCGCATCTCTGCTGAAATTCCAGCTGAAAATCGATAAATTTCTTGATTTTATCAATTTTCAGCTATAATTTCAGATTATACAGGCTAGAAATCAACTTTTTTCATTTTTAATTCAAAATTTGGGCATAGCTTCCGCATTTCTGCTGAAATTCCAGCTGAAAATCGATAAAATTCTTGGTTTTATCGATTTTCAGCTAGAATTACAGATCAAACGACACGAAATCCCAAACCTAAAGAAAGAACGAAAAAAATAAGAGTGTATGTCAACACCGACTGCCCGCAAACACCAAATCCTACGCGCAACCTTGACGCGAAATACGCGCTGTCTGTTTTCGCGAAGAAGATTCTGGGGGTTTTTTAAATGGGAAACTCGCTCTATTGCGAATGGGTCTCGCAGCGATGACGTGGCGGCAATTTTGAAATTCAAAAATTGTGTTTGCACACTAAACGTGTACTGTCGACAAAAAACACGTGGATTTTTAGCGAGAAATACGGAATTTCCACGTGGAATTTTCAGCCAAAAAATGAAGAATTTCTAGATACATACAGACACATGTTCAGCGGAAAATCACAAAAAAAAAACAGATTCACGTGGAATTTTGAACAAAAAACTCCAATTTCTTGGCTTTTCTGCAAGACGTTGGAGTTTGAAAAACAACGATTTACACGGGGATTTTTTGACCCAACATGAGTCACGTGGAATTCAGAACAAAACTACAGCTTCTTGGCTTTTCCGCAAGAAGCTGGCAACAAAAAAAAACAATGAAAAATTAGAAATCCTCGGCATTTTTGTGATGTTCGATGACGGCTTTTGCTCTGAAAAAAATCGAGTTTTTTCTTTGGAAAATCGAAGTTTCTGATTTAACAATGAAATTTTGAGCATAGCTCCCGCACCCCATCTGAAATTCCAATTGAAAAATTTGAATTCCATCAATTTTCAATTAAAATTCCAGAACTTCTTTATCTTTGGTTAGAAAAACTCACCGAAAACTTCGATTTTTGTTGTTTTGTGCATGGTTTTCGAGTTTGTTTCTGCAAAAATTCTGATTATTCTTGAAAATAACGAATTTTCCCTGATAAAAATCCCAAATTTCCCTCTTCCTTGAATAATTCCACGTTTTCTTTTCAAAATTTTTCTTTGAAAAGCGAACCTCGATCTCTCCCTTCACAGTTTTTCCAACCAAATCAAGTCGACAAAGTCGAGAGTATAACCAAAAAGAGACTTAAGGTAACTCATGTCGAGGTTCCTGACAATTGCAATGGCTAATGTCCAACTTAAGAAGCTTCACTATCCAGAGTTAGGCTAAGTTGAGCTGTACTTTACTCCAGGAGAGACACGTGGATTTGTTCGAAGAGGGAAAGGAATTTAAGAGAGACCCAGAGAAAAAAACTCATCTGCCATTTTATTGCTCGCCGAAAATTTGAAATAACTGAAAAATTATTTTTGAAATTGCATTTGCCACGACAAATTTCACGTTCACGCAAAAATTGATTATTTTTTCTCTCTTTTTTAGCTTTTCACTACGGTAATATGCTATTTGTGCATTTGTGCGTCGCGGTGTTTACACACTATTTAGATAGTAATTTCAGCGGATTTTCAGCATGTTAGAGGCATTTTCAGAAAACGCTGAATATACCATCTGATTCGTCTCGTCGAGATGAGCCAGGAAAACTATTTACTTGTTTCTGAAGTGCATTTTTAAAAAAGTTATGGGCTGAAAATCAAATTCTGAACAAATCAAAGGCGCACACACATTTTCAGCTAGAATTCCAGATCATACAGGCTATAAATTAAAATTTTCATTTTTAAATTCAAAATTTGGGCATAGCTTCCGCATCTTTGCTGAAATTCCAGCTGAAAATCGATAAAATTCTTGATTTTATCGATTTTCAGCTAGAATTTCAGATCATACAGGCTAGAAACTAATTTTTTTCATTTTTAAATTCAAAATTTGGGCATAGCTTCCGCATCTCCGCTGAAATTCCAGCTGAAAATCGATAAATTCCAGATTTTCCTTGATTTTTAAGTCAAGAAAAATTTGAATTTTATCGATTTTCGGCTCGAATTTCAGAAGTTCTCATTTATTTTGTAAGATAAATGCTTACCGTTGCAAATTGTGGATTGTCCGTAGAGCGCATTTGCAATTTTTTGCGTGTCGAGACGCAGTTGCAGATTGCAATGTTCCTTTAAATTCTACCGTACCAAATTTATCACCAAAAACACAAACAATAATGAAACAAAATCCTAACTACTTAAATTCCTAGAACTTATTGTTGCACCATATTTGGTGGTGGGTGATAGAACAAATTCGAGTGAATGACATTTTCGGTGAGCGATGAGATGAGAGCCGGCTCGTATTTTCCATCAATTTTGAACGATTTGCCTTCGATGACAGCGATTTTTGACATTTTTTCCGTGACCTGAACGAAAAATGAATTAATTTCTTCCCAAAAAAATTAAATCTTATCTATTTTCTTTTTCAGATCAAAACTTGGGACTTTTACTAAATTACTCCTAATTTCGAAATCTGGCCAAGAATCCACGTGGAAACTTTCAATTTTCAATGTTCCGCGCAATCAAAAAAAAACAGCTAGCTTTTCTATGAAAATCACCCGCGTTCCAAAAACAGTGGCTTAGCGCAGCCGGGTAGGCGCGCGGTTTTTGTGGAGAAGGTCGGGGGTTCGAGTCCGCATGCGGGCTAACTTTTTTTTTCAAAAATTGATATTGAAGTGAAAAAAATGGATGATTTTCTTCCCAAAAAACCCCCGGAAACCCACATTTTCCAATTCGCTTCTCAACTCGGCTCGCTTCAATTCAGTGTCTCTTCGATGCTCCTCCAATTCCTTGTCATATTTCTCGTGCAACTCCTCCAATCGCGCCTCTTTCTCCTTCTCAACTCGCAATTTCAATTGAGCTTCAGCCCATGCTTTGCGCGTCTTAACATGAGTCATCTTTTTCGGAACATGGTAGGAGATTTTGAGGGATTTGATGGTGGTCTCGAAGGCCGCTTCGTTTTGCTCGCGAAGGATTCGAAGACACTTTCGACGTTCGTTGATTACGAGCCAGATTCGATGAGTTAGCCAGGTTGGTTTCTGAAAAATATGAGTGTAAACCCACGTGGCCGCTGAAGCGGTAGATAGTGCCGCTTACGCGGAAGCTTGCGGTTAGGACTCCTAACCTTCGAGCGGAGCGAGTGTAAACCGCAAGCTTCCGCTTCAGCGGCCACGTGGATAACTATGACGTGGCAAAAACTTTTTAAAAAAAACTGTAAACCAAGTTATAGTTATCCACGTGGCCGCTAAAGCGGTAGATAGTGCCGCTTACGCGGAAGCTTGCGGTTAGGACTCCTAACTTTCGAGCGGAGCGAGTGTAAACCGGAAGCTTCCGCGTACGCTGCACTATCTACCGCGTAAGCGGCCACGTGGATAACTATGAAGTGGCAAAAACTTGGTTTACAGTTTTTTTTAGTATAGTTATCCACGTGGCCGCTGAAGCGGTAGATAGTGCCGCTTACGCGGAAGCTTGCGGTTTACACTCGCTTCGCTCGAAAATTTAATTGTGTTCTCTGCGCTCTCTCAATTTTCCATTGTCTCTAATGAAAAAATTGATGCAGTGATTCACGAAATTAAAAAAAAATGTTTTTTAACGTTAAAAAAACCAAAAAAGTGATTCACCAACGGTATTTTTATTCATTTTTTCACCATTTTCTCAACACATTGAATAAAGTGAAGCTAAAGCGCATTTTAGTGTCCAGAAATGCTATTTTAAGACCTTCTAATCAGCCTAACAAGGAAACTGTTTCAAGATTTTTAATGAGATATATGTTTTCTAGTAGTTTTCGACCCGCTGATCACGGTCCCCCTGTCTAAAACTGCAAAACTCGACTCCTAACATGAGTTATTTTTGTAAGTGGCAAAGTTGGAAAATTTTGAAAAATTGGCATTTTGGAGGGTCCGAACCTTATGTAATCGAGCCTCCTTTGGACCCTCCAAAGTCCCAATTTTCCAACTTACAAAAATAACTCATGTTAGGAGTTGAGCTTTGCAGTTTTAGACAGAGGGATCGTGATCAGCGGGTCGAAAACTACTAGAAAACATATATCTCATTAAAAATCTCGATTAGGCTGATTAGAAGGCCTTAAAATAGCATTTCTGGAAACTAAAATGCGTTTTAGCTTCAATTTATTCAATGTGTTAAGAAAATGGTGAAAAAATGAATAAAAATACAGTTCCTAAATCACTTTTTTGGTTTTTTTTAACGTTTTCACAACTAACTTTCTCCGAAGTTTTCGCCATATCATTAACCAAAAGTGACCAATGTCGAATCAATGCTGTCAACCAAGCAATCTTCATTTCCAAACTATTCGAATCCAAAGAATGTTGTCGAACCGACTTAATCAAACTATTCTTCCATTCATGCGATAACTCTTTCCTTGTAGCCATTTCCACACTAAAAATCTTCTTCACCAATTCCGGCGCATTTTGCATCACATCCAAATCTTCATACTTTGAGCGTAGTTTAGTTTTGTCAATTTTCGGCAAACCAAACTCCTCTTTCTCCAAAATCAAATTATCAGCAGCTTTCAATCCCAAATCCCGTTCACTTCCGATTTTCTCGTAATAAAGCTTGGATAATGCATCAATATAATTCTCGTCCAACGGTAGACTTCTCGCTTTTTTCTCAAAATAATCGGGATCCTGTTTCGCTGGGTCATTCACCTTCTGATGGATGTTGTAGAAGGCGGTTCGACCTCTCTGAACTTGCGCAGAAGTATGGACAAATCTCCGAATCATCTGGAAACCTGATATGACTTGAGAAACGCGTTTGATTCGTTAACTCGTCAAAAACGGCAAAAAAGAAAATAAAATTCCTGTCTGCATTTGCGCGTCACCACGCCAAAATGCACACATGGCCTAGAAAGCCAACGTGGCCGAGTGTCATTTTTTTTGTTTTTTTCCGTTTTTCCACTTTGGCAGTGCGGCGCAACTAAATGGACGAAGAAAACGAGCAGATTTTGCTGAAAGAACGCTATAAATTACTGGAATGGACTTCTAGTGTCGAATTACGCACCCCAAATCTCTTGATACCTGTTCAAATCGCCAATTATGTGGAATCTCTGCCTTTTTGTAAATTTGCAGTTTCTCCGTGAGTTTTTCACCTGTTTTGGGGTTGAATTTTCATATTTTTTTGTTTTAGAAAATGCGACAGGATTGCTCTCATGTCCTACACTCGAATCCTGGATATCTACCTCCTAAACGGCGAAATCCTGGACCACGAATCATCGGTTCAAATCCTCGAAGAAAATTCCCCCGAATACTGCATCCTTCAATTCACCTCCTCCGGTCAACTCCTCTTATCCTCGAGAAGTACACCACATATCGATATTTTCGACAGTATGGGCGCTTATTGTTATGATATCCCCCTTGAACCTCATGAGCCGGGGATTTTTGATGTGATTTGTGCGATGCAGACAGTTTCTTTGGGAACATCAGCTGATAAATATAGTGAAATACTATACGTTCTTCAATATTCTGGAACCTTCTCCGCTTTTAAAATCAGCCGTCTCTCAAAATACACCAAACTTTGGGCGATTTCCCTGGAAATCGGGGCGGTTGGAACATTCCAAATCCTTCCCAAATACAATTTGCTATTAGTATCTTCACATTCCAATGACACGAAAAATCCAGGCCTTTGCTCTTTTCGAATGCTGGATTCCTATCCTTATGTAGAACCCATCAAAATCTCCTCAACATCCACCGATTCCACGTGGTTTTTCACGTGGAAACTACCATTTTCCACGTCTTCCATATCATTTCTGCCGAAAATGTCGGTTGGCGAACAATTTATGATAAGTGTCTCAACTTCTGGATCGCTTTTTCTTTTTGAGATTCCGTCGACGCGTTTGAAATTCGCTTTTAATTATATAAATGGTCCGAGACCCGTTGAAGCCTGTTTTGTGGATTTGGATGTAGGTTTTGAAAAACTGCTGAACTCACAAGGGAACTGTTTCAAGATTTTTAATGAGATCTATGTTTTCTAGTAGTTTTCGACGCGCTGATCACGATCCCCCTGTCTAAAACTGCAAAGCTCGACTCCTAACATGAGTTATTTTTGTAAGTGGCAAAGTTGGAAAATTTTTGCCACGTCATAGTTATCCATGTGGCCGCTAAAGCGGAAGATAGTGCCGCTTGCGCGGAAGCTTGCGGTTTACACTCGCTCCGCTCGAAGATTAGGAGTCCTAACCGCAAGCTTCCGCGTAAGCGGCACTATCTACCGCTTCAGCGGCCACGTGGATAACTATGACGTGGCAAAAATTTTCCAACTTTGCCACTTACAAAAATAACTCATGTTAGGAGTTGAGCTTTGCAGTTTTAGACAGGGGGATCGTGATCAGCGGGTCGAAAACTACTAGAAAACATATATCTCATTCAAAATCTTGAAACAGTTCCCTTGTTAGGGTCAGAAGAACATCCTAGAGATTTCTAGGACCTCTGAGCCAAGTTCTGGGCTCTCAAAAGTTATCATAACTCAATTTTCGATGATTTTTATGAAAAGCGTGGTCGATTTACCCAAAAACCATCAATAAATTGAATTTTCATGAATTTTCAGCCGAAAAATGAACATTTTTTCAAAAAATTTTGAATTTTTTTAATTTTTCGGCTGAAAATTCATGAAAATTTGATTTATTGATGTTTTTTGGGTAAATCGACCACGCTTTTTATAAAAATGATCGAAAATTGAGTTATGATAACTTTTGAGAGCTCAGAACTTGGCTCAGAGGTCCCAAAAGCTGTCTATGCACAAAATTTCATCAAGATTTGAAGTTTTGAGGAAAAAAGGAGCAAAGTTTGGTGATTTTACAAGGCTATAACTTAAAGCCTTGTAAAATCACCAAACTTTTCCACTTACAAAATAAATAACTCATATTTATAGTTGAATTCAGCAATTTTTGATAACAAAATCCATTTTTCTTTTAAAAAAATCCATTTTTTCTCCAGGAAATCGCAATAATTTATGATAATGGTGTGCTTCTTCGCTGTACAATCGATGAAATTGAAGAGAAAATGTTTTCAATGAAAATCCGGACTCCAGAAGATCTCGAAGACATCTACCCGGGTCAAACGATGCTCCAAACTCCAGCTCACCGAGAAATCTTCTTGTTATCAGCGGAAGGGGATAGTTCGATTTTCCGAGAAGCTGCTCACAAAAGAGTTCAACTCGCCGGACAACTTTGGTTCTATACGGTTTGGAATTCGTTGAAGAAATTGTGTGGAATGGCGATGGGTGAGAGTGCGGAACCGCTGCAAATGGCCACGCATTTGGCGAGATTTGAATTTGCGATACATCATTCGCCCACGAGAACTTTGCAGCAACTTTTTGATAGAACTGTGAGTGATTTTGATAGAACTAGAGTCTAGTTTTGGGGGAAAAGTGCTCATTTTGAGCTCGAAATTCAAGAAAAAGAGCTCAAAATTCAAGAAAATTGGAAATTTTGAAAAATCCATGGAAATTTCAAAACTATAGTCTAGTTTTAGGGGAAAAGTGCTCATTTTGAGCTCGAAATTTAAGAAAATTGGAAATTCGGAAAAATACGTTTCAAAAAATATTCAAATTTTTCATGACCAAATTTTTTTGTTAACAAATTTTTGGAGTTTGTTTCAAAAAAAAATCATACGAATAATTCTAGGATTTCTCAGAAATTTGTAGAAATTTCAAAACTATAGTCTAGTCTTTGAGCTAAATATCTAGAAAATCTGAAATTCTAAAAAAAAATTCAATTTTTTTCTGAAAAAAATTTTTTTGGAAATTTTTTGGGGCTGCTTTCAAAGAAAATTCATACGAATAATTTTAGGATTTCTCAGAACTTTGTAGAAATTTTTCAAAACTATAGTCTAGTTTTTGAGCTTAAAATTCAAGAAAATCTGAAATTTCAAAAAAATTTTCAATTTTTTTCTCAAAATTTTTTTTTTTGGAAAATTTTTGGGGCTGCTTTCAAAAAAAAATTCATAAGAATAATTTTAGGATTTCTCAGAAATTTGTAGAAATTTTGAAACTATAGTCTAGTCTTAGAATTTTTCAGGAGTTTATGAAAATACTCATTTTGAGCTCAAAATTCAAGAAAATCTGAAATTCTGAAAAATCCTTGGAAAAATACGTTTCAAAAAATTTTCAAATTTTTCATGACCAAATTTTTTTGTTAACAAATTTTTCGGGCTTGTTTCAAAAAAAAAATTCATATGAATAATTCTAGGATTTCTCAGAAATTTATAGAAATTTTGAAACTATAGTCTAGTCTTAGAAATCCTGAGAATACTCATTTTGAGCTAGAAATTCAAGAAAATTGGAAATCCATGGAAAAATACGTTTCAAAAAATATTCAAATTTTTCATGACTAAATTTTTTTGTTAACAATTTTTTTGGGGCTGATTCCTTCTAAAAAATTCATACGAATAATTTTAGGATTTCTCAGAAATTTGTAGAAATTTTTCAAAACTATAGTCTAGTTTTGAGCTCAAAATTCAAGAAAATCTGAAATTTCAAAAAAATTCGATTTTTTTCTGAAAAAAATTTTTTTGTTAGCAGTTTTTTGGGGGTTGTTTCAAAAAAATTCATAAGAATAATTTTAGGATTTTTCAAAAATTTGTAGAAATTTTTCAAAACTATAGTCTAGTCTTAGCTTAAAATTCAAGAAAATCTGAAATTCTGAAAAATCCTTGGAAAATTACGTTTCAAAAAATTTTCACATTTTTCATGAACAATTTTTTTTGTTAGAAGATTTTTGGGGGTTGTTTCAAAAAAAATTCATACGAATAATTTTAGGATTTCTCAGAAATTTGTAGAAATTTTTCAAAACTATAGTCTAGTTTTGAGCTCAAAATTCAAGAAAATCTGAAATTTCAAAAAAATTCGATTTTTTTCTGAAAAAATTTTTTTGTTAACAATTTTTTGGAGCTTGTTTCAAAAAAAAATTCATAAGAATAATTTTAGGATTTCTCAGAAATTTGAAAACTATAGTCTAGTTTTAGAAATCCTGAAAATACTCATTTTGAGCTTAAAATTCAAGAAACTCTGAAATTCTGAAAAATCCATGGAAAAATACGTTTCAAAAAATATTCAAATTTTTCATGACCAAATTTTTTGTTAACAATTTTTTTGGGGCTGATTCCTTCTAAAAAATTCATACGAATAATTCTAGGATTTCTCAGAAATTTGTAGAAATTTTTCAAAACTATAGTCTAGTTTTGAGCTCAAAATTCAAGAAAATTGGAAATTCTGAAAAATCCATGGAAAAATACGTTTCAAAAAATATTCAAATTTTTCATGACCAAATTTTTTTGTTAACAATTTTTTTGGGGCTGATTCCTTCTAAAAAATTCATACGAATAATTCTAGGATTTCTCAAAAATTTGTAGAAATTTCAAAACTATAGTCTAGTCTAAGAAATCCTGAAAATACTCATTTTAAGCTTAAAATTCAAGAAAATCTGAAATTTCGAAAAAAAAATTCAATTTTTTTCTCAAAAATTGTTTTTTGGAAATTTTTTGGGCTGCTAAATTCATAAGAATAATTTTAGGATTTCTCAGAAATTTTGAAACTATAGTCTAGTCAAATGTTTTGGAAACTATAGTCTAGTTTTGGACTCAAAATTCAAGAAAAATGGAAATTTCAAAAAAAATTCAATTTTTTTCTCAAAAAAATTTTTTGGAAATTTTTTGGGGCTGTTTTCAAAAAAAAATTCATACGAATAATTTTTGGATTTCTCAGAAATTTGTAGGATTTTCAAAACTATAGTCTAGTCTAAGAAAATCTGAAAATACTCATTTTGAGCTCAAAATTCAAGAAAATTGGAAATCCATGGAAAAATACGTTTCAAAAATTTTCAAATTTTTCATGACCAAATTTTTTTGTTAACAAATTTTTGGAGTTTGTTTCAAAAAAAATTCATACGAATAATTCTAGGATTTCGCAGAAATTTCAAAACTATAGTCTAGTCTAAGAAATTCTGAAAATTACTAATTTTAAGTGTAAAATTCAAGAAAATTTGAAATTTCAAAAAAAAAATTCAATTTTTTTTCTGAAAAAAAAATTTTTTTGGAAATTTTTTGGAGCTGCTTTCAAAAAAAATGCATACGAATAATTTTAGGATTTCTCAGAAATTTGTAGAAATTTTGAAACTATAGTCTAGTCTTGAAATTCCAAAAAAAACCGAAATTTTGACAAATTCCAAGAAATTTGTAGCTAAAGTCTAGTCTTTGAGCTCTCAAAAACCCCCGGAATTTTTTCAAAACTATAGTCTAGTTTTAGAAATTTCAGAAACTTTTTTATTCATTATTAAAGGCAAAAGTGCTCATTTTGAGCTTGAAATTCCAAAAAAATCCGAAATTTTGAAAAATTCCCAGAAATTTGTAGCTAAAGTCTAGTCTTTGAGCTCTCAAAAATCCCAGGAATTTTTCTCAAAACTATAGTCTAGTCTCTCGAATATTCAGGAACTTCTGTATTATTGAAGTTTTGAAGGCAAAAGTGCTCATTTTGAGCTCAAAATTCCAAAAAAAATCCCAGAAATTTGTAGCAATTTTTAAAAAAAACTATAGTCTAGTCTTGAAAATAATCATTTTGAGCTCTCAAAACTATAGTCTAGTCTCTCAATTATTTTTTGCAGCTCATCGAACACGATTATACGCGAGCTCGCGAGCTCGCCACAAGTTACGATACCATCGACATCGACATTGTTCTCAAATCCGAATGGCTCGAAAAATCCGCACAAAACCTCGTGAAAATCACCGATGTTTCTGAAATTTTGGCACAAATTCGAGATCTTCAATGGGTTCTGGAGCAATGTATCAATGTGAATTCGGAGAGTTTTGAAGTTCAAAAAGCGCTGATTGAATTGGGATTGGAGATTCAGGAGGAAGATCAAGATCAACTTCTACATCATCAAAGAATTTTGGAAGTTTGTAATAGTGATCTGGAGATCTACCTAAGGATCAGGAATCGAAGCATTTTGGAGGCGGCGATTTATTTTGCGAATTGTTCGGATTTCGAACTACTATATCGAATTATTGAGAAAAATCAGGAATGTCTCCGAAAACATCAGCGGAAGATCTTGTCAGCTATACCTTCGTGTGTTTATCCCACAAAATATGAGCATTTTCTACCCAAAAAGCATGGGGAACAATGGGAGATTGATTTGCTACAGGATCATCACCAGGAGAAGCGGAACACCTCAATTTGGAACGCGGAAGGTGTTGCGGAAGACGCGGAAGGTTGGGATTTCATCGAATGGATTCACGAGACCACGCGGAAGATCGATTTCGAGTGCGGAATCATTGCGAATTCTATCGGGCTCTTGAGATTGTGTGCGGAACGCGGATGGCATGCGGAATTGCGGGAGGAAATCGAGAAATGGGAATTGTATGCGGAATACACGCGGATTTGCGCGAGTATTGCGGAGAGTTTGGCGAGTTTTGAGAAAGCGAGTGTGGAGGATTTTGTCGGCAGATTTGGAATGGTGAGAGTTTGATTTTTGGGCTCCAAAATCTACAGTAACCCTATGGAAAATTGTGAATTTTTGGGCTCAAAATCTACAGTAACCCTATGTAAAATTGTGAATTTCTGGGCTTAAAATCTACAGTAACCCTATGTAAAATTGTGAATTTTTGGGCCCAAAATCTACAGTAACCCTATGTAAAATTGTGAATTTCTGGGCGCAAAATCTACAGTAACCCTATGTAAAATTGTGAATTTCTGGCCTCAAAATCTACAGTAACCCTATGTAAAATTGTGAATTTCTGGGCCCAAAATCTACAGTAACCCTATGTAAAATTGTGAATTTTTGGGCGCAAAATCTACAGTAACCCTATGTAAAATTGTGAATTTCTGGGCTCAAAATCTACAGTAACCCTATGTAAAATTGTGAATTTTTGGGCCTTAAAATCTACAGTAACCCTATTTAAAATTGTGAATTTCTGGCCTTAAAATCTACAGTAACCATATGTAAAATTGTGAATTTCTAGGCCCAAAATCTACAGTAACCCTAGCCTAATTTTATCTGAAAATATCGATTTTTTTCTGGGGAAAGCTTGAAAATTTTAATATCGTGGGCAACGACAAATTTCAATATCAATTTTAATTTTTCAAAATTTTTAATCTAAAAAATTTGAAACGTATTTTTTGCGGAATTTTTTTGGCTTTTAAAAATATGGATTTCTAGGCCCAAAATCTACAGTAACCCTATGTAAAATTTGAAATTCAAAATTCGAAAATTTTGATAGCGAAAATCCACGTGGCAAAATTTGAAATTCGAAAAATTTGAGAGCGAAAATCCACGTGGCAAAAATTGAAATTCAAAAATTTTGAGAGCGAAAATCCACGTGGCAAAATTTGAAATTCAAAATCTACAGTAACCCTAGATTTTCCAGCCTAAAATCTGAATTTTCCAGCCTAAAATCCGAATTTTTTGCAGCTTCTCGAATCTGAACTCATCAACAATGCTTTTTCTATCATAAATCTCATTGAATATAAAATTTCGCAAGATCCAGAATCCGAAAAAATTTCAAAAATCGAAAAAACGATGACAAATCTGATGTGTCAAACCAACGAAAAATCCACCAAAGTTCTGGCAGAATTTCGGCGAATTCGCCCGGATTTAATCAGTGATCGTGTAGTTTTGGAATGTTTAATGAATATGACAACAACTGGAGGAGATTTATTAGGAAATCTGACAGATTTTGAAGGATTTTTGGACTATGAGAATATCACATCGGCACTGAATTCGTTGATGTCAAGAGGTGTGAAAATGACGTTTAAGGCGATTTTTGAGAGTATGAAAGAGCCGTGAGTTTGTTTTTTTTTGGAAAATTCTGATTAAAACTTTAGAAAATTTTTCAAAATTGTGAATTTCTAGGCTCAAAATTATGATGAACTGATCGATCAATTTTGATTTTTTGAAAATTTTTAATCTAAAAAAATTGAAACGTATTTTTTGCGGGAATTTTTTCGAAGCTAAAATTGTGAATTTCTAGGCCCAAAATTTACAGTAACCCAGGGTTAAAGGTGGAGTACGAGGAAAAAACAAGTTTCAATCATTCCCGGGTTCTTACTACACTTTGGAAATGTCCGTTTACTAAAAAAATTGCGAAAAAAGAGCATCGGAGAAAAAAACAAAGAGAAACAGCAGTCGGCATTTTCGCATGTAGTGGGCAAACGCGCTCTAGCGAACAAGTGCGAAATTCAAATTTTTAGCAAATAATTTTTGTTTTTTTTTTTGTTTTTTTCAGTTTGAAGTCATATTTACGAGTATTTTACAGCCAAAGAACGATGAACGATCATTTTTGCACATACTGTGGTCTGAAAGGAAAGTATTTCGAAATGAAAGCAGTAACAACGAGTAAGAAGCAATTGGAAAAATGGATTGAAAAATTGGGAGTTGATTTTGCGAAAAATGTAAGAATGTATGGTCGCCCTTACATTTGCCGATCTCATTTTGTTAGAGATAGTTTTGGACGTGTCCCAGCATTGGCATTACCAAAACCTCTGCCATTCTCCTCAAACTTTGCTGAAAACGTGGTTATGACAAATTCAACTTCGAAATCAGACAAAGAAATTGCGGTTGCTCCAACTTCGAAATCGGACAAAGAAGAAGCGGTTGCTCCAACTTCGACATCATACAAAGAAGAAGCGGATGTATCTGAAGTTGTAGAAATTCAAGAAAAAACCGATGATGATGAAGATTTATCAAATTTGTCAGATGAAAGCGGATATGATTTGATTCAGCAACAAGTCGAGGCGGTAAAAGATCCGAATTATCAACCCAGCACTTCTGAATATCGACAAATTTTGGATGATGAAAGTTTTGATAATGATTTTGACCAGACAGTCGACGAGAAGGAGTCAGATATCGATTTTGTGCTCGTCTCTTTTCAACTTTTATTGCCCTTGATTTTAAAATGCTACAGTTGCTTTTCAATTGCAAATTACAAACTGTCGAAATTCGGAGCTGTTTTGACATTTGATTGCACGTGTGAATGTAGCAGGACTTGGAGATGGTCTACCAGCCAGAAAGTGAAGAAAAACGACAATACAAGTTCGAAAAGATTTGAGCTGAATGTTTCTTTGACAACGGCCGCTGTTACAATCGGATTATCGTATTCGGTATGTTTTGAATCTTTATAACTAGAAAAAAAATGAAATTCGATTTTTTCAGAATATCATGTCAATCTTCAGCGTAGTCAAAGCACCATTTATTTCAAAAACCACTTTTTATGAAACCAGAAGGCTTGGAGTCGTACCAGCGATCAATAAGGTTTTCATGGAGCAGAGACAAAAAATTATCAAGATTTTAAAACAAATCGTAAGTTTTTTTGTGAATTTTGCTTTTCTGAAATTTGTAAAAAAAAAAAACGCCAACACAAAAATTTCGGAAATTGTGATAAAACTTTGATAATGTTTGCCTCTAATTTCCCAGAAAAACTAACTCATCAAAAAACTGAAACAGTTTTTAAAAATTATTCAAATTGAGGAGAAAATATTGAAATTTTACTAAAATATAATCTTTAATCATAAAAATGACGTGAAATGAAAAAGTGTTATTTCTTACAATTTAGAATATTCCGATTGATGCGGCTGGTGATGGAATGTACGATTCTCGCGGTTATTGCGCATTCTGGTGCCGGTACATTATCATTTGCACGCTCACAAAGTTCGTTTTACATTACAAAAATGTGAGGAAAACAGCAGGAAGTGAGTTTCAAACCAGAAAAATCGAACAATTTTTCAAATTTTATAGAAGGATCAAAAGGACTGGAACCTATTGCTCAGTCACAGTGTTTGTCGGAATTGGTTGATATGTTGAAGGAAACTTTCGTTAATGTAGATCCAATTCGAAGTTTGACGACTGATCGCGATTTAGCTGTGGCTGCAAACATGAAAAATCAGTTTCCAAAAATCATTCATCGATTTGATCTATGGCATCTTATCAGGAATCTCACTATGGACATTTGGCCGAAGAAAGATCAGAAGCAGATGATTCCAATTAAACCATGGATTCAGGCAATTATTAATAATGTATATTCGTCCATTCAAAATTCCGGCGGAGATCCAATAATTGCGAGAGAATTGGTTATGTCAAGCTTCGCACATTGTCTCGATCAACATTCGAATTTCCAAAATATCACATGGTACAAATTCACCAAAGTGAATCAATGCCGGCATTCTCCAACTTCAACAAGTCACGTTGGATTTTTGAATCCTAATAATGTGAAGGATATGAAAGCTTGGGAAGCTTTGAGAAAAATTTTTGTGAAGGGAAATCGATTGAATGATATTGGTCAAATTTCGGCACATTTTATGACAAGTGAATGCGAGAGCTTCAACGCATTATCGAAAAAATATGCGCCCAAAGATAAATATTTGTGGGTTTTTCTTTTTGAGATTGCAAATTTTTAAAAATTCAGTAGCAAATTCTACAAAACTTGACATTCAAGAATTTCCCTACATTTTATCTCGAATGCTTGAAATCCATATGAATTTCAGCCCGAAAAATATGAAAATCTAAAGCCTGAAAAGTATGACACTAAAAAATGTAGGACAGTTTTAAAATTAAAAGTTTGACTGTAGCTAATTATCAATTTTTTACAGTAGCTCACATGAAACTACAACACGACTAGCAGTTCTTCACTGGAATCATTTAAAAATTGAAGAATTGGAGGGAAGAAGGACTGTGATCGGTGGGAAAAGCTCGATGAACAAAACAAAACAGCAAAAACGAGTCAAAAAGATGAAATCACCGTCTGACCACTCTTGGAGAATCGAAATCAAAAACGCAGCACTTTCAATTTTTGGTAAGTTTTTTTTTACTTCTAACATTCAGTGAACATATTTTTCCAGGTGAAGAACTTTCAAAGAAGTCGAATAATTTGCAAGAAGAGGAAAAAGAAGAATCCAGTGACGAAGAATTTTCTTTAGAGAATTTGACCGACAAAGATTACTTTGAAAAAAGGGTGAGTTAATATCTTTTTTTCAAATTTCAATCGAAATGATCGTGATTTTTTAGCTTCAGCAAGTTTTCGACGAATTCGAATCAAGTTCAGAAAAAAGCGAAAGCGATAGTGATGCAGAAGAATCAGATGAACCAGATGAAGCTGATTAAATCTTTTTCTTTTATCTATCTAAAAACTGTTCAATGTTCTTTTTTTCTAAAAACTCGTCAATTTTCTTTTATTTTTCACTTTTCTTTTATTTATCTAAAAACGTTTCAATGTTCTTTTTTTTCTAAAAACTCGTCAATTTTCTTTTATTTTTCACTTTTCTTTTATTTATCTAAAAACGTTTCAATGTTCTTTTTTTTCTAAAAACTCGTCAATTTTCTTTTATTTTTCACATTTCTTTTATTTATCTGAAAACTGTTCAATGTTCTTTTGTTTTCTAAAAACTCTTCAATTTTCTTTTTTTTTTCTAAAAACTCTTCATTTTTATTACAATAATTTCATGATTAAATCCCATAAAAGAAATTATCAATCACAATCATTCTCATAATTAAAAGTGAAACCAGATAAAAAACCGGTGTAGCTGGAGGATGGCCATTTTTCTCGAACTCTTTTGATGATGCAAGCAGGCAATGGCAACCTTTTCTTTTTCAGTTTCAAGTTGAGATCCGCAACAAACATTGAATATGAGTAAAATCGGTAATTCCTATAATAAACTCTTATGAATTTTAGAAAAAAACTAGATTGACTCACGTTGGTTTCCAAGAATTATCATCAATTCCCAATCCAAACTTATATCCAGTTTTGAACACTTTCAAAGTCTGAAATAATACATTAATTCATTGTTTTCCTGTACAGAACCCACTTCCTCGTCCAAATATTTTTCGAAATTATCACAATCAACAATACATCTGTTGTGTTCACCCTTCCAAAATTTCTCTTCGAGTTTTTCCGACACCAATTTTCCTATGTTCGCTTGAAATTTCACATTTGATGGGAATATACTCGCGCAGCAATATTCCATGTCATCCAAATTATTACATTTACCACATAAACATGTTGCCTCGTATTCTTTAAACAACTTTTTCAGGCATTTTTTAGAATCTTCAATCTCTCGTTCGTTCATCAATCTACGGTGCTTTTCCATCTCCTCCAGTGTTGGGTCAAATTCACATTCTCCGCGCGTGTTCTTCAATTTCGTTTCCATTTAAAAGAGCTGAAATTTTGAATTTTTTGAAAAAACAAATAAAAAATAAAAAAAAAACACGAGAGACGTTTTTTTTTCTGTTGAAACATTGAGAGGGGGAAAAGAAAAAAATTGTCGTCATGTTTGATGCCTTTGCGTACTTCCAAACATCACAAACCGCATATTTTTGCAGAGCGTTTTTTTGAGACTTGTCGAACCACACCTTTAAATAGGATTTTTCTGAAATGCTGAAAATCCGGTCTGAAAATGCTCTATTTTTTCAAATTTCAAAATCTCATCTTTCTGGTTTTGACCAGGATTTTCAGCCAAAATTCAAAATTTTTAGAAAAATCTGAAAATATCATCTTGAAGCCCTTGAAATTCTCTACAAAATTCATGTTTTGTCAAAAAATTAGAATTTTTCTGAAATGCTGAAAATCCGGTCTGAAAATGCTCTATTTTTTTCAAATTTCAAAATGTCATCTTTCTGGTTTTGACCAGGATTTTCAGCCAAAATTCAAAATTTTTAGAAAAATCTGAATTTTTTCCGGAATTTTTTTGGCTGTGAAAAAAAATGGTTTTCTAGGCTCAAAATCTACAGTAACCCTAGCCTAATTTTATCTGAAAATTTGAAAATTTTTCAAAATTTTTAATCTAAAAAATTTGAAACGTATTTTTTCCGGATTATTTTTGGCTATTAAAAAAATGGTTCTCTGGCCTTAAAATCTACAGTAACCTTACATTTTTCAAAAAAAAAACATTTTTTACAGCGACGGAGCAAAACGAGTGCTCATAAAACTCTCGCGAAGTGGACACTGTGAAAATCTAGAAGATTGGAGTTTATTACGAGATGATGTGCTGGAAATGGCCGAAGGGATTTATGGAGATTTAGTAACTCGAGAAGAAGCTCTTGAACTTGTCGCCAAAGAAATCTTGGAATCCGAAAGACCCGAATTCATGGATCTTGTTCTGACGTTGAATCCAAGGGATCCAATTTCAGACAAAAAATTGAGCGCGAAAAAATCTGGCGAAGTTCTACTATCGAAATCTGAAGATCTAATGTCGGAAGCGACTCATAAAGATGATCCGCTATTGGGAAAATCCCGATTTTTTGCGATTTCAGCCAGGGAAATATCTGGAAATCCAGCAAAAGATCAGCTAAGATGGTTGGATGCGATTGAATTGGCTCAAGAACTTGGTTGTACAATTATGCCGATTGCGATTAAATTTGCGGATCATGAGCAATTATTACATGATTTAGTGCATATTGGAGCGAATTATAAGCTGGGGAAGAAGTTAGCGAAACTTGCGGTGCTACTAGAAATTACGACGCCGGTTGCGACGGCGTTGTCGCTTTGCGCATTGGCTGCGTTGAATCATAATGATGATGTGTATTTGGGGAAGTATATTGGGGAAGTTATTAGGAAGACGAAAGGATTGGCGGTGGTTCATGAGTTGTGTATGAGGATTATTTTGAAAGAGGAATATGTGGTGCCGGTGGTGAGCATTTTTGAATTGGGAAAATTTTTATTGAAAATTTCAAAACGTAAAATTTCCGGGAAATTTTTGAATCTCAAAAAATCTGGATTTTTCAGGACCTGAAATTCAGGCTTAAAATCAACCTGGGCTTTTTTCGGAAAAATTAACCTGGTTACTGTAAAATCCTGATCCTTTAAAAAGGTCCTAGGATACTGTAGTATATTTTTTAAAGTAGACGATTTATTTTTTCACAAAATTTTGAATTTCAAATTTTGCCACGTGGATTTTCGCTCTAAAAATTTTGAATTTCAAATTTTGCCACGTGGGTTTTCCAAAAGCCTGGAATTACTGTAGGGTATTTTCAAAGGCGCATGATAATATTCCTATGTTCCTTTAAAATACCTATTGGTTACTGTAGTAGTTTTGTGAACCCTGTTCCTTTAAAAATGGACTAGGTTACTGTAGAGAATTTTTTTTAAAGGTACAAGCTTCATTTTGCTAAGTTTTTTGGGTTACTGTAAACTTTTTTCAAAATTTTTATAATGAGAAAATTTCGAAACGTAAAATTTCCGGGAAATTTTTGAATCTCAAAAATCTGGATTTTTCAGGCTGAAAATCTACAGTAACCCTGGGCTTATTTGGTATCAAAAAATCAGAATTTTCATCTGAAAATTTGAAAATTTCAATTTGGCGCTTAAAAATGAGTTATGACGTGGCAAATGAGCAATTTTTTGAGATTTTTCAACGAGAAAAAATTTCTATTGAAAATTTGTATGCTGTGCCCGAATTCTTTGATTAATCATTTTGAAATTCATAGAAACAAAATTTAAAAAATTTCAAAACGTAAGATTTCCGGGAAATTTTTTAATTAAAAAAAAAGGAAATTATCGGCTTTATTTTTTCTGGAAAAAATCAGTTTTTTGTGCAAAATTTGTCGTGGAAATGTGCAATTTTGAGCATTTTCCGATAAAAAACTGAAATTTTCATCCGTTTCAGGCTGAAAATCGAGGGAAAATCAGATCTTTCAGTAATTCTTGCTAAATAGACCTTCCTCAGTTTCCCAGAAGCTGTGATCCTTTAAAATTGGCCTAGGAATACTGTAGGTTATTTTCAAAGGTACATACTTTATTTTCCTCTGGTTACTGTGTTATTTTTTCAATCTCCTCTTGAAGCTGAAAAATCTCGAAAAATTGCTCATTTGCCACGTCATAACTCATTTTTAAGCGCCAAATTGAAATTTTTATGTTTTCAGATGAAAATTCTGATTTTTTGAGACCAAGTAAGCCCAGCGTTACTGTAGATTTTAAAAAATACCTAGAAGTACTGTAGGGTTTTTACTGGTTACTGTAGTTTTTCTATATTTCTACTGGTTACTGTAGTTTTCCCTATTGGTTACTGTGGAGTATCTTTTTAAAGGCACATACTTCATTTTGCTAATTTTTTTCGGGTTACTGTAAAATCCTGATCCTTTAAAAAGGTCCTAGGATACTGTAGCTCATTTTAAAGGAACATGCTAATTTTTTTTGATCTTTTGAGGATTCCTAGGAGTACTGTAGGGAATTTTTAGGCTTGAAATATCTTGATTTTCTTCAGGACATGGCTGATATCTACTCGTGTGCTATGAATAATTGCAACGAAAAAAATATGATGGAAACTCTTGACGCCATCGCTGAAAATGAACGAATTCTCGCTGAAAATGCTGAAAAACACCGAAAATCCGCTGAAAATCTGCCAATTTGTCAACTTTTCACACCAGATTCAATGTATTGCACAGTGGATTGTTATAAATCGAAAAATATTCCGAAACTCGACCCGAAATTGTACAAAAAATCGGGAAATCTGAAGAAATTGATGGCCTACGAATCGTCGAGTTTGGCTATGTGTTTGTCACTTTTTCAGGCTGAAAATTTGGCTGAAAATCAAGAATTTTGGACAGAAAATGAGAAGTTGAAGAGATATGAGAAGAGTTTGAGGTTTTTCGCAGGGAAAGGCGTCCCGATGGAAATTTTGACTAAAATTGCGCCGATGAAGGTTATTAATGCGGCCAATCAGAATGATCGAAGTTTGACAGCAATTGATCGAATTGAGGATTATGGTGAGGAGGGTTTTGGGGCTGAAAATGCTGAAAATTTGGAATTTTACTGTTAAAAAATGCTCAAAATTGCATAAATCTACAGTAATCCTGGGCTCAAAAAATCAGAAATTTCAAAAATTTCAATTTGGAAAGTTTAAAAATGAGCTACAGTATCCTAGGATCTTTTTAAAGGATCAGGATTTTAGCAAAATGAAGCTTGTACCTTTATAAATACTCTACAGTAACCAAAAGGGAAAGCTACAGTAACCAGTAGAAAAAAAGCATTATCATCATGCGCCTTTGAAAATCAATACATTTTTGAAATGTATTTTTTCATGGAATTTTTTTTTCATAAATCTACAGTAACCCTGGGCTTATTTGGTCTAAAAAAATCAGAAATTTCATCTGAAAATTGAAAATTTTGAATTTGCCGCTTTAAAATTGAGTTATGACGTGGCAAATGAGCAACTTTTCCAAATTTTCGAGTAAAAAAACACAGTAACCCGAGAAAAATAAAGTATGTACCTTTGAAAATAACCTACAGTATTCCTACAAATTTTCAGAAGTCCAGAATTACTGATTTTCCCCCGATTTCCAGCCTGAAACGGATGAAAATTTCAGTTTTTTCAACGGAAAATGCTCGAAATTTCACATTTCCACGACAAATTTTGCACAAAAAACTGAAAAAACCAAAAACTAGCGTTGAAAAATTTGAAAAACCTGAAAAATCTGATTTTTTGAAACCAAATAAGCCCAGGGTTACTGTAGATTTTAACGTGAAAATTTCCCGGGAAAAAATACGTTTTGAAAATTTTTTGAATAAAAATTTAATTTGATGCTTGCATTACTTGACGCTGTTGTATTTTTTTAGTTGAAAAATCTTGAAAAATGGCTCATTTGCCACGTCATAACTCAATTTTAAAGCGGAAAATTCAAAATTTTCAATTTTCAGATGAAAATTCTGATTTTTTGATACCAAACAAGCCTAGGTTGATTTCAGCCTGAATTCCAGGTCCTGAAAAATCCAGATTTTTTGAGATTCAAAAATTTCCCGAAAATTTTACGTTTTGAAATTTTCTCAATTTTGTTTCAATGAATTTCAAAGCAATTAGTTAAATACCCAATAATTAGTTAAATTCCTACTAATTACTAATACTAATTAACAGGATGCGATAAAAGTTAGAAAACCACTAAATTGCTCATTTGCCACGTCATAACTCAATTTCAAAGCGGAAAATTGAAAATTTTCAATTTTCAGATGAAATTTCTGATTTTTTGAGACCAAATAAGCCTAGGTTGATTTTAAGCCTGAAAAATCCAGATTTTTTGAGATTCAAAAAATTTCCCGAAAATTTTACGTTTTGAAATTTTGTATATAAAATTTTGAAAAAATGAAGTGATGCTTTTCGACAATTTTTATGTTCTGAAATTTATCATATACACAATAATTAACAGGATGCGATAAAAATCGATTCATTGGAGATCGTCAATATCGAGATGATGCAATTGTTGGCCTAGCAATGACTGAAAACGACCAACAATTCCAAGATGCCATCGAACTTGCTCAAAAATACGAAATCGATGATTGGCAGCTTCATATGGCTTCACTGGAAAACGCGATTTCCATGCTACCAATTCCAGAAGTCAAGCAAATCATCAAAAATCGACAACATCTCGTGAAACTTCGACAAAATCTCGATCTTTTTCATTCAACACTTCGCCATGCAGTTCTACCGCTTCTTGGGACTAATGAGCAGTTTTTCGCGTATTGCTCACTGTTTTCGGAGCAAGAAGTGGAGAAAAAAGCGGTGGGAGTTGTGAGGAAAATTGTGGAGAAGCGGAAGGAGGCGCGGGCCCCGAAAATGTGGCAAGATGCCAAATATCTAGCTGGAATTCTTATCGGGATTCCTGATAAGATTCTGTGGAGTATTGTTGAGATGGTTCAGTTGATACCGGTTGGAAAAGTGGCGTGTGAAATTGCGGCGCGAGAATTGTTGGATGGAAATGAGGTCAGACCGCCTGGACATCCGCTAACTATTTGGTTGTTGGTTGGAGAGGATTTGGAAGAGTTTGTGGAGATTGTGGCAGTGAAAGCGGTGAGGGATTTTTTGGGGGGGGGGAAATTTAAAAAAAAAATTTGAAAACCTGAAAATTTCAAATTCAAAAATCTGAAATTCAATTCAAAGTTTAGGATTTTTTTCCGAAAAGTTCAGGATTTTTGAAATTTTTGAAATTCTGGATTTTTCTCAAAAAAAATACAAATTTCTATCAGAAAATCTGAAATTCATCCTAAAAATTTGGATTTTTCTCAAAAAAAACAAAATTTGAAATTAAAAAACTTCGATTCAGAAAATGTCAAAAAACTATATTTTTTTCCTATTTTTTCATTTTTGTGTGGAAAAAAATTTCAAAAAATCGGAAAAAAAAATAGTTTTTTGACTTTTTCTGAATCGAAATTTTTTGTCGAAAAATTTTTTTAAAATTATTTTTTTTTCGACTTGAAAATTCACTTTGAAATTCAAGATTTTTTCGAAGAAAAAACACAAATTTCTATTAGAAAATCTGAAATTCAACCTGAAATTCAAAAAATTGAATTTTTTGGAAGAAAAAAATTAATTTCAAAATTTTATATTGAAACATCTGAAATTCATCCTGAAATTTTGGATTTTTTGAAGAAAAACAGATTAAATTTATGATTTCATCTAAATTTTCGACCAAAATTCGAGAAAAATCAAAAATTTCGGGCCGAATTAGGCCCGAAGCCTGAAAAACCTCAGATTTCAAGTCTGAAATTTGAGGAAAAGCTCGAATTTCAAGCCTGAAGCCTGAAAATTATGGAAAAAACCCCAAATTTCGAGAAAAATTAAATTTTCGACCAAATTTCAAGAAAAATCCAAATTTTTGGGCTCATATTTATTTAGGATTTTAAAAATCAGGAAATTTTCAAAAATTAAAAAAATCCCTTTTTTTTCCCAAGTCTGAAAAAAAAGGATTTTTTTTCCGAAAACATTTTTCAGGGAAAAATTAATTTCAAAATTTTTCTTTCTTCAAAAATTATCAAATTAAAAATTTCTATTAGAAAATCTGAAATTCATCCTGAAATTTTGGATTTTTCTCAAAAAAAAACGATTAAATTTGAAATTAAAAAACTTCGATTCAGAAAATGTCAAAAAACTATATTTTTTCCTATTTTTTGACATTTTTTTTCATTTTTGTGTGGAAAAAAATAGGAAAAAATATAGGTTTTCAACATTTTCTGTATCGAAATTTTTTTCAAAAAAAATTTTTTAAAATTTTTTTTTCTAATTGAAAATTCATCCTAGAAATTTGGATTTTTCTTTGCAAAAAAAATTTGAAACTAATTTCCAAAAGCCTGAAAATGGCTGAAAAATTCCAATATTTTCTCACTATGGAAAAGTTACCCTAACTTCTTGAATCAAAAATCTGAAATTCAATTTTTTTTCAGCGCGAAGATGAAATTGCCTACCTGAAAAACGCTCTGATCCTCCTGGAAGCCACCCCGAAAACTCCCAAAATTCTAATTGAAGCTCTAAAAGATCGTGTTGAAAAAATGGAAAGATCCACAATTTCACCGGAAAATCAGGGATTTGGAGCGCAAAATGAGACGGGAATGAAAATGCGAAGAAAAAATTAGAATTTTTAAATTTAAAAATAATTATTATGTGATTTTTTGAGTTTTGGGTGCTTTTTAGTCATAAATTCCGATTTTATTTTATTTTTTCCCTTTTTTTTGTTTCAAAAAGCTTCCGAGTTATCATAATTCCTCGGTGAGAATATTTATTATTTAGCCTAAGTCTAGAATTTTTCAGATTTGATTTTCAGATGCCCGAGGATTCAGATGAGTGGCTGTGTTCCAGCAGTCATCAGCCAAAAATGGAGGAAATTCAGAGGAGAGGCGAGAAAATGAGGAAGAATAGGAAGAAGCTGGTTGTGAAATCGTGTGGGAAGATTTCGAGTTCGCCTAAATTGGATTTGACACAAACGCCAAGGAGAATGGTGAATTTGAAGAAAGGTTGGGGAATTTTGGGGATTTTTGGACAAAATTTGGACCGCCCGGGCCGAATTCGGCCCGGGCCGGCCCATTTTTCAAGGCTTTTTGGGCTTTTGAAAACCCATCAGACTAGAAAAGCTGAAAATTCTGGAATTTTTTATTTAAAAAATTGTAATATTACAGATTTTAGTCTAGAAAATGTGGAAACTTTCAGCGAAAATCCACGTGGCAAAATTTGAAATTCAAAAAAATTTTGAGAGCGAAAATCCACGTGGCAAAATTTGAAATTCAAAAAAATTTTGAAAGAAACGTGAAATTCCAGCCAAAAAATCTGAAATTTCAGCTCTAGAAGAAGCTGAGAACGTGAAAAACGTGAAATTCCAGCCAAAAATCTGAAATTTCAGCTCTAGAAGAAGCTGAGAACGTGAAAAACGTGAAATTCCAGCCAAAAAATCGGAAATTTTTGATTTTTGACTGAAAAATCAAGATTTTCAGCTTCCTCCAGAAATTTTCGAAATTAAATTTTCAAAAAAAAAATAATTCAAAAAAAAATTTCGCATTTTGAATTTTTTGTTGTCATTTTTAAATTTTGAATTTTTGAGAAAATGTGAGTTTTCTACAGTAATTCTACAGTAATCCTAGGCGTATTTGAAAAATTTTTTAATGAAATTTTGAATTCGGCTCTTTCAGGCCACTATTTTGATCTCTAAACATTTCCCCAAAAATCTTGAAAAATGGGCGGAGCTTGGCAGCAATCCTGGCACAATTTTTGAAAAAAAACTGTGCCGGAATTTTTATTCTAGGCATTTTTTTGGTCTGGATAATCATGTTTCCATTTTAGACCAATTCCAATTTTTTGGGCCGATTTTTAGGCCTTTTTTGGGCCCAGTCCAATTTTGCAAGCCTGATTCTAGGGCTTTTTGGGCTTCTTATCGATTTTTGACTGAAAAATCTGAAATTTTTAGCAGAATTAGCTTTGAAAAAAAAATTTCGAAATTAACTTTTCAAAAAAAAAAAAAAAAAAAAAAATTGAAATCGGTGAAAAACTTCAAGCTCAAATTTAATGCTGAAAAAGCTGAAAATCACACATTTTTTCAATTTCAGCACGAAATTTCAGCCCGGAAAATTTTTGTTATGGAAAAAATCCACTTTTTCAGCTAGAACTTGAAGCTCAAAATTTTTGAACTTTTTTTTCAGAAATTTCTCTTTTCAGACTGGAATTTAAATAAAATTAGCTTTGAAATAAATAAAAAAATTCGAAATTTCAAAATTTTCAAAAAAAAACCTATTTTTTCTCTGCAAAATTTCGCGTTTGAAATTTTGAGAAAATATAAGAGCTACAGTAATCCTAGGCATATTTACTACCAAAAAAATCCCCAAAATTTTTCCAGTTCCAATCCAAGTTCCGCTAAAACGAAAACCCACTCCACCTCCAATTTTAATCGAACGAAAAAGTCCGGGAGAAGTTTTTGCTCAACTCACGCCAAAACGTCAAAAATCCTCGCTGGAATTGGTCGAATCTCAAAAATCTGAAGATGTTTTCAAAGATTTTCCGGATTTTTCTGATTCTTCTTCTGATATATCAAATGTTTTTGATGAATTATCACCGCGGAAGATGAATTTGAATGCGGAAGGAGACGCGGAAGAGTTTCCGCTTGAGTTTATCACTGGATCACAGTATTTGAAGGAGGTTAGTGCATTTTTTGCTGAAATTTCAGATTTTTCGCTGAAAATTTCAGATTTTTTGCTAGAATTTCACGTTTTTCACGTTCTCAGCTTCTTCTAGAGCTGAAATTTCAGATTTTTTGACTGAAAATTTGAGATTTTCTAGAAGAAAATTTGAGTTTCTAGCTCATATGTTCCAGCTAATCTTTCTTTTTTGACTGAAAATTTTGGGATTTTCCTGAAATTTTGAATTTCAAATTTTTCCACGTGGATTTTCGCTCTCGAAATTTTTAATTTCAAATTTTTCCACGTGGATTTTCTCTCTCAAAATTTTCGAATTTCAAATTTTGCCACGTGGATTTTCGCTCTCAAAATGTCGAATTTCAAATTTTGCCACGTGGATTTTCGCTCTCAAAATGTCGAATTTCAAATTTTGCCACGTGGATTTTCGCTCTCAAAATTTTTGAATTTCAAATTTTGCCACGTGGATTTTCGCTCTCAAAATTTCGAATTTCAAATTTTGCCACGTGGATTTTCGCTCTCAAAATTTTCGAATTTCAAATTTTGCCACGTGGATTTTCGCTCTAAAAATTTTCAGAATTTTCAGCCTCCTCCACCACCAAAAAAACACGTGGAAATCGAAGAAAGTCAAGATTTCCCACTGGATTTTGGATTTTTGCCAGGATCACAGTATTTCAAAAAACCTTTTGCCGTTCCAAAAATGCCCAAAAAATTGGAGAAAATTCGAGACATCGAGTTCGATTTGGCTGAAATTGAGGAGAGTTGTTGTGATTTTCCGGTGCTTCCAACTATGATTCGAGAGTATGAGATTGATGAGGAGACGCAGAGCATGTTTTGTGGGTTTTTTTTGAATTTTTGCCGAAATTTCTGATTTTTTGAGACCAAATAAGCCTAGGGTTACTGTAGATTTTAACGTGAAAATTTCCCGCGAAAAATAGGTTTCGAAAATTTTTTTAATAAAAATTAAAAATTGCTCATTTGCCACGTCATAACTCATTTTTAACCGGCAAATTCAAAATTTTCAATTTTCAGATGAAAATTCTGATTTTTTGAGACCAAATGAGCCCAGGGTTACTGTAGATTTTCCCGGGAAAAATAAGTTTCGAAAATTTTTTAAATAAAAATTAAAATTTTTCCGGAATTGAAAAATCTCGAAAAATTGCTCATTTGCCACGTCATAACTCAATTTTAAAGCGGCAAATTCAAAATTTTCAATTTTCAGATGAAAATTCTGATTTTTTGAGACCAAATAAGCCTAGGGTTACTGTAGATTTTAACGTGAAAATTTCCCCGAAAAAATAGGTTTCAAAAATTTTTTAAATAAAAATTAAATTTGATGCTTGCATTGAGTCTTTCTTAAATGAAGGTATTATTTCTAAAAAAAATTTATTGAATTTTTCTAGTTGAAAAATCTCGAAAAATTGCTCATTTGCCACGTCATAAATCATTTTTAAGCGCCAAATTCAAAATTTCCAAATTTCAGATGAAAATTCTGATTTTTTGAGACCAAATAAGCCTAGGGTTACTGTAGATTTTTCCCGCGAAAAATATGTTTCAAAATTTTTTTTTTCTTGCAGATCAAAATGGGTATTATGATAGTTTAAATGTCAGTGTTTCCGGACAAAAAATCGATATTCAAGAGGATTCCAGGAAAGATCATGAAGAAGAAACTCCAGATGAAATGACACAGGTGAAAATTTGACTGAAAACGCTGGAAACGCTGAAAATCACACATTTTTTCAATTTCAGCACGAAATTTCAGTCCGGAAAATTTTTGTGATCTAAAAAATCCAATTCTCAGCTGGAACTTGAAGCTGAAAATTTCAGGCTGAAATTTCGAGCTGAAAAAGCTGAAAACGCTTTTGAAGCTTGAATTTTATTTTAAAATCTCCAATTTTTCCAGAAATACACCTCAATGGCCACCGAAAAACTAGAAAAAAGCTCAAAAAATGCAAAATTGGATAAATGTCTAATAAAACGCAAACATTTGACTGGAATTGCTGGTTGGTTAATTTTTCCAGAATTTTTTTTCATTTTTTCAGAAAAATCCCACATTTTCAGCCAAATTCGCCTCTTTAATGACGACGAAAAACAGCGAAAAACGAATTTTGATAAGTGATATGATTCTGGGATCGAAAAAGAAGATTGAGATGGAAATGTTGGAAGTTGAGAAGGGGTTTTGGTGAGTTTGCTGAAATTTCTGATTTTTTGAGACCAAATAAGCCTGGGGTTACTGTAGAGCCAAAATTTAAAAAAAGTTGATTTTCTGGAGTCAGAATTTGAAATTTTCAAATTTCCTGTTGAAAACTGATTTTTTGAGACCAAATAAGCCTAGGGTTACTGTGGATTTTTAGGCTGAAAATTTCCCGGGAAAAAATAGGTTTCGAAAATTTTTGATAAATTTAAAAGCGAATTTCGAAAATTTGAAAATTTGCTCATTTGCCACGTCATAACTCATTTTTAGGCGCCAAATTGAAATTTTTTAAATTTTCAGATGAAATTTCTGATTTTTTGAGACCAAATAAGCCTGGGGTTACTGTGGATTTTTAGGCTGAAAATTCCCGGGAAAAATAGGTTTCAAAAATTTTGTATATAAAATTTTTTGAAAAATTGAACTCGATTGAACAATTATTATGTTCAGAATCAAAAAAATTTGAGTTTTTTTTCGAAAAAAAAAATTTTTTTCTGCGATTTTTCTGGAACATCTGGAAACATCTGGAAGCTTCCAAAAAAAAACCAAAAAACGTATACATTTTTGTTATTTGATAGAATTGTTTCTTCAAATCTAATTTTTTTTTTTGGGCGAGTCCAAAAAATTTTTTTGTCTTCTGAACACACAAAAATTGTCTCGAACGCGCTTTTTTTGTCGCCTCGTTATCAAAAGAAAAAAAAATCTGCAAAGTTTACAATTTTTTTCATTTTATCAAAAAAAAATGAAAAATGTTGCGTTTTTATTTTGTTTGTTTTTTTCTATTTTCGAGAAATTTTGTTTTTGGAGCCAAAAATATGAATTTTAGATCGTTTTTTAGCGCTGAAAATGATGGGATTGCTCATTTTAAGCATTTTTGTCAATTTCAGCGTGAAAATTTGATCTAGAAATATTTATTTTTGAGTCAGAAGGTCACTGGATCGAATCCCCATACCTCCTAACCCTATTTTTTCGTTTCCAGAAATTTTAGATCAATTTTTCACGCTGAAAATGATGGGATTGCTCATTTTAAGTATTTCCAGCTTTTTTGGCGTGAAAATTTGATTTAGAAAATTGATTTTTGAGTCAGAAGGTCCTGGATCGAATCCCAATACCTCCTAACCCTATTTGTTCGTTTCCAGAAATTTTAGATCGTTTTTTCAGCGCTGAAAATGATAGGATTGCTCATTTTAAGCGTTTCCAGCTTTTTTGACGTGAAAATGTGAGTCAGAAGGTCCCTGGATCGAATCCCCATACCTCCTAACCATTTTTTAGCGCTAAAAATCATGGGATTGCTCATTTTAAGCGTTTTCACCTAGAAATTCTCAAAATATACAAAAAAATCGTAATTTTCGAGTAATAAAGTTCCTAGAATTTTTTTTCATTGTTGTTTTTGGGAAAAATGTGGAAATGTAAATAATACGCGAAATTAGTCATGATTTTTCTCCTCCTTTTCTTTTTCTTTCTTTTTTTTTCCCAAAGAACACTAGAAATTTTGGAAGAAGTCTCGAATTTCATTTTTATTCCACCCTGGCTACTAGCCCTTTTACGATTTTCTCTTGTTTTTGGCCGATTTTTTGAGACCAAATAAGCCTGGGGTTACTGTAGATTTTTAGGCCGGAAAATATCCCGGAAAAAATAGGTTTCAATATTTTTTGATATAAATTTATTGAAAATTGGAATTTGATTAGTAGTTTATTGGTGTAGATAGCCAAAATTGAAAAAATGTCGATTTTCAGGCGCTAAACTTTGAAATTTTCGAATTTCCACTGATTTTTGAGACCAAATAGGCCCAGGGTTACTGTGGATTTTTAGGCCGAAAATATCCCGGAAAAAATAGGTTTCAATATTTTTTGATATAAAATTTTTGACAATATTGGAATTTGATTGATGTATTTATTTAGCCAAAATTAAGAAAAACGAGTAATTTTCAGGCGATAAACTTCTGAAAATTTCATAATTTCCTGTTAAAGCTTCACACAGGGCCGGCCTGAAAAAGCCCGGGCCCGGCCCTTTAAAAACGACATGCTTGATATCAAATTTCATTCACTGAACAAATATAGTATATTTTTTTTGCAGAAGCCAAAAATGTTCCAAAATAAATATTGTGTGCGTTGTATAAACAACTAATTTAATTAATTAATTAATTTTTTTTTTCACTCTGAAAATGATGAGATTGCTCATTTTAAGCATTTCTATCGTTTTCAGCATCAAATTCTAGCTGAAAATCGATAAAACCAAGAATTTTATCGATTTTCAGCTGGAATTTTGGAATTTCAGCAAAGATGCGAAAGCTATGCCCAAATTTTGAATTAAAAATCGAAAAAAAATTAGTTTCCACCCTGTATAATCTGAAATTCTAGCTGAAAATCAAGGAAAATCTGGAATTTTATCGATTTTCAGCTGGAATTTTGGAATTCCAGCAGAGATGCGAAAGCTATGCCCAAATTTTGAATTAAAAATGAAAAAAAAATTAGTTTCCACCCTGTATAATCTGAAATTCTAGCTGAAAATCAAGGAAAATCTGGAATTTTATCGATTTTCAGCTGGAATTTTGGAATTTCAGCAGAGATGCGGAAGTTATGCCCAAATTTTGAATTAAAAATGAAACAAAAAGTTAGTTTCCACCCTGTATAATCCGGAATTCTAGCTGAAAATCAAGGAAAATCTGGAATTTTATCGATTTTCAGCTGGAATTTTGGAGTTTCAGCAAAGATGCCGAAGCTATGCCGAAATTTTGAATAAAAAATAATTTAAAAAAAAAAATTTTCCACCCTGTATAAAAAAAAATTTTTTTTTTTTTTGAAAATTCCCACGAAAAACTATGTGTTTTTCTGTTCTCAATAATAAAAAACAGTTTATTGTGGTCACTTTTTTTTTTTTTTTTTTTTTTTTTTTGGGAGAAGAAGTATACAATAGGCTATTTATTCGTCATTCCTCCTTTTTTTCTCTTATTTTTTCTTTTTTTTGCATATTTTTTTATTTTTGTTGACTTTTTGCTGGTGGTTTTCTTTATCAAGAAATCGAGGATTGTTTTCTTTTTTTCTGGTGATAAAAATTTTTTTCAAAAAAAATTTTTTCTCGATTTTTGATGAAAATATTGTTATATGAGTCAGCGTTTTTATTTCGAATTTATTTTTTTTTTTGAAAAAAATTGAGTTAAGAAGCTTCCGGTTTTTGGGGATTTTTGGAGCCCGAAACGTCCGGTTTGGGCCGATTTTCGGGCCTGGAAAATCTAGGCTTCTAGGCTTCTGAGTCCAGTTCTAGGCTTCTAGGCTTCTGAGCTCAGTTCTAGGCTTCCAAGCTTCTGAACCCTGTTCTAGGCTTCTAGGCTTCTGAGCCTAGTTCTAGGCTTCTAAGCTTCCAAGCCCAGTTCTAGGCTTCTAGGCTTCTGAGCCCAGTTCTAGGCTTCTAGGCGCCTTCGGGGCCTTCATAGTTTTCCCGGTTCCATTTCGGCCCGATCTCAGGCCTACACATAAGCCCAAAAGCCCAGGCCGGCCTTTGAATTCAGCCTAGTTCAAGTTGGGCCTAATTTCTTGGAAAATTTTGAATCAGACCCAAAAAAACTGGGATTTTCTAGGCTTCTAAGCGCCTTCGGGGCCTTTATTTCCCGGCCCCCTTTAGGCCCGATCTCAGGCCCAGGCCCAAAAAAAGCCCAGTCCAATCTCTATCATTCCAGCGCTCTCGGAATCTCCACATTCAAAATCAAAACTCCCCCGGAGCACCGCAACTCGTTGCTCCTCTTCCGCACCAAAACTCCCACCATCACCCGTCTCTCGTCGTCTGCGTCTCCACTCTCTACCACACTCTCTCTCCGAATTCCCGCCCAATATTTGCGCAACCAAAAAAACTCCGCCCATTTTTCGATTGAATTTTCGGCGCGAGACGAAAAAGAGGAGGAACAAAATATTGTGAAAATCATTTTATCGCCACCCGTCATTGTCTGAAATTTTTTGAGCTGAAATTTTTTTTGGATGAAGCTGATGATTTTTTTCCTGCTTTTTGTGGTTTTTGTGACGAGGAATGAGGCGCTGAGGTGAGGATTTTGGGGAAATTTTTTGAAAAAAAAATGTTTTTCGAAATATTTCGAGTTATTGCTCATGTTAAAATTTTGAGCCAAAAATTCCTTTTTTTTTTTTATATTTTAAGTTATTGCTCATGTTAGGCGATGATGCAGATTAGTTTCTCCCCCGAGCTAATTGAGGAGAAAGAGGAGAAAGGTGTTGCAGGTGGAGGCGAAACAATGTATTTTTCGAATTTCGCCCCATTTCTCCTCATTTCTCCTCGGAGGAGAAACTCATCTGCAACATCGCCTTAAACTTTTGAGCCAAAAATTATTTTTTTTAATTTTTCTAGGCTTCAAAAAAATTTTTACAAAATTTTTTTTTGAAAAAAAATTTGAAAAAAAAAATGTTTTTTTAATATTTCGAGTTATTGCTCATGTTAAACTTTTGAGCAAAAAATTCTTTTTTTTTTGAAAAAAAAATTTGAAATTGAAAATTCTGGGATTCTAGAATTTTCCTAGGCTTCAAAAAAAGTTTCACAAAAGTTTTTTTTTTGAAGAAAAATTTAACATTTTGGGCTTCTTGGATTTTTCTATTTTTTTTTCTTTGAAAAAATTTTCACAAAATTTTTTTTTCCGAAAAATTTTTGAAAAAAAAAATTTTTTTCGAAATATTTCGAGTTATTGCTCATGTTAAACTTTTGAAAAAAAATTCTTTTTTTTTTGAAAATTTTTTTTCCAGGCTTCAAAAAAGTTTCACAATTTTTTTTTTGAAAAAAAATTGAAACTGAAAATTCTAGGCTTCTAGAATTTTTCTAGGCTTCAAAAAAGGTTTCACAAAATTTTTTATTTCGAAAAAAAATTTGAAAATGAGAATTTTGGGCTTTTAGAATTTTTCTAGGATTCAAAAAAAATTTCACAAAATTTTTTTTTGAAAAAAATTTTGAAACTGAAAATTCTGGGATTCTAGAATTTTTCTAGGCTTCAAAAAATTTTCACAAAATTTTTTTTTGAAAAAAATTTTGAAAATGAAAATTCTGGACTTCTGGAATTTTTCTATTTTTTTCTTCAAAAAAATTTTCACAACATTTTTTTTGAAAAAAAAAATTTTGAAATTGAAAATTTTTGGATTTGAAAAATTAAAATTAGGCTTTAAAAAATTCTGGGCTTTTTTCAGGCCTTCTTTCTAGGCTTAAAAAATATTTAGGCATTTTGAGAAAAAATTTTGACCGCTGTGAAAAAAATTTAAACAATTTTGAAGCGGAATCAAAAATTCAGGGTTTTTCTCTACAGTAGGCAAAAATTCCAGCATTTTCCAAACAAAAATCTAGGCTTCTAGGCCATTTCAGGCTTCTACTAGGCTTCTACTAGGCTTCTACTAGGCTTCTACTAAGCTTCTACCAGGCTTCGTAACAAAATTTCTAGTAAAATTTGTACTTTCCTATACCAAAAAAAATTGTCTAACACCTGTTACATCATTTTTTTTCTCAATTTTTTTTTATGATAAAATATTATGTACATCTGCAAAAAGGTCACCATATTTGGAACCAGGCACCAGATTTTCCTCCCTGGTTTTTTTTGGCAATTTTATTAGCCGGAAGATTTTTTTTGTAAAAAAAAAGATTTTGAAAAAAAAGTCATAAATATCCTGGCTGACGCGCGAAAAAAGTTTCAATTTTTGCGCGCGCGGAAAATGTGGCAAAATGATTTATGATCTTCTTCTTTTTGGAAGATGATCTGATGAATAAAAAATGGAACAACCAAAACAACAATAAAATACATATAATTAGACATGGTAAAAGTTTGGAGGTCGAAAAAAATGTAGAAAATTTGTTTTTTCTGGGCTAAGTGGTTAGGATTTTATTTTTTCACGAAAAATCAAAAAATTTAGAGATTTTTGAAGCTTCTGAGGTGATTTCTGATGAAAATTGACCTTGGAATTCACTTTTCAGAAGTTTTTGGTTTATGAATTTAGAAAAATCAGCAAAAACTTCTGAAAACTGGATTCTAGGGTCAATTTTCATCAGAAATCACTTCAGAAGCTTCAAAAATCTAGATTTGTCATCATTTTTGGCTGAAAAACATTGAAGCTCTAAAACTTTGAAGTTTTTCGTTTTTCAGCCAAAAATGATGACAAATCGAGATTTTCGATGCTTCTGAAGTGATTTCTGATGGAAATTGACCCTGGAATTCACTTTTCAGAAGTTTTTGATGATTTTTCGGAAAAAAATAAATTTTTGATGAATTTCGAAAAAATTTAAAAAATGAAGAAGCTTCCAAAATTTGAAATTTTTTTTATTTTCTGAAAAATCAGCAAAAACTTCTGAAAAGTGGATTCCAAGGTCAATTTTCATCAAAAATCACTTCAGAAGCTTCAAAAATATCGATTTTTCATCATTTTCGGCTGAAAAACTTTTTTAAAAAATTTCTTGATTTTTTGAACGAAAAAAATAAGCTAGCCAGCCTATTACAACTAGAAAGTTAGGATAACTCTGCCGCTGCGCGGAAGATAGTGCCGCTTACGCGGAAGCTTGCGGTTTACACTACCCTCTGATTCGAGCGGAGCGAGTGTAGACCGCAAGCTTCCGCGTCAGCGGCACTATCTTCCGCGCAGCGGCTACGTTATCACAACTTCCTCAATTAACCGAAGAAGTTAGGGTAACTTGGCCGCTGCGCGGAAGATATTGCCGCTTACGCGGAAGCTTGCGGTCTACACTACCCTCTGATTCGAGCGAAGCGAGTGTAGACCGCAAGCTTCCGCGTCAGCGGCACTATCTACCGCGCAGCGGCCAAGTTACTCTAACTTTTTCGGTTAATTGAGGAAGTTAGGGTAACTCTGCCGCTGCGCGGAAGATAGTGCCGCTTACGCGGAAGCTTGCGGTCTACACTCGCTTCGCTCGCATCCCGAAAATTCAAATTTCCTAAACAAATATTTTTCTTTCCCACACAGAAGAAAACTTGAAAAAATTCGGATTTTTTTTCTGTTTCTTCACCGAAAATATTTATTTTTATCGCAAAAGCCGTCATTTTTTTTGTTGCTTTCCCGCGTTCCTTTGATTAGTTGATCAAACACAAACAGAGAGAAAAGATGCACTTTTGAAATTTTTTTTGCTTGGGAAAAAATAGCCGAAAACATGTGAGGGGCCGGATTTTTGGGGCCAATTTTGAGCCCGAAAATTGATTTTTGGGCCAATTTTGAGCCCGAAAATTGATTTTTGGGCCAATTTTGAGCCCCCGAAATATATACGTTTCAAAATTTTTGTGAAATAAAAATGATAAACCATTATTTTCAATCAAGGAAAAAATTGTCTCTCATTTTTTTCACGAAATTTTGAAACGTATTTTTTTCAGGATTGAGAAAAAAGGAATTTTGGGCCCAAAATTAGCTCAAAATTCAAAATTTTGTGAAAAAATTGTTAAATAAAAATGATAAATCATGTTTTTCAATCGAACATATCGAAACTGACAAAAAATTTGTTTTTTTTTTTAGAATTTTTTTTTTTTTTTTTGAAATTTGATAAAAAGGAATTTCGGGCCCAAAGTTAGCTAAAAATTCAAAATTTTCTAGAAATTCTGAAAAATTTTTTGAACTTCGGTCCCCAAAAAAAAAAAAAAATTTTTTAATTTTTTTAGTATTGAGAGGAATTTCGGGCCCAAAATTAGCTCAAAATGTTTTTCTAAATTTAAAATTTCAAAAATTCTACATTTTCTTCCATTTCAAAATTATAACTTTCCAGAAATTCTGAAAAAATTTTGAACTTCGGTCCCCAAAAAAAAAAAAAAAAATTTTTTAAATTTTTTTTGGATTGAGAAAAAGGAATTTCCGGCCCAAAATTGGCTCAAAATCTGAAATTTTCTAGAAATTCTGAAAAAAATTTGAATTTCGGTCCCAAAAAAAAAATTTTTTTTTAGATTTGAGAAAAAGGAATTTCGGGCCCAAAGTTAGCTAAAAATTCAAAATTTTCTAGAAATTCTGAAATTTTTCCAGATGTCAATGTACAACTGACAAAGGCGGTGTTCCCTGCTACAAATCGTGGTGTCAAGTGTATAATAATGGAACTCGAGTGAGTTTAGCTAACTTCCAAACAATTTTTTTTGTAGCGCAAAATGCACTTTTGTCACTGTGTCTTGAGAGCTTCCCTTTTTCTTTGAAATTTTTTACTGTATCAATAAAAAACAGCCGGGAAAAGTAAACAAATATTTAAATAGAAAAAAGTACAGGGCTTCGAAATTTTCAAAAAAAAAAAAAAAAAAAAAAAAAAAAATTTTACAAATTTTTTTTTTTTTTAATGAAGCTTGGGGAACAGAAAAAAAAAAGACTTTTTCTCTCCAAAAAAAAAAAACAAAAAAAACAATTTTTCCAGGTCGCTGCTTGCGCAATGATTCGAATTGGCTCAATTCAACATTTCGCTTGTGCTCACGTCTCCAAAGATTCCGATGATTCTTGCACGGTTGTGAATAAGAATGGGCGAGAAGCGGTGAGTACTTGTCAGCGCTGCTGAGAAGCGGTGACGGCTTGAAATACCCTCTTTTCGGCTTGAAATACCCTCTTGCAGTGAGGCCTTGAGAGACACTTTGAGTCAAGGCGCGGCTGCTTGACAGCGTTTCTCAGAAGCAGTGACGCCTTGAGAGACAATTTTAGTCAAGGCGCAGCTGCTTGTCAGCACTTTTGAGAAGCAGTGACTGCTTGAGAAGCTTTCTATAAAGAAGTGCCGCCTTAGGACACTCGCTTCCAAAGGCGCAGTTGCTTCAAACAACGCTTGTCAAGCAACCATGCCTTGAAAACACATGTTGTCAAGGTTTGGCTGCTTGACAAGCTATCTATGAAGCGGTTGTTCCTTGAAAGACCCTTTTTCAAGCAGTGACGCCTTAGGACACTCGCTTTCAAGGCGCAACTACTTTCAAACAAAGCTTGTCCAGCATCGGCGCCTTGAAAATACATGTTGTCAAGGTTTGGCTGCTTGAAAAGCTATCTATAAAGCAGTTGTTCCTTGAAAGAAGCTCTGACAAGCAGGGACGCCTTAAGAATCTCACCTTCAAGGCGCAACTGCTTCAAACAAAGTTTGTCAAGCAGTTACGCCTTAGGACACTCGCTTTGTCAAGGCGCAGTTGCTTTTCAGCCTTTTCGAGAAGCAATGACGGCTTGAAATACCCTCTTTCAAGCACTGACCCATTTAAACTCTTGCTTTCAAAGGCGCAGCTGCTTGTCAGCCTTATCTGAAAAGCATCGGCGCCTTCACAGACATCTTGTTAAGCAGCGGCGCCTTGGCAAAAACTCGTGTTCTCAAGGCGCGAGTTGCTTTTAGAGGCCATCATGTCAAGCGATGGCGCCTTGACAGTCGTTATGAATTGTCTTGGCTCTCAAAATAAGGTCTTAGCACCATATTTTCTCTGCGTCTCGCCACTCTCTTCACCAATTATATGCTTCTTCTTCTTCTTCTCTGTCGTCTTTTTGATTTATTTTTGTTTGTGTTTGCTCTTCGCACCATTTGTACCTTTACCACTAATACAACTACTACTATTATTAATATTGGCTTCAGCTAGTACACACCAAAATGTATAATAATAATATTATGAATTGAAAGAGGGGAGGGGGTCAGAAGACTGTGTAAATACTGAAACGTGGGAACATTTTGAAGTGAATTTTATTTTCCGACAAAAAATAATCAGAATTTAGCTCAAAGCCCCCGATAAATCCATAGTTTTGGGCTTCACTGTACATTTCTCACTGGACCCGAATTGATTTTCAAAAATAGCATAGCGATACAAGAGATAAATCACCGATAGAACATTGATTGCTTGGAATATGAAGATACAAATGATACGAAGTGGGGAACCGATAAATCGACGTAGTTTTTGGCTGAAAATCTTATTGGTTTTGGCTGAAAATTTCAGAGCTTCTGGTTCGTTTCTTACCTAAAATCGCTCCTAGATTCTCGCAATTTTTCCGAAAAATATCCGGATATTTTCTTGAGATACGTTGAAAATGTCAACGCCACAATCATTGTGCATAACCCGAAGATGATGTATTTTCCGAGAAGTGGAATTTGCTCGGTTTTTGGTAATTTGTCGGAGATTATTCCCAAGATGAAGGTCATTGTCATGATATGAGTTAAGCCGACGGTTAGCTGGAAGAATTTTGCCACGTCATAGTTATCCGCGTGGCCGCTGAAGCGGTAGATAGTGCCGCTTACGCGGAAGCTTGCGGTTTACACTCGCTCCGCTCGAAGGTTAGGAGTCCCAACCGCAAGCTTCCGCTTCAGCGGCCACGTGGATAACTATGACGTGGCAAAAACGTGGTTTACAGTTTTTTTTTGAGTTTTTGCCACGTCATAGTTATCCACGTGGCCGCTGAAGCGGTAGATAGTGCCGCTTACGCGGAAGCTTGCGGTTTACACTCGCTCCGCTCGAAGGTTAGGACACAATCAGTTATTTTGTAATTTTGCTCGAAAATTTAATTTTGTTCTCTGCGCTCTCTCAATTTTCCATTGTCTCTAATGGAAAAATTGATTCACGAAATTAAAAAAAAAAGTTTTTTTAACGTTAAAAAACCAAAAAAGTGATTCACGAACGGTATTTTTATTGATTTTTTCACCATTTTTTACCACACATTGAATAAAGTGAAGCTAAAACGCATTTTAGTGTCCAGAAATGCTATTTCAAGACCTTCTAATCAGCCTAAATGACAAATCAAGCCTCACATATCCCAAAAAAAAAAAAAATTTCGAAAAATTGCGAAATTTTTTTTTTTAGTTTTTTGGTCTTGAAATAGCAGTTCTGGACACTAAAATGCGTTTTAGCTTCACTTTATTCAGTGTGTTAAGAAAATGGTGAAAAAATGAATAAAAATACCGTTTGTGAATCACTTTTTTGGTTTTTTTAACGTTATAAAAGGTTTTTTTATTTCGTGAATCACCTTCGAGCGGAGCGAGTGTAAACCGCAAGCTTCCGCGTAAGCGGCACTATCTACCGCTTCAGCGGCCACGTGGATAACTATGACGTGGCAAAAACTTGGTTTACAGTTTTTTTTAAGTTTTCGCCACGGCATCCACGTGGCCGCTGAAGCGGTAGATAGTGCCGCTTACGCGGAAGCTTGCGGTTTACACTCGCTCCGCTCGAAAATACCGTTCGTGAATCACTTTTTGGTTTTTTAACGTTAAAAACGTTTTTTTATTTCGTGAATCACCCCTTTAGGGTTTATCTTCTTACCCTGTCCATTTTTTCGGTGTTTTTCATAAAAACTCCCGAGATTGATATCGTATTGATAATGAAAGTTGGAAGAATAATCATATATAAGTAGTATGTTGGATTTCGTTTCAACTGGAATCTCACAACTGCCAATTTTGTATCGTTAAAACAATCACAGAAACTCTCCATCGGTTCTAAACCAGACGTGATGTTGATAAGATCCCAAACAGAGTTTCCCAGACCGCACATATTGTTTCGCAACTCCTCAGGATCAGATATACTGATATCGTAAAGAGAGGAATCAATTGAAGGTATGCCGATACGAATTTCACAAATTTGAGTGTCGAAGGGAAAATCGAGCAAATTCAGCTTGCAGTTGGTTGTGATTTTCATTGGAACATATGCGGTGAGAAAACCTGGCGACAAACTGACCATGCGATAGTTCTGATCGCGATGTTCGACCAATTCACTGCTGAAAACATCAATTTTGCTTTTCCCAGGTTAATCGGAGGTAGAATTGTGAAAACATACGCGTAGAATACAGTGACTGGCGGTGACCAAACTTTCTCAAGTCGGAAATACAATACACTGATGTTATTTTTGCTTGTCGGGTCCCACAATAATCGAATGTCCGACCATTGCTGAAATTTCCGAGTTGAGCTAGGTTGCCGGCCCATTTAAAAGAAACTCACTTGCATAATTTCTGTGACCAAGGTAACCTGTTCTTTCGGCTCATCAACATCAATAATTTTGAATCGCAACACATTAATATAATATATCCATTTCTGATGTAGATCACTATCTGAATGTGAGATTTCGATCATGTTTCATTAACTCGAATTCAACTCACCAGACAATGGTGCTCGTTCTTTATCATAATTTTTGAACAACAATTCAGTCAAATTGTCCATCGGCTCGTGGACTGAAAGTGAAAAGGATTTATTTACAATCATCTATTTTTCAAAAATACATATTTTTAAAACAACTCACGTAGAACTGAGCGGAAACGATCCTGGTTCGGATCATTTATCTCACTTTCATCCATTGAAAATTTCTGCTGTCAAATTAACAATGGTCTTTTCACTGAAATATTTTCATCGCGAATAATTTTGACTGAAGGCTGATTTAACAAATAAAAAATAACAAAACAATATCAGTAACTTCTTCATTTTTATTAAATTTTAGTGTAAATTGAAGGCTTTTATATCATCAAAAGGAACAATGAACTGGGTTTATAAGAAGTTTTTCCAGCGAACAATGTACTGAAACTTTCTAACACCTTTTTCCGACATTTTAAAGTTGTTATCAATCAAAAGAAACAATAATCAAAGATTATTTTTGTTTCCAGACCAAATGCTGGTGTCGAAATGAGGATTATTGCAACGTGGAACTGGCAGATCGTGTTGATGATGATTCTCCGATTTCCCGACAACAACAATATTTGCAAAAAACATTTGCGGATTCGGATTCGGCTGATGTTGATCAAGCAATTACTATTGATAAACAATATGATGTGAATGATCAGATTGAAGCGGGAGATTTGAGTGATGAGAATTTGGAAAAGGAAGAAGAGAAGGTTCGATCGAATCGAATTGATGAACGCAATGTTTTTGATATGAGACCGGCTCAATTGCCAAAACCGGTTGTTGATGAGTGAGTTTGGACGATATATTGAAATTTCAATTTTTTTTAAATTTTTTCACAAAATTTCAAATTCTTAGCCAAATTTCCAGCCATAATTCAAATTTTGCGGTGCAAAATTCTTTAGATCTTGTAGCTGTGACGTCACAAGTGGATTTTCATTGTGAAATTTAGATCTTTAAAAAATTTCTTTAGATTCTGGTCAAAAAAAATCCGAAAATCCCAAAGTCCAATTAATTTTTTTTAAATTTTGTTCTAAAAATTTTCAGATAATTCTGAAAATCTTAAGAATTCTTGAATTTTTGAATTTCTGCTCAAAAATACACTGAAAACTTTGAAAAATCGGGGAATTCTGATTTTTTTTGAAAATTTAGAACTTTTTAAAAAAATTTTCTTGATCTCAAAATTTTTAGTCAACAATTTCCAGATTTTTCAGAATTATCTGAAATTTTTTGAAATCCCAAATTTCTGCTCAAAATTACACTGAAAACTTTGAAAAATCAGGGAATTCTGATTTTTTTTTGAAAATTTAGAAATTTTTAAAAAATTTTTGATCTCAAAATTTTTTGTTATCAACAATTTCCAGATTTTTCAGAAAATTCTGAAATTTTTGAAGCTCAAAATTATTTTTTGACAATTTTTTTAATTAAAAAATTTTCGCTTCGAGATATTTTTGATTTCAAAATTGTTGGGCACCAAAAAATCCACGTGGCAAAATTTTCAAAACCCAAATTTTTTTTTTTAATTTTGAAATTTCCCAGAAATTCAGTTTTTGAAAAAATTTAAAAAAATTAATTTAAGACGTGAATTTTTATGAAATTCATTTTCAGAAAAATTAAAATTCGAGAATTTTTAATCAAATTTCAGAAGTGAACTTCTGATTTTGTCTAAAAATTTAATGGGGTGATTCAAATCGAAAAAAAATAATTAAAAAAAAAGGATTTTTCTTCCTATTTTGAGCAGAAATTCGGGATTTCAAAAAATTCCAGAATTTTCTGAAAAATCTGGAAATTTTTGACTAAAAATTTTGAAAAAAATTCTAAATTTTCAAAAAAAAATCAGAATTCCCTGATTTTTTTAAAGTTTTCAGTGTAATTTTGAGCAGAAATTCGGGATTTCAAAAAATTCCAGAATTTTCTGAAAAATCTGGAAATTTTAAGAACAAAATTTAAAAAATTAATTTTTATAATTAAAAACAAAAATTTTGTTCTAAAATCCCCATAATTTCCCTATTTTTTAACATTTTTTTTTTCACACAAAAATGAAAAAAAAATATAGTTATTTGACATTTTCTGAATCGAAGAAAAATTCTACAGAAAAATCATAACGGTGGTTTCAAAAGCCTGAAAATCTAGAACCCAAAAAAAAAACTTTCAGATCTATTCCACCATGGCGTCGTCGTGATCCGAATGCTCATGAGATTCTGACTCCACCGCCTCTCCCAGGCTCGGCTCCACGAGTTGTCCTAACTTCATCCACCTCAACCTCTACCTCAACTTCAACAACCACCACAACTGCACCAAGAACACCATCCCGTGAAGAGCAGCAAAGACAATACGATGAAGCGATGCGCAGATGGCAAGAGGAATATGAGAGACGCAGACAGCGAGAGCGAGAAGAGGCAGAGACGCAGAGGCGAAGACAAGAGAGATTGCAGATTGAGGCGACGAGACGATTTGGGGCAGAGACGCAGAGAGAGAATCAATATTGGCCGACGAGGAGTTCAGGCGAAGGTTCAGGAGATTCCACGAGTTCAAACTACAACTACAAGAGTTCAAACTACAACTACACAAGTTCAAACTACAACTACAACTCGACCATTGATTATAACTTATAGTAATTATGAGCAATTTGCGAGGAAGAAGGAGGAAAAGGTGAGGATTTTGGGGGTTTCAGAATTTTGAGCTGAAATTTGGAATTTCAAAAAAAAAATTTTTTTTTTCAAAAAAAATTTTCGAAAAAAAAAATTTTTTTTTTCAAAATTTCACTTTTGAGCAGAAATTTTCGGGATTTCAACAAAAAATTCAAAGAAGCCTAGAATTTTTATAAAAATCCTTTAAAAAAATTTTTTTGGCCAAAAATTTCCAAGAAATTCTGTATTTCTGCTCAGAATTACACTGAAAACTTTAGAAAAATCAGGGAATTTTGATTTTTTTTTGGAAAATTTAGAATTTTTTTTTAATTTTTGATCTCAAAATTTTCAGTCAAAAATTTCCAGATTTTTCAGAAAATTCTGAAAATTTTTTGAAATCCCGAATTTCTTACACTGAAAACTCCGAAAAATCAGGAAATTCTGATTTTTTTTTTGAAAATTTAGAATTTTTTCGAAAATTTTTGATCTCAAAATTTCCAGATTTTTCAGAAAATTCTGAAATTTTCAGAAAAAAATCGGAATTTCCTGATTTCTCAAAGTTTTTAGGATAATTTTGAGCAGAAATTACTAATTTCAAAAGTTTCAAGATTTTTCAGAAAATTCTGGAATTTTTTGAAATCCCGAGTTTCTGCTCAAAATTACACTGAAAATTCTGAAAAATCAGGGAATTCTGATTTTTTTTTTTGAAAATTTAGAACATTTTGAAATATTTTGGATCTCAAAATTTTCAGATTTTTCAGAAAATTCAGAAATTTTTTGAAATCCCAAATTTCTGCTCAAAATTACACTGAAAATTCTGAAAAATCAGGGAATTCTGATTTTTTTTTTTGAAAATTTAGAACATTTTGAAATATTTTGGATCTCAAAATTTTCAGATTTTTCAGAAAATTCTGGAATTTTTTGAAATCCCAAATTTCTACTCAAAATTACACTGAAAATTCAGAAAAATCAGAGAATTTTGATTTTTTTTTTGGAAATTTAGAACTTTTTTCAAAATTTTGTTCTAACAATTTTCAGATAATTCTGAAAATTCTGAAATTTTTTGAAATCCCAAATTTCTGCTGAAAAATATTCTGGAAACTTTTCAGAATTTTTAAGAATTTCAGAATTTTTGATGATTTTAGACTAAAAATTTTGAAAAAGTTCTAAATTTTCAGAAAAAAAATCGGAATTTCCTGATTTTTCAAAGTTTTCAAGTTATTTTTGAGCAGATATTCCTAATTTTGAAAAAATTCAGAATTTTTGAGGTTTTTCTGAAACGCCGCTCGAAAATATTCTGGAAATCTGGAAATTGTTGACTACAAATTTTGAGATCAAAAATTTTGAAAATTAAGAACTTTTTTTAAAAAAATTTGATCTTAAAATTTTTAGTCTAAAATTTCCAGATTTTTCAGAAAATTCTGAAATTTTTTGAAATCCCAAATTTCTGCTCAAAATTACACTGAAAATTCTGAAAAATAAGAGAATTCTGATCTTCTGAAAATTTTCAGAATTTTCTGAAAATTTTTTAAATTTTTGAAAATTTAGAAATTTTCAAAAAAAAATCAATTTTCCCTGATTTTTTAAAGTTTTCAGTGTAATTTTTGAGCAGAAATTCGGAATTTCTTGAAAATTTTTTATAAAAAGCTCTAAATTTTTTTAAATTTCAGAATTCCCAAGGGAATTTCCGCCTAAAAATTCCCAAATTCTCAAAAATTTCCAATTTCCAGGAAAAAATCGTCTACCCACCGCTGAACTTCCGAACTGCCACAAGACCTCCAACCACAACTACAGTACCATCCACAACCACAACTACAGTACCATCTACAGTACCATCTACAGTACCATCTACAACTACAGTACCATCTACAACATCTACAGTACCTCCAACAACTACAGTACCCCGTAGAAAATCAATAATTGAGCCGGAAGAAGATGAAGATGATGGCGAGCCGCTTTTTGTGATTCGCAAAAATCCAAAACCGAATTTGAAAACTGAAAAACCGCCAGAGCTCAAAATTTTATTACCAAAATCCTCCACCGTCGTCAATTCTGCCACCCTGGTTACTGTATTATTGGTCCTGACGCGACATTTTTTGGATTTTTAATTAATTAATTTTTTAGAATACTGTAGTCTTTCTAATTTTCTAGCTTTATTTGAATTTCATTTTTTCCCGCCCAAATTTTTTTCAAACAAAAATTTAAAAAATTTTTTCAATTCCTTCCTGTTGTGTGCTCATTTCCCCCGGGTTTTTTCATTTTTCATTTTCTGATTTTCCAAATTTTTTTTCGCATTTTTTTATTTTCCACCACATTTTTTCTCCATAAATTTGTGCCCAAAATCGAATTAATTGTGAAAAAAAGAATACGGTAGATTTGTCGCCCGTCGCAAAATGTTCAAGTGTCTTCTTTTTTCTTTTTTTCCAGGCGAGGAACAAAGTGTGGGGCTAATTGGATTTTGGCGCCGCGCCAAATTCAATTTTGCACCAGGAGGGTTTTGGCGTCAAGTGGAATATGGTAGATTTTTGAGGTGGGTTTTTGATTTGGGCAGTTGGAAAAATAAAGAAAATTAAAATTAAAACTGAAAAAAAAAAAAAAAAAAATTTTTTTTTTTTTTTTTTTTTTTTTTTAGATTTTCTAGAATTTGCCACGTCAAACTTCTGAGATTTCTAGAATCCTTGGATTTTCTGAAAATTAGGGGATTGCTCATTTTAAGCATTTTCATCGTTTTCAGCGCGAAATTTTGATCTAGAAAATTGTAAATTTCAGGATTTTGGGATTCAGAAAAATTCTAGAGCAAAATTCTAGACGCTGAAAATCATGGGATTGCTCATTTTAAGCATTTTCATCGTTTTCAGCGCGAGATTTTGATTTAGAAAAAATCTTCTAGAAAATTATGGAATTTTTCGAACCAAAATTTTAATTTTGATTTTTTTTTTGAGAAACTGATAATTGAGATACAGTAACCCGAACTGCAAAATAAAACCTCGGACTGCAAAATTCCAGGCTACAAAATTCCAGCCTACAAAATTCTAATCCAAACTGCAAAATTCCAGCCTACAGTATTCAGAACTGCAAAATTCCAGCATACAGTATTCCAAACTGCAAAATTCCAGCCTACAGTAATCTGAACTGCAAAATTCCAGCCTACAGTATTCCGAACTACAAAATCTGGAAAACACAGATTTTTTTTTGAAATAGAGCGGTTAACCTGAGCAATGCAATTTAAAATAGAAAAATAATTTTCCAAAAAAAAACTATAACCTGAGCAATGAAATGCCACGCACGTCATAATATAGATACCAAGAATTCAAGAAAAAAAAACCTATAACCTGAGCAATTCTTCTCTATAACCTGAGCAATTCTTCTCTTCTATAACCTGAGCAATTCTGTTTTTTTCCGGCTCAAGATGCTAATCTCAAAAAAAAAAAACTCGTTACCCAACTTTTTTTTTTTTTTTTTTTTTTTTTTTTTTGGCTGCCTGCCTGCTCAATTTCGTGTCGTTTAAACAATATGATAAATTGGCCTGGCGCCTTTCTTTTTTTTCTCACCCACTTTTTTTTATCGTCGAGAGCATCTGCTCTGCCGAGTTACCGTATGTCGTGAAGTGAAGTGAAATGCCAGCCGATTGGTTGGAACCCGAAGCCACGCCCCCTTTTTTCTCCGGAAGAAGAAGCCGGAGAAATTTTGTGCATTTTCATTTTTCACTCGGGATTTTTGAGAAGATGTTGCCGTGGAGTGCTCCGGCTTTGGCTGCTTGCTGGAGCCAGATTTTTCAGAATTCTGGTGGATTCATCAATTTTTCGACGAATTTTGATTTGAGGAAAGAGGTGGGTTGAGTTATGACGTGGCAAAACTGCATTGCTCAGGTTATGAGAATTTTTTAAACTGCATTGCTCAGGTTAACCTCCTTATTCATATTTCAAATTGCTCTAATTCAAAAAAAATCTGTGGTTTCCATTTTGCAGTTTGGGTTACTGTAGGCTGGAATTTTGTAGTTCGGAATACTGTAGGCTGGAATTTTGCAGTTTGGGTTACTGTAGGCTGGAATTTTGCAGTTCGGAGGAATACTGTAGGCTGGAATTTTGTAGTTCGGAATACTGTAGGCTGGAATTTTGTAGTTCAGATTACTGTAACTCAATTAGCAGTTTCTGAAATCAAAATTTAAATTTTAAAAAAAAATCTAGGTCCGAAAAATTCCATAATTTTCTAGAAGATTTTTTTCTAGATCAAAATCTCGTGCTGAAAATGACAGAAATGCTTAAAATGAGCAATCCCATGATTTTCAGCGTGAAATTTTGTTCTAGAAATTTTCCGGATCTTCAAAACCCCAAAATTTTCAGGATTTTTGCTCAAAATCCTTGAAAAATCCTTGAAAAATTACGTTTCACCGCAACCCCGAAATTATTCTTTTTTTTTCTACAAATTCCAAATCCGTTCATCATTTTTTTTCCCTCCTGGCTACACATACATATAATTTTAATTCGATTTTCATCGTTCCCCTCCCATTTCACACATGTTTTCTCTTCTCCAAAAAGCCAGAAGGTGACGCGAGGCGGACACAAAAAAAGATGAAGACCCCCCGTCGTGAAATTTACGATCATTATCTCGCCTCATCTTCAGGAGATGAAAATGAAAATAAAAATGCAAAAAAGTGGTTTTGAAATTATGAGTTATGGGAAAATTTGTGCCACAATCAGCTCTAAAACTTTAAAAAAAAAAAATTTTTTTTTCAAAAAAAAAAATTATATACCGTAGTTCTTTCGTCGCGACGAGACCCTGTGTGTGTTTCAGCTATTGCGCCTTTAAAAAACTACGGTATTTTATAAAAATCCGGAAAAAAACAAAAAAAAAACAAAAAATACCGTAGTTTTTTAAAGGCGCAACAGCTGAAACACACACAGGGTCCCGTCGCGAGGGGCAAAAAACTACGGTATATAATTTTTTTTTATTTTTCGCGTTTTTATTTTCTTAACGTTCATAACACTAATCGAAGAAGTCGAGCGAAGCGAGTGTAGACCGCAAGCTTCCGCGTCAGCGGCACTATCTTCCGCGCAGCGGCCAAGTTACCCTAACTTTCTAGATTTTCTGTAGAAGTTATGGTAACTTTGCCGCTGCGCGGGAGATAGTGCCGCTAACGCGGAAGCTTGCGGTCTACACTCAAAATAATATTTTGTTCGAGCGAAGCGAGTGTAGACCGCAAGCTTCCGCGTAAGCGGCACTGTCTTCCGCGAAGCGGCCAAGTTACCCTAACTTCTAGAAAGTTAGGGTAAACCGCAAGCTTCCGCGTAAGCGGCACTATCTTCCGCGCAGCGGCTAAGTTACCCCAACTTTCTAGATTTTCTGTAGAAGTTATGGTAACTTTGCCGCTGCGCGGAAGATAGTTTTATTAAAATTTTCCAGCTTCTCGCCCCATCCACGTCATCAATCGATACAACAGATTGTGTAGTATGCGGTGATAAATCGAGCGGCAAACACTACGGTCAATTCAGTTGCGAGGGTTGTAAAAGTTTTTTCAAGCGATCGATTCGAAGGAGTTTGAGTTATACTTGTCGAGCTGCCAAAAATTGTACAATTGATGTTCAACATCGAAATCAATGTCAATATTGTCGATTGAAGAAATGTATAAGGATGGGAATGAGGAAGGAAGGTAGATATTTTGGAAATCTTAAAAAATTAATTTTTTTTTGAAAATTGCCACGTCATAGTTCACGTTAAATTTAAGACAAAAAAATGTTTTTTATTGTTGAAAACTGAAATTTTCTCATAATCAATCAGAAAATAATCAAATCTCGATGAAATTTCGTCCATAGACAGCTTTTAGGGTCATAAGAACACCCTAAAAATTTTACTTACCAATTTAAAATTTTTTTTTTTTTTTTTTTTTTTACTTTACCTGATCCAAGTTCTGGGCTCTCAAAAGTTCAAAAATTGCCAAAATTGGCTCGTAAAACTTATCATAACTCAATTTTCGATGATTTTTATGAAAAGCGTGGTCGATTTACCCAAAAAACCATCAATAAAGCAAATTTTCAAAAAAAAAAAATAAAAAAAAATTTTCGAAAAAATATTTTTTATTTATGTATTTTTGGTAAATCGACTATGCTGATCAATATCTGAAACTTTATTTTTTTCGAAAATCATTTTGAAATCGCCAATTTCAGCAATTATATTAGATATTGATCAGCATTTACCAAAAGTACATCAATAAAGCAAATTTTCAAAAAAAAAAAAAAAAAAAAAAAATTTTTTTGAAAAAATATTTTTTATTGATGTACTTTTAGTAAATCGACTATGCTGATCATTATCTGAAACTTTATTTTTTACAAAAATTATTTTTGAACTTTTGAGAGCCCAGAACTTGGCTTAGAGTTCCTAAAAATTTTAGGATGTTCTTATGAGCCTAAAAATGTTCGAGCGGAGCGAGTGTAGACCGCAAGTTTCCGCGTCAGCGGCACTATCTTCCGCGCAGCGGCCACGCGGATTACTATAACGTGTACTATAACGTGTAGTAATCCGCGTGGCCGCTGCGCGGTAGATAGTGCCGCTTACGCGGAAGCTTGCGGTCTACACTCGCTCCGCTCGAACAAAATATTATTTTTCGAGCGCAGCGAGTGTAGACCGCAAGCTTCCGCGTCAGCGGCACTATCTACCGCTTCAGCGGCCACGCGGATTACTATGACGTGGCAAAAACTGAAAAAAACTGTAAACCAAGTTTTTGCCACGTCATAGTTATCCACGTGGCCGCTGAAGCGGTAGATAGTGCCGCTGACGCGGAAGCTTGCGGTCTACGCTCGCTCCGCTCGAACAAAATTTTCGAGCGAAGCGAGTGTAGACCGCAAGCTTCCGCGTAAACGGCACTATCTTCCGCGCAGCGGCCACCCGGATTACTACCTAGCGCCGATCTCAGACTGAATATTTCCAGCAGTTCAACGTGGCCGTCTACCCATCCCAAATTACCACCAAAATCCCTTTGCCCTCCGTCCCCCTGTACAAATTCCTCCTCTACCACCCCCACTTCTCCACCCACCACCAAAACGCCTCGATTCAATTTTCGAATTCGCCGCCCAAACCATCTTCGCCACTGTGAACTGGGCACGTCACAGTATGACGTCACTGACGCGCGCGGATCAAGCCAGATTATTGCGAGCCGGATGGGCTCCGATTTTTTCTGTTCGCCCTGGCGCATTCGAATTTTGGAGCAGAGGGTTTTGAAGTTGAAGATCTGGATGAAGAAGTTGAAGATCTACAGCGGAAGATTCGAGAAATTTTGGAGATTTCACTGGATGTTGTGGAGATTTCATCGTTGCGCGCGATTTTGTTGTTTAGTTCGGGTAAGTCGGGAAATTTTTGAATTTTTCAGAATTTTTTGAATTTTTCAGAATTTTTTTTTTCAGAATTTTTTGAAATTGGATTTGGAAAATTCATCAAATTGTTTTTTTTTTTGGATAAAATGAGCAATGTTTTTTAGAATTTTCAGATTTTTGCCTGAAATTTAGCATTTTCAAATTCGAAATCTGAAAAATTTCAACAAAAAATCATTGCTCATATTATACTTTTGTGATAATTTTCTAGTTTTTTCGAAAAAAATTTGATCAGAATTTAAAATTTCAGAGTAATATGAGCAATGGTTTTTTAATGGAATTTCAAATTTTCAAATTTTTCTGGATTTTTTAAAAATTTCTAGAAAATTTTCATTTTTTTCTGAATTTTGGAGTTCTGAATCTGAAATTTAGCATTTTTAAATTTTTTTTTCAAAAAAAAAATTGAAAAATCCTAAAATTGCAGCATTTCATGGATTTTTCTCTAGAAATCTTAAATTTTCGAGTTTTTCAGATCAAATATTTATTTTCAGCGATTTTGAGTAATTAAAATTCGAATTTTTCAAAAACTAAAAAAAATCCAAATTTCAAGTTTACCATGAGCAATGCTCAAAAACTTCAAAATTTCGTCTCAAAAAGCTCCAAATTTCAAGTTTAACATGAGCAATGCTCAAAAACTTCAAAATTGAGCTCAAAAAAATCCAAATTTCAATTTTTATTTCAAAATTTTTCAATATTTTATTGCTCATGTTAAAAAATTCCCATTTCCTCCTCCTCGAGCCCCGAAAAAAAATTCGTAAAAATAATCTGTGAACACAATCTGCTCCTATTCGGAATGAAGAAGTAATCCCTTGTGCCGCCGTGCGGCGCCTTAAAAAAAAAAAAAAAAAAGCCCGCCCCACCTCTCATGACCCTTTGGCCTGCTCTCTAGGAGTACGGTAGGGGGATTAAAGGGAGGCAGAGAAGAATAATGATGGGTTACTGTAGGTGGGTCAAATTTTTGGCCAAAAGCAATTTTTTTGGGCTACTGTAGGTGTCAGTTTTTGGCCAAAATAAATTTTTTTTGACACCTACAGTAACCCAAAAAAATTGGCCAAAATCAATATTTTTTTCAGAAGACGCGGAAATTGAGGAAAAATCAAAAATCGTGGAAATTTCCCGAAAATTGACGACCGCTCTCGAGGAGTACTGTAGAATGAACAATAAAGCGGAAAAGGTGGGTTTTTTGGGGGGGGGGAGTTAGCCTAACTCTGAGTTATGACGTGGCAAATAAGGTTTTGAGCTGGAAATTTGAATTTTCTAAGTTTTTTGACGCGCGAAAATTGTGAAATTCAAAAATTTTTTCAAAAAAAAATTTTTTTGGCTAAAATTTTGCTCAAAAAAATCAGAAAATTTTGATTTTTTTTTAAATTTCAGAAAATTTGGAAATTTTTTGAAATCCCGAATTTCTGCTCAAAATTAAACTGAAAATTCTGAAAAATCAGGAAATTCTGATTTTTTTTTTGAAAATTTAGAATTTTTCAAAAATTTTCAGATAATTCTGAAAATCGTAAGAAATCTTGAATTTTTGAAATTCTTCTCAAAAATAAATTGGAAACTTTGAAAAATCAGAAAATTCTGATTTTTTTTTGAAAATTTAGAATTTTTAAAAAATTTTCAGAAATTTCTGAAAATCGTAAGAAATCTTGAATTTTTAAAAAATCAGAAAATTCTGACTTTTTTTTTTGAAAATTTAGAATTTTTTCAACATTTTGTTTTGAAATTTTCAGAAAATTCTGAAAATTCTGATTTCATAAAAAAATCTAATTTTTGAATTTTGAGGGTTCGCGCCAAAACTCTTATATTCAAATTTTCAATTTTTCGCGCCAAATAAATCCACGTACAAAAATTTTTGGGCCAAAAATCTGATTTTTTTAAATTTTGAAAGTTTCGCGCTGAAAAATTCGTAATTTTACTTACGATAAATTCAATTTTTGAAAAAACGCGATTTTTTATGAAATTCATTTTTCACAAAAATTAAAATTTGAGAATTTTTAGAATTAAATTTCAGACGTGAACTTCTGATTTTGTCTTAAAAAAATTTCGATTCAGAAAATGTCAAAAACTATATTTTTTTCCTTTTTTTTGATTTTCTAGAAAATTTTGATTTTTTTTCTGAATTGTTCTGAATCTGAAATTGAGCATTTTTAAATTTATGAATTTTTGAGCCCATAACTCGGCTCACAGGCCAAATCATACAAAAAACTGTGAAAAATCCAAAAATTGCAGTATTTTTATGGATTTTTCCATAGAAATCCTCAATTTTCGAGTTTTTCAGCGATTTAGAGTCAAATTTTCCAGTGAAAAGTGAAAATTTGACTGAAAATCGCTGAAAAACTCGAAAATTTGTGGAAAAAATGTCAAAAATAGGAAAAAATATAGTTTTTTGACAAAAAAAATATTTTTCAAAAAAAAATTTTCGAAAATATTCCGATTCATCTTCCAGCGCTTCGATCGCCTTCTCGAATGCCTCAATCTTCTCCGAACCGCCAACTCCACCCAAATCTCGCGAATATTTTTCGCCAAACTTGTTGGCGACGCCAAAATCGAATCGATAATCACCGATTTGCTGAACATCCCAACATTCTTCCCCCCAACTCCTTCTAGTCTATAGATTTTTGAATTTTTTTTTGAAAAAAAAACTTTGCGTATTTAGTTTTGTATTGATATAAATTTTTATGAAATTCAAAAAAAAAATTTTTTTTTTTTTTTTTTCAAAATTTTTTTTTAAAAAAAATGCCGGTTTTGATCTACCCGGCCAGAAAATGATGATTTTTGCATTTTTCCACCAAAAAATTCCCCGTTTTCACCATCATGTTCTTGTCATCCTTTGACATGTCATATATTATCGTCGCGGGACCCATTAAATTCGCGCGCGCTCCGGCCACGTTCAATTTTTAATGGGATTATGAGAATTTATACAAAAACGGGAAAAAAGAGCGAAGATTATTAGAAATTGAGGGATTAGGGTTGAATTTAAAAAAAAAGAAAAAAAAATTTTTTTCAAAAAAAAAATTATATACCGTAGTTCTTTCGTCGCGACGAGACCCTGTGTGTGTTTGCGCCTTTAAAAAACTACGGTATTATATATTTTTTGTTTTTTTTCAGGGTTTTTAAGTTTTCCTGATCAAAACAAGAAATTCAACATGAGAAAAGTGAATTAGAACTAATTTTGCTCGATTTCCGTATTTTTCAACCGAAAAAATTGGTTTTTCCTCGATAAAACACGGTTTTTTAGTGTTTCTTGCTTTCCATTCTTCGATTTCTTATTAATCCGCTTGATTTCTGCCTTTTTTTCATGCAAAAACCTCGAAAACCCGAAAAAAACAAAAAAAAAACAAAAAAATACCGTAGTTTTTGAAAGGCGCAACAGTTGAAACACACATATGGGTCTCGTCGCGAGATGAACTACGGTATATAATTTTTTTTCGAAAAAAATTTTTTTTTCGCTTTTCCATTTTTTTTTCGCTCTGCGCGAGTGTAGACCGCAAGCTTCCGCGCGGCGGCCACGTGGCAGCCGCGCGGAAGCTTGCGGTCATTGTTTTTTCCACAAATTTTTGTTTTTTATCATTTTTTTTTGCAGATGATGATTCCGAACATTTTCCCCGCCAAAAAAATTGTGAGTTTTTATTTTTCGAAATAATTTTTTGACGAGCCTAAAATGAGCCTAGCGCCTTAGTTTTGCACTGTAGAAATTTTAGGCCCTTCTAAATAGGCCCCCACAAAACTTCATTCATTTCCGCACAGCCTTTCATTTATTTCCAGTGTTTATACTAAAAGTCATGCAAAGTCTTCTTTTTGAAATGGAAGGGGTATCAAATTTCACAGATAGAAATAAAATAAATGAAAAAAAAGTGAATACAATTTTTTTTCCTGCTCATATATTTATTTTTTGGAGAATAAAATAAAATAAACAAATACAGGATGTGTTCGGAAAATTTTAGGTGAATTTTTGTGGGAAAAAAGTGCAGAGCGAAAATTAATTAGCTAAATTGATGCGAAAATTGTTTTGAAACCTATTTTATTAGGGCTGGCTGATTCACGAACGAAAAAATGCTTTTTTTTTAACATTAAAATTCACGAAAAGTCAAAAAATGTCGAAAAAACATTAGTTTTTCGAGTTTTTCAGCCAAAAATGATGACAAATCAATATTTTTCAAGCTTCTGGAGTAATTTCTGATGAAAATTGACCTTGGAATTCACTTTCCAGAAGGTTTTTTTGAAGTTTCGAGAGCAAACTTCTGAAAAGTGAATTCCAAGGTCAATTTTCATCAGAAATGACTTCAGAAGCTTGAAAAATTTTGATTTGTCATCATTTTTGGCTGAAAAAAAAGTTTTTTCGACATTTTTTGATTTTTCGTGAATTTTCGATGTTAAAAAACATTTTTTAACATTTTTTCGTTCGTGAATCAGCCCTGTGGCTTTCAGAGACCAAAATTTGAAAAAAAAAGTCCTACAACCCGCTTCGAGCGCTCTGCGCGAGTGTAGACCGCAAGCTTCCGCGTAGCGGCCGCGTGGATTACTATAACGTGTAGTAATCCGCGTGGCCGCTGCGCGGAAGATAGTGCCGCTGACGCGGAAGCTTGCGGTCTACACTCGCTTCGCTCGAACAAAATATTAGTCTGGACCGCAAGCTTCCGCGTGGCGGCCACGTGGATTACTATAACGTGTAGTAATCCGCGTGGCCGCTGCGCGGAAGCTTGCGGTCTACACTCGCGCAGAGCGCTCGAATCAACCCCTTCGTACAAAAATTCTCCCATTCTCATACATTTTTCCCCAAGTTTTACAACAACCCGACCATGACCGAACGACAACAAAAAAAGAAACGAATATATGTATTTATTTGCGCGCGCTCCATTTCTTTTTCTTTTTTATATATGTATTGCCCCACTCCTTTTTTTATGGCAAATATGAGGAATTGTCATGGCCATAAAATGGAAAAGTGTTGAAAAAACACACACTTTTGTCCTAGTTTTGACGGTTTTTGATCGCTTGAAAGAGTTTTCCGGAATTTTGAAAATTAAAAAAAATTTCTTCACCCAAATTTTTTTCCATCAGTATTTTTCACAGATTCAACGTCGAATTCCGATTTTGACACTTCAAAACCCCATGTTCCTTTAAAATAACCATTGTCGTTGCGAGACCCTTGGGTCATTGGGTCAGACCCTTTGGTCTGCGAGACCCTTGGGTCAATGTTGCCACGTGGATTTGCGGTCATTTCGAAACTAAATAGTCCTATATTGTTCCTTTGGGTCCTACCACGATTTTTAAAGGAACATTAACAACATATTGGGTCTCAAAACGCTTTTCAGCTTTGCCACGTCATACCTAATCTAAATTGAATTGTTTCAATATCATTCATCCCGCCGAAAAAAAGGGCGTATAATAAATAATTATATATATATATATATATAAAAATCGCTATATCTAATAATGTCTAGATGAGTACTGTAGGTCATCCGATAAGAGATAATATCTCATATATGTATCTATATAAGAATAGATCAGTTTCATAAGTATGTTATAAATAGTCAGGAATTCATCAAGTGAAACGAAAACATCACAAAATGTTCATTTTTCGCTTCTGAAAGACAAAACTGAGCATTTTTTCGAACTTATAATTATTTTGTGTGAATTAATGTGCTATCGAAGATAATCAAACCATTTTATGACAAATTACATTCTAATACAAAAATATTGTTTTTCATTTTTTGTTGTTTTCTTTATTAAGTTGCTCATAAAACCCATTGTTTTCTTATTCCTATTCCTCATGTTCATAATTGTTTTATTGTTCGAATCAAAATTGTAAAAAAGTTCGCTTCGGTTGATTTTTTCACATTTTTTCCTTCAAAAAAATGTGGAAAAATGCGCTCTGACCGATTTTTTCACATTTTCTCAAAGAAAAAAAGGAGGAAAAATGTGAAAAAATCGGTCACAGCGCATTTTTTCACATTTTTTGTTTTCGCGTAAAAACGTGTGATTTTCAGAAAATTAGTGAAATTGAGAGTTATCAATTATGAAAACATTGAAACAACAGAAATTGAACTTAATTTAATCCTTCAATTTCGAACATTCTTTTGAAAACTGAAAAAACCAACAAAATTCGACTATTTTGGGGAAAAATCACAATTCATCACGTTTCACACTTTCTGCTGATTATTCTTCATCAACTCAATCTATTTACAAACGGTTTTTCCCGTTTTCACAACTATTTTCCGTCGATTTCTTCGAAAAAACTAAAAAAAAGAAAAGAAATTCGATTAAAGGGAGGACGATGACATGTGTGTGTACCTCGCAGCGAACACACATTTCGTGTACTTCTCTCGGACGATTTCAAAAAATTTTTTTTTCTTTTTCGCCGAAATGTGTTTTGTTTGTTTTATCCTATATGAAAATAGTATTTTGATACTTTCAGGTGATAAAATCGATAAGTGGTCATGGAAGAACAACTGGAACAACACTATATAGGAATTATTGGTAGGTAATTTGTTTTTATTTGGCAAAGGAAGAAAAAACATCAAGAACCTAAATTTCGATGAAGCTTGGTGGAAATACAGAATTGAGCATGCTAATTGTTATATGAGAGGTGAAAGTCATCACGAACTCCTGCTGATACTGGTATGGAGCTACAAAGTGTCAGTTTTTCTGCTTTTCACACGAAACATTCAAAAATTGCAAAAATCAAGTGCAAATTTTTGCTCACCGAATCAAGGTGCAAAAAGTGTGAAAGACTGATAACTTTGAAGCTTCATAAAAGCGCTCACATGGTTCTGATGCAACTTTCAACTTCGAGACACGAATTTTTACTTTTTTTCGCTTCCACCAAGTTTCATACGTTTTTTATATCCTTGAGAAACAACATTCGTTTCTACTGGAATTACGATAATGGCTTTTTTGCAGATAAATCTCGAAATCGGGACGCGTTCGGACGACAAACAATCGGCAGGAAAAATCTTCAAACAGCCATTCGAGGAAGTTTTTATAATAATTTTTTGTATATTTTTTGCACATTTTTCTTCGATTCAAATATGTTAAAAAATTTGTTGTAACTCATTTTTTCACATTTTTGAATCGAAGAAAAATGTGAAAAAATTGGACGCACCCGTTTTTTTCACATTTTTTCAAGGTATTTTGTGAAGATCAAATGTGAAAAAATTAGCTCTGACCGATTTTTTGACAATTTTTATCACTGGAAAATGTCAAAAAATTGGTTGTGGCTGATTTTTTCACATTTTTTCTTTGGAATTGGGAGATGAAATGTGAAAAAATGAGATGCAGACGATTTTTTTACATTTATATTCAACATTGTTGTTCCTTCTTTTGTTTAATAAATTGCTTTTGAAAAATGGTTTTTGGTGAGTGTTCAAAAAAAGCAAGGCTAATGAGAATAAGAGTTTTTCTTGACAGTTTCTTGGAAAAGTTGGAATTGCATACCGATTATCAGATATGTGTCTGTTTTTTCAACATGGTGCGAATGAACGACAGTTTTCATCAACTTGACTATTTATAACATACTTATGAAACTGGCCTATTCTTATATCTCATTATAGTTGGACAACGACTCAAGTCGACTCAAGTCGACTCGGAGTCGATAAGACAGCTGTTTTCGACTCGACTAACGACTCGAGTCGTTTAGTCGAAAAGGTGAGTCGATTAGAAAATGACTCGAGTCGAGTCGAATGGTTTTTTCGACTCGACTCGACTCCGATGGTCAAATTTCTCATGGTGGGTGGGGCTTTTGTAATATGGCTAAGGTGTTGGCTTAGATGGTGAATATTGGATGATGATTGGTGAACATGGTGATAGTGCACCAAATGCACCAATAATGGGAAATTGGTGTGATTGGTGCAGTTGGCGCAATTTTAACCATTGGTGGAATTTGTTGAATTGGTGGATGGTGGAATTGGCGAATGGTGGATGGTGGAATTGGCGAATGGTGGATGGTGGAATTGGCGAATGGTGCAATTCGCCAATTGGTGTGATTGGTATATTTGGTCATTGGTGCACCAATTGGTGAAATTGCACCAACTACACCAATTGGTGAAATTGCACCAACTACACCAATTGGTGAATTGCACCAACTACACCAATTGGTGAATTGCACCAACTACACCAATTGGTGAATTGCACCAACTACACCAATTGGTGAATTGCACCAACTACACCAATTGGTGAATTGCACCAACTACACCAATTGGTGAATTGCACCAACTACACCAATTGGTGAAATTGCACCAACTACACCAATTGGTGAAATTGCACCAACTACACCAATTGGTGAATTGCACCAACTGCACCAATTTCCCATTATTGGTGCAATTGGTGTGATTGGTGCACTATCACCATGTTCACCAATCATCATCCAATATTCACCATCTAAGCCAACACCTTAGCCATATTACAAAAGCCCCACCCACCATGAGAAATTTGACCATCGGAGTCGAGTCGAGTCGAAAAAACCATTCGACTCGACTCGAGTCATTTTCTAATCGACTCACCTTTTCGACTAAACGACTCGAGTCGTTAGTCGAGTCGAAAATTATTTTTCCAAACGACTCGACTCCAAGTCGACTCGAGTCGACTCAAGTCGAGTCGTTGTCCAACTATATATCTCATGTACTTTTTTTACTTTTTGGTTACACTTTCCATTTTTCATTCGATTTGAGTGTACAAATCGTCTCGGGACCAAAAACTGTAGCACTATGTGTCCCTAAGCATTTGTTGTTAACAAAAATTCTCAAAAGTTTGTAGCTTCTCCTTCTTTTTTGTGTGGAGTATTAAAAAATGCATGGTTATAAATATTGAAGTGAGTTTTCTTCGCCAGAACCCCCCGAGGAAGCCTCATAAATTTTTGATTCGTCAAATTTTTCTTCTTCTTTTGAGACCTTCACACCTTCATTTTACCTCTAATTGACCATTTTAGGTCAAGTGTGAGAGGAAAATGAAAACTTGTTTTAAAATTAAATTAAATTCGAAAACTTGAGACAATTTGGGTGTGCCTCAGCTCTTGAACAATAACAAAAACATGTGAAAATACAGAAACTTTTAAAAGTACTGTACTAACAAACCGGACAACCGGATGAATTGAAAACTTGATCCAATTTTTGTTCTTCTCCCCAGCAATTTTCATGTCCTCTTTTCTTTTTCCATCTTTTTTTGTTCGGCTGGCGCCTGCCCTCCGCAATTATACCAACAAATGTTTTGGTTATATGTAATTTATACACATTTCTCATCGGCCTTGTGAACAAACCTAACTTTCATAAGGGCTGATTCACGAACTAAAAAAATGTTTAAAAATTTTTTTTTAATTTTCGAGTTTTTCAGCCAAAAATGATGACAAATCAATATTTTTGAAGCTTCTGGGGTGATTTCTGATGAAAATAAGCTTCGAGAACCCTATTTTGCTTTATTTTATGAATTTTTTCGAAATTTTACGAAAAATCAGCAAAAACTTCTGAAAAGTGGATTCCAGAGTCAATTTTAATCAGAAATCCCTCCAGAAGCTTGAAAAATATCGATTTGTCATCATTTTTGGCTGAAAAACTCGAAAAACTAATTTTTGACCTACAATGTTTTTTCGACTTTTTGTGAATTGATCTTTCGATGTTAAAAAAACATTTTTTTTCGTTCGTGAATCAGCCCTTGAGCATTTTATAGTTAGATATTAGCAACTGATTTTTAAAAATATTGGATTTTGATCGTATGCATATGATAGAATGGTCTAAGACGATCATAATGATATAAATTTTGATGACTTTACCTTAGCCATAAGTGATTTAGCGATGTTTAGTCGATATTTAGTCGATAAGTCGCTAAATCACTTATGGATAAGGTAAACTCTTAAAATTTATATCATTCTGTTCGTCATAGACCATTCTATCCTATGAATACGATTAAAATCCAATATTTTTACTTTACTTGCTTAAAAAACCTGAAAATGTCATTTAGTCGATTCGAGATACCCTTAAATTGCTCATTTTATACAAATTTATCATCAGGGGCCAAAAATTCTATGAATTCGGCTCCTGATGATAAATTTGTCTGAAATGTGCAATTTAAGCCCCAGAAATGTTCTCTGCTAGATTTTTCCAGTCTAATTTTTCTATATCATTTTTGTTGCGCCCCTCTACGAGCACACAAAATATCCGGTTCATTTGATTTATGGGTCACTCAACAAATTTGCTTTTTCTCTTTTTCTGATTTTTTTTGTACATAGTTGTTGTATATAATTCAAGTCCCAAGAGAAAGAAGAGAAATTTTAATTAATATTTTCCATAAAAAATAAAATAATGTGCGACTTTCGAGCTCTCTACGCTCTCTTCCAGAATCCGCGCACCTATCTAGAGATTATCAATAGAGCGCATTTCGTCTCCTCTCTCTCATTCGCTTGGCTTGTGGATAGATTAGTGTGTATGCCAGTCTGCGCCCTCCACTCTCTCACAATATATGCCTCCTAGTTTACCTACATTCTTCACACTCTTCTCTCGCTACCCCACACTTTTTTCCCTATCATTTTTTCCAACTTTACCTGGTTTTGCTTTCCTGGACCGGACCGGGCTTTTTTTCCGGGTGGGGCCCCACCCGAAAAAAAAGCCCGGTCCGGTCCACCCGGTTCTTTTTTATGCTTGTTTATTTGCATACCTCTGGGTGGGCTTGTTGTTTTCTTCTAACATAAGGCCTTTGTTGTTTTCGGCATTTTGTTTACCTTTCCGGATCCTTGTAGTATTTTTCTAAGGACACGTGGAATTTGCCGAGTTTTTTGGCCTTTAGACTTTTTGGGCCTGGCCCCCCAGAAGCCCCCCAACCTGAAATAAACAGGTTTCCTCAATCAAGCCTACACCGCTGTGAGAGGATTTCATTTTTGTGATTTCTAAACACGTTTTTCTCATAAATTCTTCAGAATTTCTCTCATTTTATCATCTTCTTCTTGTGTTTTGATTTTTCATGTTTCACTCCCCCCAAAAAATCCGTGACTCTCTAGTTGAAAAATACCAAAATTTTGGTGATTTTTGAAGTGTGTAAGTAAAACACGGTATTTCAAGAGGGTTGTTCACTCCTCCTCTCACATTTTTTTTTCAATTTCGCCTTGTCCACACACAGAGAAATACAAACACATAATATGTACAAAACCCAAGTATTTGTGTAGTAAAAACCCATAAGTACTGAACTAATGTGATTTGTGTACACACATTAATAAATACGATATATGCTATTTATAAGAAACGTACATTAGGCGGGTCATTATTATTATTCTTATGCGATGCGATTTAGTTGTTGTTGTGTACCTTTTAATTATACAGGGAGGATCCTCCGCGAGTAACCTTGGCATTTTTTGTCTCTGCGTCAGACAAATCATATGTTTACCGAATTGTTGGGTACAAACTCGGAAAAAAAAACATTTTCTTAGGGAAATTTCCGCTATATAGCTATATAAACTATAAAAGACCTGTAAACCAAGTTTTTGCCACGTCATAGTTATCCACGTGGCCGCTGAAGCGGTAGATAGTGCCGCTTACGCGGAAGCTTGCGGTTCACGAAATTTTAAAAAATCGTTTTTTAACGTTAAAAAAGCAAAAAAGTGATTCACGAACGGTATTTTTATTCATTTTTTCACCATTTTCTTAACACAGCTGAAACGCAGGCTGATTAGAAAGTCTTTAAATAGCTTTTCTGGACACTAAAATGTGTTTTAGCTTCACTTTATTCAATGTGTTAAGAAAATGGTAGAAAAATGAATAAAAATACCGTTCGTGAATCACTTTTTTGGTTTTTTTTAACGTTAAAAAACGTTTTTATGTTATTTAGTGAATCACTGCATAATAACCTTGCCCATTTTTCTCACCGTCTCGCCAATTTTCTAAGGTTTTCTAACAAAACCTGTTTTTGGTTGTTCCTACCTCGTTTTCCCCCCCCTGGTTTCTTTCGCCCTACTCGCTAATCCTCTTTACTTTTCACCTTTCCGCGCTGAGAAAAATCTAGGTTTGAACCAAGCGCTCCTGATTAACTTAGGCTATAAGGATTGATCATAATTTACGCCAACTTCAACAACAAAAAAAGTTCCAAGACCACCCGACAAGTTTTGTTGATAAGATTACCCATTACTTACATTAGTTGTCCTCTCTCCAAAATACAACAGCAGAAATTTTTTATCATATTTGTATGGGGGAAAGGACATTAAGTGAGAGAAGACGAGACTTGTTTATTATTGCCCCGCACATTTTTATAGTTTTTTTTTTTCAAAAATTGATTTTCTATTAGTATTCAAGTACTATTCGAATTTTCGTTTTGATCTACGATTTTTTTCTTGAAATTTTGCGCTAAAAATCCCACAGAATCTTCATTTTTTTTTTCATAAATAATTTCGAATTTATTTTTAATAACCCCTGGGGTTTTCCAAGACCCCTCCCCCGAAAAACGTTTAACAATTTTTCTCCATCAAAAGTTTTTTCGGCCGGTGTGCTCCACTGCTCCGTTGCTAGGAAGCAGAGCTCTTTCTGGCTCTCAGCAGCGCGCATGCACAGCGCGCCAACGAAAAAGTGTATTTCCGCTCAATTTAGTATTAGAGCACACAGCGGCGGGCTCTTTCCCCCTACTCCATTTTTTGCTGCCCCCGGCTCCGCCTTCTCATATTTTTCCATGTGCTCGCATGTGTCATTATTATTATTATTATGATTCTAGCTTTTTTGTGGTTATATTTGGGGCTTCCTTTAATCTCATTGTTATTCTCACTTAGCCTAACTCGAATTTCGCAAAAAATTTGATCTCTCATTCCCTTTTGTTAGCCTTTGTTGCAACGTAACAATCGAATTTCCTTCCCCAACAAAAAAAACGTTTTTCTTTCCAGCCATAACGATTGAAAATAGTCGGAAGCGAAAAATGGACGGCGCACAGCCAGTCAATTTGGTGCCGTCCGTTTCAATGGAATCGCTGACATCGCAAGATTCGGCTAATAGTTTATCACAGGTGAGAAGCCTTTCTTTTGCTCCTTTAGAAAATCTTTCGTCTTGCAGGTTCGCACGCTTTTCGTTTCCGGTCTACCGATGGACGCAAAACCGCGCGAGCTCTATCTTTTATTCCGCGGTTGTCGTGGTTACGAGAACTCTTTGTTGAAAATGACGGCGAAGAATGGAAAACAGACGTCGCCGGTTGGATTTGTCGTATTTCTCACACAACAGGATGCGCAAGACGCCCGGAAACAATTGCAAGGCGTTCGATTCGACCCCGATTGCGCGCAAGTTCTTCGCCTCGAACTCGCCAAATCGAACACGAAAGTGGCGCGGCCAAAACAATCGCCACCGCCAGCGTTGCAAACCGGCGGTGTTCCGCAATTCCTGGCGCCAATTCAACCGGATTTGGCGGGAATGATTGATCCGACGGCGCTACTCAATGAACATCAGTTGCTGGCGCTGAGTTTTCCGCATTTACAAGCGGCGCAAGCGTTGCAAGCGTATATGCCGACGGCGGCTCTACATCAACAATTGCATCAACCTGCGTTGTATGCACAGCTACAAGGTAAGATTATTCTTGGTTAAGTGATTCAGGAAATGAAAAAAACGTTTTTTTTTTCTGTTAAAAATTCTGTTAAAAATATGCTTGGAAGCATTTTTGAGAAAACAAATTATACAGAATATTATTTTGATTAGAGACAATGGAAAATTGATAGAGCGCAGAGAACACAATTAAATTTTCCGGCGAAATTACAAAATAACTGATTGTGTCCTAACGGAGCGAGTGTAAACCGCAAGCTTCCGCGTAAGCGGCACTATCTACCGCTTCAGCGGCCACGTGGATAACTATGACGTGGCAAAAACGTGGTTTACAGTTTTTTTTAGTTTTTGCCACATCATAGTCACGTGGCCGCTGAAGCGGTAGATAGTGCCGCTTACGCGGAAGCTTGCGGTTTACACTCGCTCCGCTCGAAGGTTAGGACACAATCAGTTATTTTGTAATTCCGCTCGAAAATTTAATTTTTTTCTCTACGCTCTCTCATTTTTCCATTGTCTCTAATGGAAAAATTGATGCAGTAATTCACGAAATTAAAAAAAAACCGTTTTTTAACGTTAAAAAACCACAAAAAGTGATTTACGAACGGTATTTTTATTCATTTTTTCACCATTTTCTTAACACATTGAATAAAGTAAAGCTAAAACGCATTTTAGTGTCCAGAATTACTATTTTAACGTAAGTTACAAAACTGAAATTTTGAGAGGAAAAAACAAGGAATTTCTAGATTTTGAATATGAATTTTGAAATTTTCTTGATTTTTGTAAATTTTTATTTGATTAAAATATTTTTAAAGTAAAAAAAAACATTTTCAGACAGAATTCAATTATGTGAATCAAAATATATTTTGCGGGTTTTCAATTGAAAAATTCATGAAACGTATTTTCTCCGGAATTTTTTCAAATGTAAATTCAGTCACAAATTCGATCTTTTCATCACTAAAAAATTTTCGATTGAATTTTCAGATAGAAATTTCTTTTTTTTTTTCGGACCTTTTTAGGCCTTTCGAGAAAAAATCCCCTGGGGCTTTTACTATTCAAAGAGGGCCCGATCTTTTGAGCAAATAAAATTTTGTCGTCTTACCCCCCTTTAAGACCTTCTAATCAACCTAAAAGACAAATCAAGCCTTCAAAATCAAATTGTTGATTTTTCGGGAGATGTGAGGCTTGATTTGTCTTTTAGGCTGATTAGAAGCTCTTTAAATAGCATTTCTGAACACTAAAATGCGTTTTAGCTTCACTTTATTCAATGTGTTGAGAAAATGGTAAAAAATGAATAAAAATACCGTTTTTTAACGTTAAAAAACGTTTTTTATTTCGTGAATCAGTAGGGGTATCCAGAATTTTTCGTTTCGCAATGAATGTTATTAGAAATTTCTTCCCTCACAGCAAAATCAGCACCCTTTCCTTTCCTTCCTGATCTCCGACAAAAATCACAACACTTGCAGCAAACGCTGGCGCTGCACAATATGCAGCAGCAGTTGCAGCGGCCGCCGCCGCTCAACAACAATCACACCAACACCACCAACACAATCACCTTCAGCAGCAGCAGCAACCTCAGCCGCCACTTCCACCAACACAACAGCAAAATGGCGTATCATCGCCAGCGCCGACGTCAGCTGGAGCAGCAACTCCGGGAGCGACTCCCGCAGCAGCAGCAGCAGCAGCATGTTCCACACTTTTCGTCGCCAATTTGGCGGCTGATATCAATGAGGAACAGTTGCGCGGAGTGTTCAAGGCTTTTGCCGGTTTCACACGTCTTCGTCTTCACAACAAAAATGGGAGTTGTGTGGCGTTTGTCGAGTATTCGGATTTGCAAAAAGCGACGCATGCCATGATTTCGTTGCAAGGATTTCAGGTAGATAGCATGGTTTTTTCACGTTTTCTCCTGGAACTGTCCCACAAATCTCTGACATTTTCAGGTTTTTTAAGCATATTCATATGATAGAATGGTTTAAGACGAACAGAATGATATAAATTTTGATAACTTAACCTTATCCATAAGTGATTTAGCGATATTTAGTCGATAAGGTCGCTAAATCACTTATGGCTAAGGTAAACTCATCAAAATTTATATCATTCTGTTCGTCTTAGAGCATTATACCCTATGAATACGATTAAAATCCAATATTTCAACTCATTTGCTTAAAAAACCTGAAAATGTCGTTTAGTCGAACGCCGTTTACGCGAAATACGCGACATCTACCGCTTCAGCGGCCACGTGGATAATTATGACGTGGCAAAAACTGAAAAAAACAACTGTAAACCAAGTTTTTGCCACGTCATAGTTATCCACGTGGCCGCTGAAGCGGTAGATAGTGCCGCTTACGCGGAAGCTTGCGGTTTACACTCGCTCCGCTCGGAAATTTAATTGTGTTCTCTGCGCTCTCTCAATTTTCCATTGTCTCTAATTGAAAAATTGATGCAGAAATTCACGAAATTTAAAAAAAAAAGGGAACCCTAGTTTCTAAAAAACATTGTTCTGTACAATCTTCGCCCAATTTTCCGCCCTATTACACTCTTTAAGAAAAAAACCCGATTTTCAGATTGCTTCAACCGACCGCGGAGGCCTGCGCATTGAATACGCTCGCAATAAAATGGCGGATGTCAACGGATAATCTTTTCTCACACGTCACCGCATTTCCCATGGAAGCATTTTGTCTCGAAACCGATCTCTTCTCTGACCTGACCATCTACCCTTTCAAAAATTGCACCAAATGTGTACATACATATTATTATTTTACGAATATCTGTGATTTTTTGTACCACATATTATTTTACCCTTTTTTTTCTGCTTTTTGCCCATACATTCCAATTTTTCCCAAGTTTTCTTCATGTAATAAGTTTTCCTAATGAATGAATGTGATTTTTGATTTTGACCTATTTTTGTATTCGACGCGTGAAAGAGCACTTTTGTAAGTACCGTTTTTCAAGTACTCATGTTCACTCAGTTTTTTTGAACAAGTGTTTGTTCATATTTGAAATTGAAAAAAGCACAGATTTACTGTCAGAATAAAAAAAACGTTTTTTTAACGTTAAAAACCCAAAAAAGTGATTCACGAACGGTATTTTACAGAATATTCTGCGATTAGAGACAACGGAAAATTGAGAGAGCGCAGAGAACACAATTGAGCGAAATTGCAAAATAACTGATTGTGTCCTAACCTTCGAGCGAGGCGAGTGTGAACCGCAAGCTTCCGCGTAAGCGGCACTATCTACCGCTTCAGCGGACACGTGGATAACTATGACGTGGCAAAAACTTGGTTTACAGTTTTTTTTAAAGTTTTTGCCACGTCATAGTTATCCACGTGGCCGCTGAAGCGGTAGATAGTGCCGCTTACGCGGAAGCTTGCGGTTTACACTCGCTCCGCTCGAAGGTTAGGAGTCCTAACCGCAAGCTTCCGCGTACGCGGCACTATCTACCGCTTCAGCGGCCACGTGGATAACTATGACGTGGCAAAAACTTTAAAAAATAACTGTAAACCACGTTTTAGTTATCCACGTGGCCGCTGAAGCGGTAGATAGTGCCGCTTACGCGGAAACTTGCGGTTAGGACTCTTAACCTTCGAGCGGAGCGAGTGTAAACCGCAAGCTTCCGCGTAAGCGGCACTATCTACCGCTTCAGCGGTCAACTATGACGTGGCAAAAACTAAAAAAAAAACTGTAAACCACGTTTTTGCCACGTCATAGTTATCCACGTGGCCGCTGAAGCGGTAGATAGTGCCGCTTACGCGGAAGCTTGCGGTTTACACTCGCTCCGCTCGAAAATTTAACTGTGTTCTCTGCGCTCTCTCAATTTTCCATTGTCTCTAGTGGCTAAAAAATTGATGCAGAAATTCACAAAATTCAAAAAAAAACGTTTTTTAACGTTAAAAAACCAAAAAAGTGATTCACCAACGGTATTTTTATTCATTTTTTCAACATTTTCTCAACACATTGAATAAATTGAAGCTAAAACGCATTTCATTTTCAGCATGTTAGGAGCATTTTCAGAAAACGCTGAATATACCATCTGATTCGTCTCGTCGAGATGAGCCAGGAAAACAGTTTACTTGTTTCTGAAGTGCATTTTCAACGTGAAAACGACATTTTCAAAAGCTTCTGCTATATTTATTAAAAAAATCAATAATCCAAATCCAAAGGAACACGATAACTCAAAGGAATCACATCATATTCAGCCATACATAATTCATTGATATAACTAAACTCGCAACAATTTCGACAAAATGGATTCGGCTCGAAATTGAACATTCGAAATCCTAAATTCGCAATATTACTCATCAATATCATATGATCCATCGTGTTGAAATGAATCTCCACAAATATTTGACAAACAAAATGATTTTCCAAAAATGGCAAAAGTGCCCGTTGTTCACCGCCTTCTATATCAATTTTCAGAAAATCGACATGTTTTTGTTTTTTGGGCGATTCATCGAGAAGTTTAGCAATCGGATATTTTTCACCGATCTCTCCGACATACGCTTTTCCACCAATTTTTTTGTAGCTCTCCAAAGTTCTGGCGGATTGTGGCGAAACATCGATTCCGAATAGAGCGCATTTGAATCCTGTGCGATTTTGGAAATCTTTTTCGAAGTTTATTTGATTGTTCAGACCCAGGGATAATAATCTGTAAGAAAAATAATGTTTTTTTTTTGGAAATCCGGTCAATTTTCCATTTTAAAGGAACATACTGCTGTCCATGTTCCTTTAAAATATCAATTTTCGTTGCGAAACGGCCCTGTTCCTTTAAACTTGGGTCTCACAACGATCTGAAGCTTTTTGGGACCCAAATTTAAAGGAACATAGCCTTATTTAGTCTCAAAATGACTGGAATTGGCCGTGTTCCTTTAAACTTGGGTCTCACAGCGATAAAAGACCCAAATTTAAAGGAACATAGCCTTATTTAGTCTCGAAATAACTGGAATTGGTCCTGTTCCTTTAAACTTGGGTCTCACAACGATCTAAAGCTTTTTGGGACCCAAATTCAAAGGAACATAGCCTTATTTACCCTCAAAATGACTGGAATTGGCCCTGTTCCTTTAAACGTGGGTCTCACAACGATCTAAAGCTTTTTTGGACCCAAATTTAAAGGAACATAGCCTTATTTAGCCTCAAAATGACTGGAATTGGCCCTGTTCCTTTAAACTTGGGTCTCACAACGATCTAAAGCTTTTTGGGACCCAAATTTAAAGGAACATAGCCTTATTTAGCCTCAAAATGACTGGAATTGGCCGTGTTCCTTTAAACTAGGGTCTCACAACGATCTAAAGCTTTTTGGGACCTAAATTTAAAGGAACATAGCCTTATTTAGTCTCAAAATGACTGGAATTACACGTGGAATTCGACGGAGCACAATTCTAGACTCACACACATCCTTTGCGCGCCAATTCCGCATCACACACAAATTTCCCACCATCACCATAACCGACTCTTTCCAACTTCGGGCAAAACGCTTCAATCGAGATTTTCTCATAGAACAGCGAATTGTTGTTGGTTTTCGAGGCCGCCAGCAACATTTTTCGAGCCATTTTCGACTCCCTCAAAAACGATTTTCGTTTTTCGAATTGTTTTTGATAAACATCGTCGAGATCTGGTTTTTCTTCTTGTTTAACAAAGAGATTTTCAGCTTTTTGATATTCCAAAGTTGGACGAAGTCGTACATTTTCCAGTTTCTCATTGAAAAACGTCAAATACACGAAAAACACCAGCAGAATTATTGTGCACAATTTCAGACTCTTCATTTTTCTGAAAATGACTTTTTTCCTTCATTTCCACGTCATCTTAAACTCACGTCACGTTTCATTTTCAGATTTTTAGATAGTTTTATGTTTTGCAAAAAAAAATGGAAGAGAAAAAACCTCCTCTCACACCTGCGCCCTCCCCCTCCAGCACACTCTCTCATCGCTGGCCGAGGAGTTTTCTAGGCCATGGCCATGGCATTTTTTTCTTTTTTTTTTTTTTTTTCGTTTTTGGGACTTTTTCAAAGAAAATTGCTGTTCTAGGTTGAAAAATTGATGTGACAAGAGAAGATGGTGATGCTGAATATAGATGTTGTTATGAAACGACTGCAAGATATTCGAGATCCCACGCAAGAGGCAATCGAAACGATGACCCTGTGGATTATGCATTATAAGGATAAAGCTTCGATTGATGTTATTGTTCAGGGTTGGATGAATGCGTTTAAAGGTTTAAAGATCTCTTGAGTTTTCAAAAAATAATTTTTTTCAATTTTTTAGTGGCGAAAACTGATGAAAAGCGGATAACATTGTTCTACGTCATGAATCATGTTGTTCAAAAAGCAAAGATGAAAAATATGGATGCTCTAATCATCTCATTCCAACCGCATGTTTTGACTTCTATTGGAATCGGGAAGAAATCGCCAAAAGTCAAGGCGGCCATGAAAAAGTGTTTGGAGTGTTTTGGACCCAGGGAGGTTTTCACCAGCGCCACAATGATTGCTATGAAGAATTTGTTGGAAGCTGATGATGCTTTTGATACTGAGGAAACTGTTTTGGACATTGATAATGACGAAATTGTGAGAAAAGTCACTTCTTTTATCTCGGCTGAGAATGTTGTGGCGGATATGATGAAAACGTTGCATGAGGGAGATTTTGATTATAAGGAGAGGGTTAGAAATGGCATGAAAGGTGAGCGTTTTGGGGCAGGAAATTAGAAGCCTATGGAAATTCTGTTAAAAAATAGGAGCGAGTGTAAACCAAGTTTTTGCCACGTCATAGTTATCCACGTGGCCGCTGAAGCGGTAGATAGTGCCGCTTAGGCGGAAGCTTGCGGTTTACACTCGCTCCGCTCGAAGGTTAGGAGTCCTAACCGCAAGCTTCCGCGTGAGCGGCACTATCTACCGCTTCAGCGGCACTATCTACCGCTTCAGCGGCCACGTGGGTAACTATGACGTGGCAAAAACTTTAAAAAAACTGTAAACCAATGTTTTTGCCACGTCATAGTTATCCACGTGGCCGCTAAAGCGGTAGATAGTGCCGCTGAAGCGGAAGCTTGCGGTTTACACTTGCTTCGCTCGAAGGTTAGGACACAATCAGTTATTTTGTAATTTCGCTCAATTGTGTTCTCTGCGCTCTCTCAATTTTCCATTGTCTCTACTATTTCACGAACTTAAAAAAAACGTTTTTTTAACGTTAAAAAACCCGAAAAAGTGATTCACGAACGGTATTTTTATTCATTTTTTACCATTTTCTTAACACATTGAATAAAGTGAAGCTAAAACGCATTTTAGTGTCCAGAATTGCTATTTCAAGATCTTCTAATCAGCCTAAAAGACAAATCAAGCCCTAGGGTGATAACGGGTTTTGAAATAAGGTAAGTTTAGTCTTAGGTAACTCGACGTGCTAATCATTATCCTGCAAAAATTAACTGCTGAGCTCCAGTCTGAGCCGCGCAAATGAGCTCCAAATTTTGCTCAGAAAATCTCTCAATTTTCATATGAAATAAGTATTTTTTGGGTAGAATAGTAGTACCTTAGGGTTGTAAATCTGAAATCAGTGAAATTTCATATGAAAATTGAGATTTTTGATTTTCTGAGAAAAATTTGAAGCTCAGCAGCTAATTTTTGCGGGATAATGATCTGCACGTCGAGTTAAATAAGACTGAACTTACCTTAACTCAAACCCCGTTATCACTCTAATGGAAGTCCCTTATGAGGCTTGATTTGTCTTTTAGGCTGATTAGAAGGTCTTGAAATAGCATTTCTGGACACTAAAATGCGTTTTAGCTTCACTTTATTCAATGTGTTGAGAAAATGTTGAAAAAATGAATAAAAATACCGTTTGTGAATAACTTTTTTGGTTTTTTAACGTTAAAAAATTGTATTTCGTGACTTACTGCATTATAAAAAATATACGATTACATGACACAAAAAGGAACGTTTTGTATATTTTTTTTGCAACAAAAGTGTACATTTTCTCCATTCACAGACCGTGAAGAAGGTGCACATTTTGGAGCGAAATTACAAAATAACTGATTGTGTTCGAGCGAAGCGAGTGTAAACCGCAAGCTCCCGCGTAAGCGGCACTATCTACCGCTTCAGCGGCCACGTGGATAACTATGACGTGGCAAAAACTAAAAAAAAAACTGTAAACCAAGTTTTTGCCACGTCATAGTTATCCACGTGGCCGCTTACGCGGAAGCTTGCGGTTTACACTCGCTCCGCTCGAAAAGAAAAAAATGTCGAAAAAACATTGAGTTTTTTAGCCAAAAATGATGACAAATCGATATTTTTCAAGGTTCTGGAGTAATTTCTGATGAAAATTGACCTTCAGAAGGTTTTGCTGATTTTTCGTTGATGAATTTCGAAAAAAATTCATAATAGGGTTCTCGAAGCTTATTTTCATCAGAAATTACTCCAGAAGCTTGAAAAATATCGATTTGTCATCATTTTTGGCTGAAAAAAACATTTTTCAACATTTTTTTCTTTGACAGACCGTGAAGAAGGTGCACATGTTCTCGAAGAAATTCACACGGCCATAAATGTCACGAAACAAGTTCGAAGTTCGATGGAAGCGCGCAAGAAGAAAATGATCGAATTAATCGAGACACTCGAATTAGCGAAACGTGTCTATTTGCATCAAAAACGTGAAGTTTTGGTGGTCGAAGAGGCCTATACGAATTTCCGCGACGGAATTAAAACTGTGCACGATGAGTTGACGGAGATGGAGGCGACTGGAGTGTATCCGGGTGTGACGCCACCAAGAGAGGCGCCGTCGCCGACGGCTGATGAGGATATTTATGCGACGGGTGTGGAGAATGCTATACAGCGTGAGTTTTAGTAATCCGCGTGGCCGCTGCGCGGAAGATAGTGCCGCTTACCGCGGAAGCTTGCGGTCTACACTCGCTCCGCTCGAACAAAATCATAGTCTGGACCGCAAGCTTCCGCGTCAGCGGCACTATCTACCGCACAGCGGCCACGCGGATTACTATGACTTTGAAAAAATCGTACTGATATTCCGCGTGGCCGCTGACGCGGAAGCTTGCGCGTCTACACTCGCTTCGCTCGAAAAAAATAATAGACCGCAAGCTTCCGCGTGGCGGCCACGTGGATTACTATAATGTGTAGTAATCCGCGTGGCCGCTGCGCGGAAGATAGTGCCGCTCACGCGGAAGCTTGCGGTCTACACTCGCTCCGCTCGAACAAAATCCAAATTTTTTTGAATTTTGAAAGTTTCGCGCTGAAAAAATCCTAATTTTAATTACCAGAAATTCAAAAAAAAATTAATTTAAGACGTGAATTTTTATGAAATTCATTTTCAGAAAAATTAAAATTTCGAGAATTTTTAGAATTAACATTTCAGATTTTTTTATTGTTAAAAAACATTTTTTTCAAATGAAAAATTATGAAAATTTGAAATTCCACGTGGATTTTCATATGGTTAACATGAGCAATGTCTCAGTTTTCACGAAATTTTATTGGCGCGAAAAATATGCCACGTGGCATGATTTTTGGTACGAAAATTCGAATTTTTCGCTGAATTTCATTATGAAAAATTCAAATTTTGTGAAATTTTTGAACTCAAAAATCCAGGGCTGAAAATCCACGTGGAATTTTTTCGTCAAAAATTTAAAAAAAATTTCGAATTTATTTTTTTAGAAGTAAAAATCCACGTGGCAAAAAATACACAGTATTTTAAAGGAACAAGAAATTCATGTGGAATTTTTTCCTCTAAAAAATGAAAAAAAACCGAATTTCTATTTTCAAAAGTAAAATTCCAAAAGAAAATTCAAATTTTATGAAAATTCTGAAAATTAGCTCCAATTTCTGCCCGAATTTCAAAAATCCAAATTTCAAAATTTTTAAAGAATTTTCAAAAATTTCCAGATTTTTCCAGATTTTTCCAGAGAAATACTCAGTATTTTTAAAAAGGCTGAAAATCCACGTGGAATTTTTTCCTCAAAAAAAAAAATTCAAATTTTATGAAAAATTCTGAAAATTAGCTCCAATTTCTGCCCAAAATCTTGAATTTTCAACATTTTTGAGAAATTTTCCACGTCATACCTCACATTTCCTTCAAAAATCTTGAAAAATTTCCAGATTTCCGCGCCCCCGAAACCTGGGATAATCGCCAAGCGATCGACATGGAAATGGATGAAGAAGATCGACCGCAAGCATCGATTCCGATTCCGATTCCGATTCCGATTCCGCAAGATCAACAGCCATCGCTGAAATCGCGAATCGATATGTTGGGTTTGATAGAAGGAGGTGGAGGAGCTGAGAAAGTGATCGAGGAACCCGATTTTTCGAAACCTCCCCCGATTTTTAATATGACATTGCCACCACCGGGAACAAGTTCGGCGATGAGTGCTTTTGGAGTTCAGGCTGCGGTAGGTTTGGGCGAAAATTCGACTTTCTAGACCAAAAAATCATGAATTTTGAGCCAAAATTCAAGAGAAATGGCAAAAAATCATGAATTTTCGGGTCCTGAAGCTTGAAAAATCTGTAATTTTCAGCTAGAAACCATGAAATTTTCAGATTCTCAAGCCTGGGGTAGGTTTTGAAGTTACCCTATCTTTTAAGCTTAAGCCGTAAGCCCTAAGCCTTTTTTTCCACAAAATTTGAGTAATCCGCGTGGCCGCTGCGCGGAAGATAGTGCCGCTTACGCGGAAGCTTGCGGTCTACACTCGCTTCGCTCGAACAAAATCCAAATTTTTTAAATTTCAAAAATTTCGCGCTGAAAAAATCCTTTTTTTAATTACCAGAAATTCATTTAAAAAATTAATTTAAGACGTGAATTTTTGTGAAATTCATTTTCAGAAAAATTAAAATTTCGAGAATTTTTAATCGAATTTCAGACGTGAACTTTTGTCTGAAAATGTGAAAATTTAAAGTTCCCGTGTGGAAAATCAACTAGAAAATTGATTTTTGCCGAAAATTTCAGGATTTTTTGATCAATTTCCCAAAATTTGCTTTCAGATCGAAAAATTGCAGAAAAATCAATTTCTGAATCAGAGTTTTCAGAGTTTTTGAATTTTTCTGAATACAATTAAACAAAATCCAGAAATTTTCCAAATTTTTATTTGAAATTTTAAATTTTCCCCTTTTCTTACCTAAAAATCGAAATTTTCAAAAACCCCCGAAAAAATACGTTTCAAAATTTTGATATAATTTTTTAAAATCAAATATTTTTTCAATCTTTGAATGGTGTTTTCAATAATAAATTTTGGAAATTTCAAAGTTTTTGGCGCGAAAAATTGAAGATTTTCGAAATTTCTTTGAAAAATGAGAATTTACAAGATTTTCTCTAGTAAATCCGAAATTTTGTGTCAAAATTAATCAATTTCAAATTTTCTCGAGAATTTTGGTTTTGATTTTTCTCACAAATAAGAAATTTCTGAAAATTTATCAAAATTTCGGCTCGAAAGGCTCCAAATTTCAAGTTTAACATGAGCAATGCTCAAAAATCTCAAAATTGGGCAAGGATTTTCAAGGAGAAAAAAATCACCAAAGTTGTAGCGCCCATGGTTGATCAGAGGTAGTTTTTGGGGAATTTTGTGAGCTATGACGTGGCAAAACTTTTTGAAATTGAAAAAATTTGAAAAAAAATTCAATAAAGTCACGTGGATTACTATATAGTAATCCGCGTGGCCGCTGCGCGGAAGATAGTGCCGCTTACGCGGAAGCTTGCGGTCTATACTCGCTCCGCTCGAACAAAATCCAATCAAAATAATATTTTTTTCGAGCGGAGCGAGTGTAGACCGCAAGCTTCCGCGTCAGCGGCACTATCTACCGCGCAGCGGCTAAATTACCCTAACTTTCTAGATTTTCTGTAGAAGTTAGGGTAACTTAGCCGCTGCGCGGAAAATAGTGCCGCTTACGCGGAAGCTTGCGGTCTACACTCGCTTCGCTCGAAAAAAAAATTGATTTTTTTTTCAAAAATAATCTAGATTGCTCAGATTATAGTACTTTTTCAAAAAATCCAAAAATCCGGAAGTTTTTCAAGTGAAAAAAAATTAAATTTTCAAAATTTTATTGAAAATTGAAAATTTTGGGTTTTTTCTGACATCAAAGCTGCTCAGATCAGAAAATCCCACAAATTTCAAATTTCGTCTCAAAATGCTCCAAATTTCAAGTTTAACATGAGCAATGCTCAAAAATCTCAAATTTCGTCTCAAAATGCTCCAAATTTCAAGTTTAACGTGAGCAATGCTCAAAAATCTCAAATTCCGTCTCAAAAAGCTCCAAATTTCAAGTTTAACATGAGCAATGCTTAAAAATCTCAAAATCCGTCTCAAAAAGCTCCAAATTTCAAGATTAACATGAGCAATGCTCAAAAATCTCAAATTCCGTCTCAAAAAAGCTTCAAATTTCAAGTTTAACATGAGCAATGCTCAAAAATCCCAAAAAACTTCAAAATTGAGCTCAAAAACCTCCAAATTTCAAGTTTAACATGAGCAATGCTCAAAAATCTCAAATTTCGGCTCTTTGAAACGTATTTTTTCGGGTTTTGAAAAATTCAAATTTTTTGAATCAAAAAACTATATTTTTTCCTATTTTTTGACATTTTTGTGTGGAAAAAATATAGTTTTTTGACGAAATTTTTTGTAAAAATTAAAATTCACCCTGTATTTTTTTCCAGCCACCAAAACCATCTCCTGAACAACCCGCAAATGTTCCTCTCACAATTTCCCGCTCCCAACACGCCGATATTCAACAAATCATGAATAAAATCAACCAAGCTCCGGCTCCAAATGTCCAAATTCCGCCGCCAGGAGGGGCTCCAGGAGGAGCCCAATCGATTTATCAAATGTTGCTCAAGCAGCAGGGATTTGGTGCAACTTCTTCGAGTTCTTCAGCTCCGCCGGCTGGAATTTCAAAAGATTGTGATGAAAGATCGGGTTATACCGCAAGATTTGCACCAAGTTCTACAGATTCCGCAACTGAACTCAGGAAATTCTCCAATGATGGACCTTCTGCGGCTCTAGGTGAGTTTTTGAGCATTGCTCATGTTAAACTTGAAATTTGGAGCGTTTTGAGACGGAATTTGAGATTTTTGATCATTGCTCATGTTAAACTTGAAATTTGGAGCTTTTTGACCTGAAATTTGAGATTTTTGAGCATTGCTCATGTTAATCTTGAAATTTGGAGCTTTTTGAGCCGAAATTTGAGATTTTCAGTCAAATTTAAAAATTTTTCAAAAACAAAAAAAAAATACGTTTCAAAAATTTTATATATTTTTTTGTTTTTATTTTCTATTAATGTAATCTCTTTTTTATTTAGCAAAAATTATGATTTCCGTAAGAAAAAAACTGAAAATGAATATTTGAGCTGAAAAACTTTTCAATATTAACATGAGCAATGCTTAAAAATCTCAAATTCCGTCTCAAAAAAGCTCCAAATTTCAAGTTTAACGGGGGACTTTCAGATATTCAAAAAAAATTGTGTTTTGCAAGCCTCGCACGTTTTATTTTTAAAAATTCGGAAAAATTATTTTAAAAATGGGCGTGGCTTGATTTTGCAAGCCTCGCACACTTTTTTCCACGTTTTTCTTTGTTTTTGACCTTCAAAATGTAAAAAAAATCAGATTTCAAATTTAAAAGTGTGTACCAGGCTTGCAAAAATTTAATTTAATTTTTTCCGGGAAGAAATGTGGAGGCGTGGCTTCAAATTTAAAAAAATTCGAAATAAAATTGCATTTTGCAAGCCTCGCACAAAATTTTCCCAAAAAATTAAACAAAAATTAGTTTAAAAATGGGCGTGGCTTGGTTTTGCAAGCCTCGCACGTTTTTTTTCTCTGAAAATTTTGAAGTTTTGCAGTTTTTGCGTTTTTTCTCTGAAAAAAATGTATTTTTTCGAATTTTTTATTGCAACAACACCAGAATTAGCATTGAAAAAAAAAATTTGATAATTGAAATTATATCAAAATTTTGAAACGTATTTTTTCGGGCTTTGAAAAATTCGAATTTTAGAATCAAAATTTGAGCTCAAAAAGCTCCAAATTTCAAGTTTAACATGAGCAATGCTCAAAAATCTCAAATTCCAGCTCAAAAAGATCCAAATTTCAAGTTTAACATGAGCAATGCTCAAAAATCTCCCGAATTTTGCAGCAGGCCTCAACCCAGCGGCATTTTCCAAAGGATATCAAGCGCGATTCGATATTCCACCCGGAATTGATATCACCCTTCCACCACCAATTCAACCACTGATCTCACCACAAGGATATCCAGCTAGACCTTCGGCAGATCCAAGACTTGCTCCAAACACGGGATATCAAGCCAAATTTGAGCATCCTCATGAATATCACGCGAAATTCGATTCTCCACCTGCAACTTCTGCTTCTGCTTCAAATTCAAGATCAGGAGGAGGATATCAGGGAAGATTTGAGCATGAACATCGAGATCATCGAAGAGATCAGCAGAATTTTGGAAGAAGTCCGGAACGAGGAGGAAGATTTGAAGATCGAAATGGTGGAAATCATTATCGAGGAGGCGGTGGAGGAAATCGGGGAGGATTTAGAGGCGGAAATGATAGGTGGGGGGAATTTTTGACGTGGATTACTATATGGTATTCCGCGTGGCCGCTGCGCGGAAGATAGTGCCGCTGACGCGGAAGCTTGCGGTTTACACTCGCTTCGCTCGAACAAAATCCAAATTTTTTTGAATTTTGAAAGTTTCGCGCTGAAAAAATCCTAATTTTGAAAAAAATCCTAAATTTGAGGAAATCGGGGAGGATTTAGAGGGAAAAATGATAGGTAGGGGATTTTTTTTGAATTGAAAAAATTTGAAAAAAAAATTTAAGCCACGTGGATTACTATATTGTTTTCCGCGTGGCCGCTGCGCGGAAGATAGTGCCGCTGACGCGGAAGCTTGCGGTCCACACTCGCTCCGCTCGAGCAAAATCGAAATTTTTTTCAATTTTGAAAATTTCGCGCTGAAAAAATCCAAATTTTAACTACCAGAAATTCAAAAAAAATTAATTTAAGACGTGAATTTTTATGAAATTTATTTTCAGAAAAATTAAAATTTCGAGAATTTTTACAATTAAATTTCAGATGTGAACTTCTGATTTTGTCTAAAAATGTAAAAATTTAAACTAGAAAATTGATTTTTGCCAAAAAATTTCGGGATTTTTTTATCAATTTCTCAAAATTTTATTGATTTTAGATCGAAAAATTGCAGAAAATTCAATTTCTGAATCGAATTTTCGGAGTTTTTGGATTTTTCCGAATAAATTTGAACAAAATTCAAAAATTTTGAAATTTTTATTTGAAAATTTCAATTTTTCCCCGCAAAATTTTAGAATTTCTTGATTTTTTGAAAAAAAAATTTTCAAAAGCAAAATTGTCGCGCCAAAATTAAATTTGAAAAAAAATCCAAAGAAATTGTAATTTTTTCTTACAAAAAGCAAGATTTCATTGATTTTCCCCTAAAAATCGAAATTTTCAAAAACCCCCGAAAAAATACGTTTCAAATTTTTTCTAAAAATTTTTGGACGATGTACTTGCTCAATAGATAAGTACCAGTCGATTGGATCAAAATTCATGAAAATTTCTTTTTTTTTGCAGATATCATCGCGGAAGCGGAAGCGGAAGCGGAAACCGCGATTGGCGCGGCGGAAATTCATCGCGTGGAAATTATAATAATCGATATTAAGATTTTTTGGTTTTTTTTTGTCAAATAATTTATTTTCGGTATCTTCTACCTCTCATGAACTTATTTATCTTCAAAAAATCAAAAAAAAAATTTTTTTTTTGAGAAAAATCGGTCTAAAGCCTGTTTTTTACCTGAAAATCCCGAATTTCAGCCAGAAAAAAATTAAAGCTAGAAAAATGGAATCTGAAACTACACCCGAAGGATATATTGTTGAAAAATGTGGAGAAGCTGAAGCTGAGGAGAAAAATCCGGAGATATTCAGATTTGCGAAACGAATGCAAATCGAGCCGAAAATCCGGAATTCGCCCGAGAAAATCGAGGAAAATCGGGGATTTTGGAGACGGATTTTTGAGGAGAAGAAAATTACCAAAGTTGCGGCGCCCATGGTTGATCAGAGGTATTTTTAACGTGTAGTAATCCGCGTGGCCGCTGCGCGGAAGATTGTGCCGCTTACGCGGAAGCTTGCGGTCTATACTCGCTTCGCTCGAGCAAAAAAAATTGATTTTTTTCAAAAATAATCTACATTGCTCAGATTATAGTATTTTTTCAAAAAATCCAAAAAATTCGGAAGTTTTTCAACTGAAAAAAATGAATTTTTCAAAATTTCTTGAAAATTGAAAATTTTGGATTTTTCTGACCCTAAATCTGCTAAAAAAATTTGATTTTTTTTCAAAAATAATCTAGATTGCTCAGATTATAGTACTTTTTTCAAAAAAATCAAAAATTTCGGCAAAATTCTGAATTTTTGAATTTTTCCCGAATCAAAGCTGTTCAGATTAGAAAATCGAACAAAAGCAAAATTTAAAGAGAATTTTTTGAAACAGTGAAAATTTGGAAAGATTCCTGAAATGAATTCTTTAAGTCTGCAATTCTAGATTGCTCAGATTATCAAATTTCAAGTTTAACATGAGCAATGCTCAAAAATCTCAAATTTGCGCTCAAAACGCTCCAAATTTCTAGTTTAACATGAGCAATGCTCAAAAACCTCAAATTCCGTCTCAAAAAGCTCCAAATTTCAAGTTTAACATGAGCAATGCTCAAAAATTGCAAATTTCGTCGCTCAAAAAGCAAAATTTGAAGACAAATTTTTGATTTTTTAGAATTTCTGTTAATTCTCCTTGCCACGTCATAACTCATGTTCAATTTTTTTGCAGCGAGCTCGCATTTCGAGTTTTGGTTCGAAAATACGGTGCACAACTCACCTACACTCCTATGATTCATGCTCATTTATTTGTGACTGATGGAACTTATCGCAGAAATTCGATGGCACTGATTGAGAAAGATCGACCGATTATTGTTCAGGTGGGAGATTTTTGAGCATTGCTCATGTTAATCTTGAAATTTGGAGCTTTTTGAACTCAAATTTGGAATTTTTAGGGTTTTTTAAGCATTGCTCATGTTAAACTTGAAATTTGGAGCGTTTTGAGACGGAATTTGAGATTTTTGAGCATTGCTCATGTTAAACTTGAAATTTGGAGCTTTTTGAGACGGAATTTGAGATTTTTGAGCATTGCTCATGTTAAACTTGAAATTTGGAGCTTTTTGAGACGGAATTTGAGATTTTTGAGCATTGCTCATGTTAAACTTGAAATTTGGAGCTTTTTGAACCGAAATTTGGAATTTTTTGGGATTTTTGAGCTTCAAAAATTCGAATTTTTCAAAACCCGAAAAAATACGTTTCAAAATTTTGATATAATTTCAATTATCAAATATTTTTTTCAATGCGGCCAATTCTGGTGTTGTTGAATTAAAAATTCGAAAAAATACATTGTTTTCAGAGAAAAAACGGAAAAATTGCAAAACTTCAAAATTTTCAGAGAAAAAAAGTGTGCCAGGTTTGCAAAATTCAAATTTTATTTCGAATTTTTTGAAATTTGAAGCCACGCCCCCCAGATTTCTTCCCGAAAAAAATTAAATTAAATTTTTGCAAGCCTGGCACACTTTTTTAAATGAGAAATCTGATTTTTATTGAATTTTTGAAGGTCAAAAACGAAAAAACGTGGAAAAAAAAGTGTGCGAGGCTTGCAAAATTCAAATTTTCAGAGAAAAAACTGTGCGAGGCTTGCAAAACCAAGAAAATTTATTGATTTTTTGCATTTTTATAAGGGAACAATAAAAAAGATTTTTAAAAATCAAGAAATTATAAAATTTTTCAAATTTTTTGCATTTTGTTCAAATGTATTCAGAAAAATCGAAAAACTCTGAAAATTCGATTCAGAAATTAATTTTTCTGTAATTTTTTGATCTAAAATAATCAAATTTTGGGGAATTTATCAAAAAATCCTGAAATTTTTGTTTGAAAATCGATTCAAAACCAAAATTCTCGAAAATTTGGATGAAAAAGTTGAAATTATCGATTTTTGGATCGAAATTCGTGGAAAAGAGACGGAATTTGAGATTTTTGAGCATTGCTCATGTTAATCTTGAAATTTCGAGCGAAGCGAGTGTAGACCGCAAGCTTCCGCGTCAGCGGCACTATCTTCCGCGCAGCGGCCACGCGGATTACTATGACTTCGAAAAATCGTAATCCACGTGACCGCTACGCGGAAGCTTGCGGTCCAGACTTTTATTTTATTCGAGCGAAGCGAGTGTAGACCGCAAGCTTCCGCGTCAGCGGCACTATCTTCCGCGCAGCGGCTAAGTTACCCTAACTTCTTCGGTTAATTGAGGAAGTTGTGGTAACTTAGCCGCTGCGCGGAAGATAGTGCCGCTGACGCGGAAGCTTGCGGTCTACACTCGCTCCGCTCGAACAGGAATTTGAGATTTTTGAGCATTGCTCATGTTAAACTTCCAGTTTTGCGCCAACAAAGTCGACACATTCCTCTCCGCCTGTCGTCTAGTCGAAGGACATTGTGATGGAGTTGATCTAAATCTGGGATGCCCCCAAATGGTCGCAAAACGTGGCAGATACGGTTCGTGGCTTCAAGACGAGATTGAGCTGATTTGCGATATGGTTGAAGCGGTCAGAGATTTTTGCCAGCTGCCAATTTCGTGCAAGATTCGAGTTCGTGAAAGTCGCGAGGAGACTGTGAAATATGCGAAGAGATTGGTCGAGGCTGGAGCTAGCATGTGAGGCGATTTTTTGTTTTTGAAAATCCGCAAGCTTCCGCGTAAGCGGCACTATCTTCCGCGCAGCGGCCATGCGGATTACTACACGTTATAGTAATCCGCGTGGCCGCTGCGCGGAAGATAGTGCCGCTTACGCGGAAGCTTGCGGTCTACACTCGCTCCGCTCGAACAAAATATTATATTTTGAAACGTAAAAAATCCACGTGGAATTTTTTGTCAAATCGAAAATTTGTGCCAAAAAATCCGGAATTTTGAAAACCTCTCCACAAATATGTAATCCACGTGGCAAAATTTTGAAAAATAATTTTTTTTTTTGAATTTTGAAAGTTTCGCGCTGAAAAAATCCTAATTTTAACTACCAGAAATGCATTAAAAAAATTAATTTCAGACGTGAATTTTTATGAAATTCATTTTCAGAAAAATTAAAATTTGAGAATTTTTAATCGAATTTTTATTCTAAAAATTCTCAAATTCCAATTTTTCTGAAAATGAATTTCATAAAAATTCACGTCTTAAATTGATTTTTTTTTAATTTTCAAAAACTGAATTTCTGGTAGTTAAAATTAGGATTTTTCAGCGCGAAATTTTCAAAATTAAAAAAATTTGGATTTTGTTCGAGCGAAGCGAGTGTAAACCGCAAGCTTCCGCGTAAGCGGCACTATCTTCCGCGCAGCGGCCACGCGGATTACTATAACTTCGAAAAAAATCGTACTGGCATTAATTAAAAATTCAAAAAATTTGGATTTTTAGCCCTAAAATTTCAAAAATTGAAAAATTCTGGATTTTTTCCAGCGAATCTCAAAATTCAAAAAAAAAAAAAAAAATTTCTTGAACAAAATTTTGCCACGTGGATTATTCAATTCATTTTCAGAAAAATTAAAATCTTAAAATTTCGAATTTCAGACGTGAACTTCTGATATTGACTAAAAATTTATTAAAAAAATAATAATTTTTATAATATTTCAGGCCTACAGTTCATGGCAAAATTTTTCAAAAACAATTTTGTTCAAAAAAAAATATTTTTTAATTTTCAAATTTTTGGCCCCCAAAAGTCCACGTGGCAAAATTTTTAAAATTGTATAAATTTAATTTCAGACGTGAACTTCTGATTTTGTCTGATCTGAAATCACGTCTAAAATATTCACTTTGAAATCATTCCAGGCTCACAGTGCACGGCAGATTTCGCGAAATGAAAGGCGCTAAAACGGGTCTCGCTGATTGGACTCGAATTCGAGATGTTGTCGACGCAATTCAAAAACCCTATGGTATTCCGATCGTCGCCAATGGAAACATCCAATTTCCAGGCGATGTTGAGAGATGTATCGAATCAACTGGCGCAATCGCAGTCATGTCAGCCGAAGGACTACTGTACAACCCTTTAATCTTTCGTGACGCGGGGCCATGCCACGTGGAAACATGGAAAATTGCCAAGGAATATTTGGAACTCGCCAAAATGTATTCTGCTGGAGCAAGTGCGATGAGAGCACATGTATTTCGGATATGTCATCATAGTCTGTTGGAATATGAGGATTTGAGAATGCGAGTCTCGTTGGAGCATAGATGCGAGGATTTTCAGAAGATTGTGGAGGAATTGGGAAGAAGGTGTGAGATAGAGAGAGAGAGTGTGGAGGGAGCAGAGAGGCAGAGAAAGGCGATGGAGTTGTTTGAGGGAATACGGTGGGTGATTTTGGGTTGGTTTTTTTCCGCAAGCTTCCGCGTAGGCGGAAGCTTGCGGAAAAACCAAACAATTTTTACTATATAGTAATCCGCATGGCCGCTGCGCGGAAGCTTGCAGTCTACACTCGCTTCGCTCGAACAAAATAATAGAACGCAAGCTTCCGCGTGGCGGCCACGTGGATCACTATAACGTGTAGTAATCCGCGTGGCCGCTGCGCGGAAGATAGTGCCGCTGACGCGGAAGCTTGCGGTCTACACTCGCTTCGCTCGAAATTTCAAGTTTAACATGAGCAATGCTCAAAAATCTCAAATTCCGTCTCAAAAAGCTCCAAATTTCAAGTTTAACATGAGCAATGCTCAAAAATCTCAAATTTCGGCTCAAAAAGCTCCAAATTTCAAGTTTAACATGAGCAATGCTAAAAAATCTCAAATTTCGGCTCAAAAAGCTCCAAATTTCAAGTTTAACATGAGCAATGCTCAAAAATCTCAAATTCCGTCTCAAAAAGCTCCAAATTTCAAGTTTAACATGAGCAATGCTCAAAAATCTCAAATTTCGTCTCAAAATGCTCCAAATTTCAATTTTTAACATGAGCAATGCTCAAAAATCTCAAATTTCGGTTCAAAAAGCTCCAAATTTCAATTTTTAACATGAGCAATGCTCAAAAATCTCAAATTTCGTCTCAAAATGCTCCAAATTTCAATTTTTAACATGAGCAATGCTCAAAAATCTCAAATTTCGGTTCAAAAAGCTCCAAATTTCAATTTTTAAGATGAGCAATGCTCAAAAATCTCAAATTTCGTCTCAAAATGCTCCAAATTTCAAGTTTAACATGAGCAATGCTCAAAAATCTCAAATTTCGTCTCAAAAAGCTCCAAATTTCAATTTTTAACATGAGCAATGCTCAAAAATCTCAAATTTCGTCTCAAAATGCTCCAAATTTCAATTTTTAACATGAGCAATGCTCAAAAATCTCAAATTTCGGCTCAAAAAGCTCCAAATTTCAATTTTTAAGATGAGCAATGCTCAAAAATCTCAAATTTCGGCTCAAAAAGCTCCAAATTTCAAGTTTAACATGAGCAATACTTAAAAATCTCAAATTCCGTCTCAAAAAGCTTCAAATTTCGAGATTAACATGAGCAATGCTCAAAAATCTCAAATTTCGGCTCAAAAAGCTCCAAATTTCAAAAATTGAGAAACAACGGGAAAAAACAAATATTTATTATCAAAAAAACAAAACAAACGCGAAAAAAATGACAGAAAAAAATTGTGACCTGTGGTTTGAGATCATCGTATCAAAAAAATTTAGAAAAAAAATTGAATCAGTTTCGCGATCTTCTCACAACTTTTTCTGAACTTGAAGAGATTTCTCGATCTTTTTTGCTTTCTTCGGTGGAATTCTGCAAAAAAACATGGCAATTTTATTCATTTTTAGAATTCAATAAAAATAAAAAACTAACAATTTTCCCAATTTATCATTTGCAACAAATTCCTCTTTATGTTGTTGATTATAACTGTAGTCGAATAAGAGTTCGTCGCCCTTTTTTAAATCTTCTTTTGCAAAGATTCCAATTCGATGGTTACCATTCACCAATATAATCTGTAAACAAAAAAATGTTTAAAAATGTTTTTTCAACATTGAAATTCACGAAAAGTCAAAAAAATGTCGAAAAATTAGTTTTTTTTTAAGTTTTAGAGCCAAAAATGATGAAAAATCGATATTTTTGAAGCTTCTGGAGTGATTTTTGATGAAAATTGACCCTGGAATCCACTTTTCAGAGGTTTTTGTTGATTTTTCAAAATTCATAAAACAAAAAACTTCTGAAGGTCAATTTTCATCAGAAATCACTCCAGAAGCTTGAAAAATCCCGAATTTTCATCATTTTTCACATCAGCCCTTTTTTGTTGTTGAAAAACCAGGTTTCAGAGAAAAAAAATACAGATTTGAATAATAATTTCTGCTGAATTTTTGAAAAATCAGAAGATTTTCAAAAATTTTAGAAATTCCAAAGTTCAGAATTTTTTTCATAAAAAATTCTGGAAAATTTGGTTCACTGTAGTTTTGGAGAAAAAGAAGAAAAATAAAAATTTTCAAGTCAAGTTTGAATAATTTCTACTGAACTTATCAAATATTGAAAAAAATTTCAATTTTTTTCGGAAAAAATTCTAGAAAATTTGGGTAACTTGGAGAAAAAAGAGGTCAAAATTAGTTTTTTTTTTGAAGTTTCAGAGCCAAAAATGATGACAAATCGATATTTTTCAAGTTTCTGGAGTAATTTCTGATGAAAATTGACCTTCAGAAGTTTTTATTTTTCGAAAAATCAGCAAAAACTTCTGAAAAGTGAATTCAAGGGTCAATTTTCATCAAAAATCACTCCAGAAGCTTCAAAAATTTCGATTTTTCATCATTTTTGGCTCTAAAACTCAAAAAAAAACTAATTTTTCGACATTTTTTGACTTTTCGATGTTAAAAAAACCATTTTTTAACATTTTTTTCAAAAAAAACCAACTTTTGAATAGCAATTGCTGTGATTTTCCGAATGATTTGCAAATCGAATCAAATTCCCCATACAAAACGCATCCACACATTCATCTTCATTCAGAGCTGAAAAAATATATTTTTTTCGAGCGAAGCGAGTGTAAACCGCAAGCTTCCGCGTCAGCGGCACTATCTTCCGCGCAGCGGCTAAGATACCCTAACTTCTTCGGTTAATTGAGGAAGTTGTGGTAACGTAGCCGCTGCGCGGTAGATAGTGCCGCTGACGCGGAAGCTTGCGGTCTACACTCGCTCCGCTCGAACAAAATATTATTTTAAGTGTAGACCGCAAGCTTCCGCGTAAGCGGCACTATCTACCGCGCAGCGGCCACGCGGATTACTACACGTTATAGTAATCCACGTGACCGCTACGCGGAAGCTTGCGGTCCAGACTTATTTTGTTCGAGCGAAGCGAGTGTAGACCGCAAGCTTCCGCGTCAGCGGCACTATCTTCCGCGAAGCGGCCACGCGGATAAATCTTCAAAATCATACCAAAAATATAACTGGTTTTGAACTGATCATAAATATGTCCACGTCTCTCAACTTCTGACGAAGATATAACTTCTCCAGTGTATTCAGAGATTAATTCTCCTTTTTCCACATCTTCCATTATATAAGCTCCCCATCCAGCGACTTGCGATGGTCGAACAGCCAATTTTTTCTGAATTCCTTTTGAAATCGACGAATTTCGACAAGTATTCTCTTGTGGTCCGATTGTATCTGCAAAACTTTTAAAGATGATTCAGGAACGAAAAAATGAAAAAAATGTCGAAAAATTAGTTTTTTTGTAAGTTTTAGAGCCAAAAATGATGAAAATTCGATATTTTTTAAGCTTCTGGAGTGATTTCTGATGAAAATAAGCTTCGAGAACCTTATTTTGCTTTATTTTATGAATTTTTTCGAAATTCAGCAAAAACTTCTGAAGGTCAATTTTCATCAGAAATCACTCCAGAAGCTTCAAAAATCCTGATTTTTCATCATTTTTGGCTGAAAAACTCGAGAAATACTAGGTACTGTAGATTGGAAAAATGCGAAATTTGCGATTTTTGATATCCCACAAGCCCAGGGTTACTGTAGAGGTACTGTAGATTGGAAAAATGCGAAATTTGCGATTTTTGATATCCCACAAGCCCAGGGTTACTGTAGAGGTACTGTAGATTGGAAAAATGCGAAATTTGCGATTTTTGATATCCCACAAGCCTAGGGTTACTGTAGAGGTACTGTAGATTGGAAAAATGCGAAATTTGCGATTTTTGATATCCCACAAGCCCAGGGTTACTGTAGAGGTACTGTAGATTGGAAAAATGCGAAATTTGCGATTTTTGATATCCCACAAGCCTAGGGTTACTGTAGAGGTACTGTAGATTGGAAAAATGCGAAATTTTCTCGACATTTTTTGACTTTTCGTGAATTATTCTCATACCGCATTGACAAGATTTACACAAATATGGATCACATTCCCATTTCGCATAAAAACATTGACATTGTTTTGTTCGACACTGTCCCGGTGCACATCGACAACCCGGGAATTTCATTCGGCAACTGTCATCACAACCACATAATTTTGTGCAAACTCCATTTTTTGTGCAGGTACAATTAGTTTGATTTCCACAAGGACCTTCATGATCGCAAGGTTGCATTTTGTATTTGTTTTGGACCTCAAACAAAATTTTATTAGGGATGATTCAGGAACGAATTTTTTTTTTCGAAGTCATAGTAATCCGCGTGGCCGCTGCGCGGAAACTTGCGGTTTATACTATTATTTTGTTCGAGCGGAGCGAGTGTAGACCGCAATCTTCCGCGTAAGCGGCACTATCTACCACGCAGCGGCTTAGTTACCCTAACTTTCTAGATTTTCTGTAGAAGTTATGGTAACTTTACCGCTGCGCGGAAGCTTGCGGTCTACACTCGCTTCGCTCGAAAAAAATCCATTCATAATCATAGCGGCACTATCTTCCGCGCAGCGGCCACGCGGATTACTTCGAAAAAATGTACTGATATTCCACTTTATAGTAATCCTATAACGTGTAGTAATCCGCGTGGCCGCTACGCGGAAGCTTGCGGTCTACACTCGCTTCGCTCGAGAAACCAAAAATGATGACAATTCGGGATTTTTCAAGCTTCTGGAGAAATTTTTGATGAAAATTGACCTTGAAATTCACTTCCAGAAATTTTTGTTGATTTTTCGAAATTCATAAAACAAAAACTTCTGAAAAGTGGATTCCAGGGTCAATTTTCATCAGAAATCACTTCAGAAGCTTCAAAAATCTAGATTTTTCATCATTTTTGGCTTCTCGAGCGAAGCGAGTGTAGACCGCAAGCTTCCGCGTCAGCGGCACTATCTTCCGCGCAGCGGCCACGCGGATTACTATATCGATTTTTCGACATTTTTTGACTTTTCGTGCAATAATTACCGTTCCAACACCAGAATTCCAAGTTGTATTTCTAACGAAATTCTTCTGCATTTCTCTCGGATCCCTGAAAAAACAAATTTATTTTTTTTAAATTTTAATTTAAATTATCAAACATACATTCGAAGTTTTTCACGATCAACAAACTGCCGAATTTCCGAAGGTTTTCTAGAATACGTTAAAACAAGTTCGTAGAGTTGTCTACAACTTTTTTGATTGTTTCCAACCAGATTTGCGAGAAGACTTTCAGAATAATTACAAAAACTCTTGTGGACCTCTTGGTTCACCGCAAATGCTGATAAAAATGAAGATCCTTGGGTTTCAGTGAGTCTTGTGATTTCGGTTTTATCGAAAAATACTGAAGCTATATTATCATTCGAAATCTCATCTTCATCAAGTTCCAAATCACTTAGAACCCTCTGCAAGAAATTGAAAAAAAAAATTTTTTCGAATTTTGAAAAACTCACTTCTCTCGGAATAGTTTTCCAGCAATCAGCGGAACATTTTTTCGAAGCTGGATTTTTCGCAGGGATTTGAAGCAAAACTGATTGCCATCGACCATTTGAAAATTTGGCGGGGAGATTTGCGCGGAATCCTGGGGAAAAAGTTAACTATGTATTAATGTAGACCGCAAGCTTCCGCGCAGCGGCTACGCGGATTACTACACGTTATAGTGATCCACGTGACCGCTACGCGGAAGCTTGCGGTCCAGACTTATTTTGTTCGAGCGAAGCGAGTGTAGACCGCAAGCTTCCGCGCAACGGTAAAGTTACCATAACTTCTACAGAAAATCTAGAAAGTTAGGGTATCTTAGCCGCTGCGCGGAAGATAGTGCCGCTGACGCGGAAGCTTGCGGTCTACACTCGCTTCGCTCGAACAAAATATGATTTTGATTGGATTTTTTCGAGCGGAGCGAGTGTAGACCGCAAGCTTCCGCGTCAGCGGCACTATTTTCCGCGCAGCGGCCACGCGGATTACTACACGTTATAGTAATCCACGTGACCGCTACGCGGAAGCTTGCGGTCCAGACTAATATTTTGTTCGAGCGAAGCGAGTGTAGACCGCAAGCTTCCGCGTCAGCGGCACTATTTTCCGCGAAGCGGCTACGTTACCACAATTTCCTCAATTAACCGAAAAGAAGTTAGGGTAACTTAGCCGCTGCGCGGAAGATAGTGCCGCTGACGCGGAAGCTTGCGGTCTACACTCGCTTCGCTCGAACAAAATATGATTTTGATTGGATTTTTTTCGAGCGGAGCGAGTGTAGACCGCAAGCTTCCGCGTCAGCGGCACTATTTTCCGCGCAGCGGCCACGCGGATTACTACACGTTATAGTAATCCACGTGACCGCTACGCGGAAGCTTGCGGTCCAGACTAATATTTTGTTCGAGCGAAGCGAGTGTAGACCGCAAGCTTCCGCGTCAGCGGCACTATTTTCCGCGAAGCGGCTACGTTACCACAATTTCCTCAATTAACCGAAAAGAAGTTAGGGTAACTTAGCCGCTGCGCGGAAGATAGTGCCGCTGACGCGGAAGCTTGCAGGTCTACACTGCTTCGCTCGAACAAAATATGATTTTGATTGGATTTTTTCGAGCGGAGCGAGTGTAGACCGCAAGCTTCCGCGTCAGCGGCACTATTTTCCGCGCAGCGGCCACGCGGATTACTACACGTTATAGTAATCCACGTGACCGCTACGCGGAAGCTTGCGGTCCAGACTAATATTTTGTTCGAGCGAAGCGAGTGTAGACCGCAAGCTTCCGCGTCAGCGGCACTATTTTCCGCGAAGCGGCTACGTTACCACAATTTCCTCAATTAACCGAAAAGAAGTTAGGGTAACTTAGCCGCTGCGCGGAAGATAGTGCCGCTTACGCGGAAGCTTGCGGTCTACACTCGCTCCGCTCGAACAAAATATGATTTTGATTGGATTTTTTTCGAGCGGAGCGAGTGTAGACCGCAAGCTTCCGCGTAAGCGGCACTATTTTCCGCGTAGCGGCCACGCGGATTACTATGACTTCGAAAAATCGTACTGATATTTCACGTTATAGTAATCCACCTGGGAAATTTTTACGTTTTACGTTTTACGGTTTTTGCGGCTCAAAAAATCGTAAAAAATCACTAAATCTAGTGAATTTTGACAGAAACACAAAATTTTTTTGAAAGAAAATTTTGCTTAAATCCTAATTAATTAATTTTTTGACGGATATGGATAATAATATTGTTAAAATTATGCTTGAGTTACGATAAGTTACCAAATCCCAGCCTTTTTTTTTCAAAAATTGCGATTCGATAACTTATCGTAGCTCAAGCATAATTTTAACAATATTATTATCCATATCCGTCAAAAAAATTAATTAATCAGAATTTTCTTTCAAAAAAATGTTGTGTTTTTTTTTGAAGTTTCAATTTGATTCTGTCAAAATTCACTAGATTTAGTGATTTTTTACGATTTTTTGAGCCGTAAAAACCGTAAAACGTAAAATTTTTTTTTACCATGTGTGATACAATCATATGATAAACATGACGAACAAAATCCCATTTCCATTGAATGATTATCGATTTCCGGTTGAAGTCTTCTCTTTGATCCAAAATGATTTTTGTTGGAAAAACGTTCAAACAATTTTCTGTATCTATAATAATTAGGGCTGATTCACGAAAAGTCAAAAAATGTCGAAAAATTAGTTTTTTTTAAGTTTTAGAGCCAAAAATGATGAGAAATCGATATTTTTCAAGCTTCTGGAGTGATTTCTGATGAAAATTGACCTTGGAATCCACTTTTCAGAAGTTTTTTCGATAAATTTCTCGAAACTTCAACAAAAACGTCTGAAAAGTGGATTCCAGGGTCAATTTTCAACAGAAATTACTTCAGAAGCTTAAAAAATATTGATTTTTCATCATTTTTGGCTGAAAACTTCAAAAAACAACTAATTTTGACCTCTTTTTTCTCCAAGTTAATCAAATTTTCTAGAATTTTTCCAAAAAAATTGAAATTTGTTCAATATTTGATAAGTTCAGTAGAAATTATTCAAACTTGACTTGAAAATTTTTATTTTTCTGAATTTTTCTCCAAAACTACAGTGAATCAAATTTTCCAGAATTTTTTATGAAAAAAATTCTGAAAATTTTTGAAAATCTTCTGATTTTTCACAAATTCAGCAGAAATTATTCAAATCTGTATTTTTTCTCTCTGAAACCTGGTTTTTCAACAACAAAAAAGGGCTGATGTGAAAAATGATGAAAAATCGAGATTTTTGAAGCTTCTGGAGTAATTTCTGATGAAAATTGACCTTGGAATCCACTTTTCAGAAGTTTTTTCGATAAATTTCTCGAAACTTCAACAAAAACTTCTGAAAATTGGATTCCAGGGTCAATTTTCATCAGAAATTACTTCATAAGCTTGAAAAATATTGATTTCTCATCATTTTTGGCTTCTCGAGCGGAGCGAGTGTAGACCGCAAGCTTCCGCGTAAGCGGCACTATCTTCCGCGCAGCGGCCACGTGGATTACTATGACTTCGAAAAAATCGTACTGATATTCCATGTTATAGTAATCCGCGTGGCCGCTGCGCGGAAGATAGTGCCGCTTACGCGGAAGCTTGCGGTCTACACTCGCTTCGCTCGAATTTCGAAAAAATTCATAAAATAAAACAAAATTGGGTTCTCGAAGCTTATTTTCATCAGAAATCACTTCAGAAGCTTGAAAAATATTGATTTGTCATCATTTTTGGCTGAAAAATTAGTTTTTCGAGTTTTCCAGCCAAAAATGATGACAAATCGATATTTTTAAGCTTCTGGAGTAATTTCTGATAAAAATTGACCCTGGAATCCACTTTTCAGAAGTTTTTGTTGAAGTTTCGAGAAATCAGCAAAACCTTCTGAAGGTCATTTTTCATCAAAAATCACTCCAGAAGCTCCAAAAATATCGATTTTTCATCATTTTTGGCTTTTTTCGACATTTTTTTTTTGAAAATTCGCCAAAAATTCCCAAAAACTTACATCTCCGGCAGTTGTCTCTGCGAATATTTGTTTGGAAACAATTGATAAAATGCATAATAAAGAGTATCTTGGGATCCTTGAAATTTGGAAAGACATTCAACAAGAACATCATAAAGCATATCATCATTGATATAATTCCAATTATCCGAATATCCATGAATTCCTTCTTCATATAATAAATTCAAATTTTCCAACAAATCATCATCATTTTGATCTTCTTTCAAATATGGAACATGTGATAATCTCAAATTATCTTCAGTTTTGATGGATGTTTCGAGATGAATCCAATATGTCATTGGTGGAAGAGCATCTGGTCCATATAATGGAGCATACCCTTGATTTTCTCGAATATTTTCAGTATCATTTCGAGGCGCAAAATTTGAGCGAGATGTTCGAGGGCGTTTTTTCTGAAGTAATTCGGTGAATGAAGTTTCTAGTTCCTCCTCGACATTTTCATCATAGATCTTGCGAACTTCAATATAAGCTTTTTTGATGATAAGATTGGCTTCATTTAATTCATCTTTATCATAATTCCCAGTCTGAAAAACATTATAATGGGCCTATGTAGAATAATATTTTGTAACAGGGCCTGTGCCGGAAATTTTCTGAATTTCCATATTTTCCGGTTTTTTCAAGGAAAAATCAATTTTCCGGAGCCTAAATTTTGGGAAATTTTCTCAGTTTATGATAGAAAAAATGAAATTTTTTCAATTTTTCAAATTTTACTATTTTTTGAACGTAAAACGTTTCGAATAGTTACTAATTGATTTTTAGTGCCAAATTAACGCTGAAAATCGGAATTTCAGACATTGAAAAATATTCGGACTTTTCGTTTTTCGGGTTTTGTAATAATAAAAAAAACATTTTTTTTCCAATACAGAAAAACGTCGAAAGTGTAGAGACAATGTGAAATTGAGAGAGTGCAGACTTGATTTTTCGCACAAAAAACAAAAATCAAGTCTGCAATCTCTCAATTTCACATTGTCTCTAAAAAAAACAGGCCTGTGCCGGAAAATCAAAACCCGGAAAACGGAAAGTTTCCGGATTTTTTGAAGCAAAAAATTCGGAAAATTTTTTAATGTCTGAAATTTTGATTTTCAGCTTTGATTTGGCACAAAAAATTATTTTTATCTACAATTCTTCTATTCACAGATAATTTAGTAACTATTAGAAACGTTAATGTTCAAAAAAATAGTACAATTTGAAAAATTGCAAAAATGTCATTTTTTCTATCATAAACTGAGAAAATTTCCCAAAATTTAGGCGAAATTGTAAATATTACTATTAAAGCTCATTTTCCGGAAAATCAAAAAATATTACAAAATATTATTCTGCATAGGCCCATAATATTTTCTTAAAAAGTAACCAAATAATATTCACCTTTACAACAATTCTTCTTCTATCCATCAATATATCCTCACTATTATAATTTTCCTTCTCCTCATCTTCATCATCTTCTTCCTCCTCAAGTTTCTCACAAATTCTTTTCATTTCTATTCTTGCTCTACTTTTCATCGGCGATTTTCGAACTGATGATGAGGTTCCTTGTTCTTCTTCAACCTTTCCTTGTCTTCTATTCGATTTTGTACCAAACCCGGTTGAAGAACTCGTAGCTTGATCTTCCTCGCCACTTTTTGCAAATTTCTTTCCTTCAGACGGAGTTATACCAGATTTTCTTCCTATGATTTTACTATTTGAAGCTTCATTTTGCGAATCACTGAGGGCTAAAATTCGTCCAGATTTTCTTGGCGAATCTCCCATCATTCGAAAATCTATGAAAATGATGATAAATATTGGAGTTTTTCGTGAAAAAAATGCCAAAAATAATGTAAAATCGAGATTTGTCATCATTTTTGACTGGAAAAAACGTTTTTCGAGGTTTTTCAGCCCACAGGCATAAATTTCTGACTGTTTTTTCCTCCTGGCTCCGCCCCCTGCCACGATTACACGTCCCACGTTTTTAAAATAATTTTTTCGTTTTCATCTTTTTTTCTTCACTAAATTTCGAAATGCAAAAAATCAGAAATAATTATTGCTTGAAAAAAAAACGTGCCGCACCTTGCCAAATAAATCCCGCCTCCCGATTCAGGCGAGAATTTTTTTCTGCGACAGGCATTTCTGAATTAAAAAAGTCAAGAATTTATGCCTGTGTTAAATATTGGAGTTTTTTGTGAAAAATGCCAAAAAATGATGAAAAATCGAGATTTTTGAAGCTTCTGAAGTGATTTTTGATGAAAATTGACCCTGGAATCCAATTTTCAGAAGTTTTTGCTGATTTTTATCGAAAAGGGTCAATTTTCATTAGAATTCACTTCAGAAGCTTCAAAAATCTCGAATTTTCATCATTTTCGACTTAAAACATTAGTTTTCAAGGTTTTCCAGCCAAAAATGATGAGAAATCTCGATTTTTCGATTTAGACTAACTCGAAAAATTGAATTTATTCAAGTGCGCTCCATTGAGAATTCTCATTTTTGCCGCCAAATTCGAAATTCGAGCGAAGCGAGTGTAGACCGCAAGCTTCCGCGTAAGCGGCACTGTCTTCCGCTTCAGCGGCCACGTGGAGTACGATGGCGTACTGATATTCCATGTCATAGTAATCCACGTGGCCGCTGAAGCGGAAGACAGTGCCGCTTGCGCGGAAGCTTGCGGTCTACACTCGCTCCGCTCGAACAAATTTCGCGCCAAAAAATGAGAAATTCTCAATAGAGCGCGTTTGAACAACAATTGAAATGTTCTTCATTTTTGGCTGAAAAAAATTAGTTTTCGAGTTTTTCAGCCAAAAATGATGAGAAATCGTGATTTTTGAAGCTTCTGAAGTGATTTCTGATGAAAATTGATCTTGGAAACCACTTTTCAAAAGATTCTGCTGATTTTTTTTCGTGAAAAACTCAAAAAATATTTTTCTAGCCTCGGAACTTCTCCAATGGATCCGCTGGAAGTCTCAAAACAACCGCATTGGATCTCAAAACCATATTTCCGATTATCCGAAGTCGCCAAAGAATCAATCACCCAAAATGGCGAGCAAACATTCCGCGAAAAACAAAAACAAAAACTGGCGGAAACCGCGCAAGCTCAAGGAATCTCAATGAAAAAAGCGCGCAAACGCGAACGCCGCCAACTTTGCGGAAAACGTGTGCTCGAAATCAAACGCGCCAAATTCCCGCCGTGCTCGCGATGCGCACAACCTGCCGGACAGAATTGCTCGCTTGAACGATGCAAAAAATGCTGTAGATTCAAGTGTAAACATGAGAAATTGGATTGTAAAGGTAGTTTTAGCACATTTTTCCCTGAAAATTCCCCCTCTTATATTTTCAGCACATCGCTACATCTTCTCTGAAAATGCTGAAATCGCCGAAAATTGTTAATTTTGTTGTTTTTCTTGTTTTTACCGTTGAAAATAAAGATTTCCTCCCAAAAAAAAAATAAAAATAAATGCGCGTCAATTAAAATGTTTCTCTGTTGTGTGCAAACACCGCCATGATGATATTTCAAACTTTTCTGCTTTTTGTCTGTTTTTCGCTGCGTTTTCTGGACCGCAAGCTTCCGCGTGGCGGCCACGTGGATTACAATAATGTGTAGTAAACCGCGTGGCCGCTGCGCGGAAGCTTGCGGTCTACACTCGCTCCGCTCGAACAAAAGGGTTTTTCAGGCTAAAACTTGAAATTTTTTCATTTTTCAGCTGAAAATGGCACCAGTTCACGATGAATTGCAAAGAACTTTGTGAGTTTCACCCTTGATTTTGCCAGATTTTGAGATTTTTGTGTTCAGGAACCCAACTTGCACCGGAGCGTCGGTGATTGCGATGCAATACAAAACTGGAGTTGTTGTGATGACTGATCGTGTTGTTTCGTATGGTAAAATGGCCAGATACAAGGTGAGTGATGGGAAATTTGGGAAAAATTGGGTTTTTCGTGGAAAATCGAAAATGATGATTGCTTCCGCGTGGCGGCCACGTGGATTACTATAACGTAGAATATCAGTACGATTTTTCGAAGTCATAGTAATCCGCGTGGCCGCTGCGCGGAAGATAGTGCCGCTGACGCGGAAGCTTGCGGTCTACACTCGCTTCGCTCGAACAAAATAATAGTCTGGACCGCAAGCTTCCGCGTGGCGGCCACGTGGATTACTATAATGTGTAGTAATCCGCGTGGCCGCTGCGCGGAAGCTTGCGGTCCATAGACTTTTTCGAGCGAAGCGAGTGTAGACCGCAAGCTTCCGCGCAGCGGCTAAGTTATCATAACTTCTACAGAAAATCTAGAAAGTTAGGGTAACTTAGCCGCTGCGCGGAAGATAGTGCCGCTGACGCGGAAACTTGCGGTCTACACTCGCTTCGCTCGAAAAAGTCAACTTTCGTGCTGAAAAAAGTTCGAGCGAAGCGAGTGTAGACCGCAAGCTTCCGCGTCAGCGGCACTATCTTCCGCGAAGCGGCCACGCGGATTAATACACGTTATGGTAACACATTATAGTAAGCTTGGGTAAAGCTTTGCCACGTCATAACTCATATTTAGAGTTGAAGAACAAGAAAAAATCGAAAATTTCTTCCGAAACAACGAAAAATTATCGATTTTCTATGAAAAATCCAAGTTTTTCTGAATAAGTACCCTTGTAAGCTGTTAGATTTCAATGAAAACCAGTTTTGAAGCTAGTTTTGTTCGAGCGGAGCGAGTGTAGACCGCAAGCTTCCGCGTAAGCGGCACTATCTTCCGCGCAGCGGCTAAGATACCCTAACTTCTTCGGGTAATTGAGGAAGTAGTGGTAACGTAGCCGCTTCGCGGTAGATAGTGCCGCTGACGCGAAGCTTGCGGTCTACACTCGCTCCGCTCGAACAAAATATTATTTTGAGTGTAGACCGCAAGCTTCCGCGCAGCGGCCACGCGGATTACTACACGTTATAGTAATCCACGTGGCCGCCACGCGGAAGCTTGCGGTTTAAAGACTATTATTTTGTTCGAGCGAAGCGAGTGTAGACCGCAAGCTTCCGCGTCAGCGGCACTATCTTCCGCGCAGCGGCCACGCGGATTACTATATAGTAATCCACGTGGGGGCCACACGGAAGCTAGTTCTAGCCCCAAATCTTCTTTCCAGAACGTCTCGCGTCAATACAAAGTCAACGACAACGTTTTGGTGACATTCGGCGGTGATCACGCCGATTTCCAATGGCTTCAAAACGTCATCGAACGACAAGTCTTGTTGTGGAAACGTTTCGATCAAGACATCGGGCCAAAAGCGTTGCACGGCTATTTGACGAGTCTGCTCTACGCGCGCCGCTGCAAAATGAACCCGTTGTGGAACACTTTGGTGGTTGCCGGTGTTGAAGAAGAGGAGAAGAATAATAAGGAGACAAGCACACCGTTCATTGGAATTATCACACAAAAGGTGGGGATTTTTCCAACGCGCTCCACCGAAATAAACACGCAACGCAGACCGCGTCGCGTCACAACGATTCAAATTCCCTCCCTTTTTGTGTGTGGCGTGGCGCGACGCGGTCTGCGTTGCGTGTTTATTTTGGTGGAGCGTGAGAGCAAGTTCTAGATTTTCTCAGAGTTAACCCAAGTTCTTTCCAGGGTTGCGCCTATCAAGTCAAACACGTTGCCACTGGTTTGGGAGCGTTTCTTCTCAATCAAGCGGTTGAAGATGAATTCCGAAAGAAGGGCGATGAATTGACGCGCCAGGAAGCCGAGGCGGTTTTGAAGAAGGCGCTCGAACTCACACTCTATCACGATTGTGTTGCGGATAATGATTTCGAAATCGGACGTGTCGATGCGAATGAGGGAGTTGTTCTTGGAAAAGAGCAGACTATTATTGGAGATTGGAGCATTGCTGAAACCAATTGTCAATATGAATAACTTCTCAAGAGAATTCCGAGTTTTTAACGCCTATTTATTGATTTTATCTTCTTTTTTACCGTGATTTTTCGCTTTTCAATAAATTTCAAAGAAAAAATCGAACTTTTGATGAAACTCTGGCTAGAAACATGATCTTAGGCCATTTCCAGGCTAGAACCATGATTTTTGACTATTTTCAGGCTAGAAACATGAATTTGGACCATTTTCAGGCTAGAAACATGAATTAAGGCCATTTCAGGCTAGAACCGTGATTTTTGGCCATTTTTCAGGCTAGAACCATGAATTTAGGCCGTTTTCAGGCTAGAAACATGAATTTAGGCCATTTTCAGGCTAGAACCGTGATTTTTGGCCATTTTCAGGCTAGAACCATGAATTTAGGCCGTTTTCAGGCTAGAAACATGACTTTTAGGCCATTTTCAGGCTAGAAACATGAATTTTAGGCCATTTTCAGGCTAGAAACATGTTTTTGCTCCAGAAAAGTGCTCATTTTTGGCAATTTTTGACTTTGGATTCGTGAATTTGCAAGAGCTTTTTTTAAAAATCTGAAATTTATCTGAAACCTATGCTCAACAAACAATAGACACAAGAAGAAAAATTAGGCTTCGAGAGCAGCGAGACGTTTTTGCTCTTTGACTTGAGCGCGGGTGTCCTTTGAAACGTAGTCGGATGGAACCAAATAGCCGAAAATGTAGCGACGACCGATCATTTCACCGACGAAGAACCAGAAAACGATTTCGAGAGCGACGGCCGTGTAGACAAGACCTTCCTGAGAATCATTGATTTTGATTTTTCAAGATTTTCCAGAAAAAAAAAACAGAAAAACTCACCTTAACTGTCAAATTGACGTATTGCTTTCCTTGAATAAAGTTTTGGACCTTGAGAAAATCGGCACGGATTGCTGGCCAGTCTGCGGATTTTGGTGGAGCGAGTTCGTGCTTTCCAACGGCCTGAAATTTGAAAAATCTGAATTACTGCCAAATTTTCATTTCTAAACATTCTATATCTTGGAAAAAGCAGGATTTTGACTATAAAGTATAGCTGGACATCGACTAAATGACATTTTCAGGTTTTTAAGCAAATGAGTTAAAATATTGGGTTCTAATGTTATTCATATGATAGAATGGTCTAAGACGAACAAAATGATATAAATTTTGATGAAATTACCTTATTCATAAGTGATTTAGCGGCTTATCGACTAAATATCGACTAAACATCGCTAAATCACTAATGGATAATGTAAGTTCATCAAAATTTATATCATTCTGTTCGTCTTAGACCATTCTATCCTATGAATACGATTAAAATCCAATATTTCAACTCATTTGCTTAAAAAACCTGAAAATGTCATTTAGTCGATGTCCAACTGAAAATGAGCGATTTGTGCTCTTCAGCAGCTGGATTTTTGTCTCAAAATACCCCCAAAACATTTTTCAGCACGGAAGTTGACTTTTTCGAGCGAAGCGAGTGTAGACCGCAAGCTTCCGCGTTAGCGGCACTATCTTCCGCGCAGCGGCCACGCGGATTACTACACATTATAGTAATCCACGTGGCAGCTGACGCGGAAGCTTGCGGTCTACACTCGCTTCGCTCGAACAAAACAATAGTCTGGACCGCAAGCTTCCGCGTGGCGGCCACGTGGATTACTATGATGTGTAGTAATCCGCGTGGCCGCTGCGCGGAAGATAGTGCCGCTCACGCGGAAGCTTGCGGTCTACACTCGCTTCGCTCGAAAAAGTCAACTTCCGTGCTGAAAAACGTTTTTGGGGGTATTTTGAGACAAAAATGGAGCTTCTGAAGAGCACAAATCGCTCATTTTCAGGTTTTTTAAGCAAATGAGTTGAAATATTGGGTTCTAATGTTATTCTTGTGATAGAATGGTCTAAGACGAACAGAATGATATAAATTTTAAGAGTTAACCTTATCCATAAGTGATTTAGAGATGTTTAGTCGATATTTAGTCGATAAGTCGCTAAATCACTTATGGATAAGGTAAAATCATCAAAATTTATATCATTCTGTTCGTCTTTGACTATTCTATCATATGAATAACATTAAAACCCAATATTTCAACTCATTTCCTTAAAAAACCTGAAAATGTCATTTAGTCTTCAATTTCAAATTTCTAGCCGCATTTTCCATGAAAAAAACCAACCTTCAAGATAGTGAGACGTCTTGGGAATTGTTGAGCTTGATGACGGTACAAAACGCCAAGAGTGTTGGCGATTTTCTCGAAGAAACTCAATTTTTGTGTCGCCATCTGCAAATAGCTGTTTTTCTCACGCGAAAAAACCCGCAAGCCCTGAGAAAAAGCCCGAAAAAGCTGGAAATGACCGGAAGCTTCGCGCCGCCCGAAAAATTACAGTACTCGGCGCGGCGAGACCGGAAACCGCGAAAAATTCTTGATTTGCAAATGCGATGCGCGATTGTGTGCATTGTGACAACGCGGTGTGTACACCCCACGCCTACCGTATATTTTTTTTGTTTTCTTTTTTTCGGTGGTTTTCTGCCAAAAAACTCTAATTTCTTGCTGAAAAATGCAAATTCAACTAATCCCGAATGAGAATGGTGTGAAAGAATGGATGGCGATCGAATTGCACGGCACAATTACTCCACAAAACGGCGAATTCGACGAAAAAACCCTCGGAACCATATGTTGGTGTGGGAAGAGTGTTTTCATGATTATTGGAAATCAGACATTAGAGGGAAAGGTGAGTTTTTCGAAAATTTAGAGTTCTGTAGCCAGTGGAAGATTTTTTTAGATCACAAAAATCGATCGACCTCTTCTAGTTCTTCACAAATCGCAAAACCCCGAAGATGTCATGATTCCGGACGAAAAAATCGCGCGCGTCGAAGCTATTGTGCGACAAAAATTGATTTTCAAAATTCGCCCACGACCTTTGGTAATTTCTGCAACTTCTGTGCCTGTACAATAAATAATTTGGAGATCTTTTCATATTTATTTATAAAATCAATAAAACGAGTATCCAAATTTCGCCTGTTTTTTGATCGAATCACCGTGTAGAACATCGATTTGACGGCGAGAATAAACGAATATCAAATCCATTATTAGATAAATCTGAAAATATTTGGAAAAATCTACATATAAGTTAGGGTAACTCACCAATGCAACATTATAGGTCAAAGTTGCGCCGAAGAAAAAGTTTGCATTTCCGCTGGAGCTCACAATCCACATATGCCACATGACAGGCATCAAAGCGATTGTTGTTATAAGAGTTGTGGGGACGAGTAAAGTGTAGCGGAAATCTGCAGCAAAAGTTAGGCTAACTCGAAATATCGGGCTGAAAACTCACAATTCCTGTATTTCTCCAAAACCGGCAACAATGCCAAACAAATTGTGGCTGAATTCAAAGTGGGATATGGGAAAAATGTGGTGATTAGAAGGAGAATCGATATGAAATGCATCTCCTTGTCATTTCGGATGATCAGAGTTAGCGGAATTCCCATGAAAAAATAGAGAATTGTGAAGGCGGATGTGTAGAATGTGCGAAAGTGTTCGAAGACTTGAACGAAGAAATACCAATGGAGACCGACGTTTGGTTGGATGTTGGTGAAGTTTAGACTGGAACATTTGGGCGGGTTTTGGTGAGTTATGACGTGGCAAAATTTTGAAGAACAAAACAGTTTTCGCAACGAGACCCAACTCAAAAATCACATGTTCCTTTAATCTTTCGTAAACTGGTCTTACGACGATCTCAAAGGAACATGTGATTTTTGAGCTGGGTCTTGTTGCGAAAACTGTGATTGGGTTTTCTTCAAATGTTTTCCAGCTACAATACTCAACATTTTGCCACGTCATAACTCAGAGTTGAGCTAAGTCAAGACCAGTTTACCAAAGATTAAAGGAACATGTTGTTTTTTGAGTTGGGTCCTGTTGCGAAACAGAATAGGTTTTCCACGCGCTCCACCGATATAAACACGCAACGCAGACCGCGCCGCGCCACAACCACAAGGGAGGGAATTTGAATCGTTCCCTGTGTGTTGTGGCGCGACGCGGTCTGCGTTGCGTGTTTATATCGGTGGAGCGCGTGGTTCCGATGAGATTTTTTCCTCAATACTCACATAACTTGATAAGTAGAATCCAAAAAACTCCAACTCCACTCATTCAACACAAAATTCACCAAATTCGCCGCAAAAAACGCCAAAATCGCCAGAAAAACCGCAGAAATTTTGTGATTCGCAACAAAAATCAAGCTGAAAATCAGGAGCAGTGGATATAGAGTGAAAGAGCTCCAGAATCCGATTAAAATCGCCACCGTCTTCGAATAATCAAGCCTATACGCCCAAAAAATCATGGCGATCAGTAGATTTTGCGGGATTGTCAGTGATAGAATCGAGCAAGAAGCGATGGAGATCGGATTGAAGGCGTAGAATAAAAATGGCATGAGGGTTTTGGTGCCACTGATTTTGGACAAAATCAAGGCGGTTGAGATGTCCATTAGAATCCATAGAGTTGGCAGAAGATTTGGCACATATTTTTGGAGAAAATATAACGCGTAGAGCGAAATCGGGGGCTGAAAATTTAGATTTTTGAGTTATTCTAACTAATTTTCATCAATTTTAACCATTTCCAACTTCAAAACCACAAAAAATAACCCTAGAACCATGGAAAAAACAAAAAACAACAAAAATTTTGAAACTTGTCCGCGAGAACTACACAACGCGTCATTGCGGAGTATCGTTGTTTTTTTTGAATTTTTTTTTGACGTGGAGGATTCCTTGGTTCTAGGGTTATTTTTCGTGCTGGGAACGATGAAATCATCAAATTTTCTGATTTTTGTAAAGAAAACTTACCAAATTAAAATCATTGCCAGAATATGGATCAAAACCGTCTTCAAGTAAAGCAACTCCATCATTCAGATGATTGAACGAATAAAATGGAGAATTTAGCTCAACTCGTTCGGCGAACAAATGCGAATATTGAAATGCGATGGATCGAAGTACGATTGCAAATGAGATTTTGAATCTGGAAAGGAAAATCCACGTGTTTTTGGCGGGAAAAATTCAAAAATTCAAATATCGCGCTCGAAATCCACGTGGAAAAACTTTAATTTGTAATTTTCGAATCTGAAATCCACGTGGAAAAAATAAGAATTTTTAAATTTCGCTCCAAAAGCTCCGCGTTTTTTTTCAAAATTCAAAAAAAAAAGAAATCCACGTGTTTTCGGTGATGAAAATTCGAATTTGCCGCGAAACTCAAATTTTCAAAATTCGCGCCAAAAAAATGCCACGTGGCAAATTTTGAATTTTCAAATTTTGGCGGGAAAAATCCACGTGGAAAAATTTTGAATTTTTTTGAATTTTTTTTTGAATTTTCTGAATTTTTTTTTGAATTTTCTGATTTTTTTTTGAATTTTCTGAATTTTTTTTGAATTTTCTGAATTTTTTTTTGAATTTTCTGAATTTTTTTGAATTTTTATTGAATTTTCTGAATTTTTTTTTGAATTTTCTGAATTTTTTTTGAATTTTCTGAATTTTCTGAATTTTTTTGAATTTTCTGAATTTTTTTTGAATTTTTATTGAATTTTCTGAACTTTTTTGAATTTGTATTGAATTTTATTGAATTTTTATTGAATTTTCTGAATTTTTTTGAATTTTCAAATTTTCCTCCCCGCACTCACAAAAATCCATCATTTTCGATTTGTTTGATTTTTTGCCAGCCGGACATCTGCTGCAAAATGAAAACATATGAGGAATTTTTTGAGCGAAAAAAAATCACAAGATTTTCTAATTCAACATGGGCTCCAAAAATTCGGTGCCCGACAAAAAATCGGTGAAAATCAAAGATTTTCAGATTTTGAACGCTTATCAGGTGAGAAAATAGATATTTTTTTGTAGAAAAAAACATATTTTGAATAAAAATTGGGGTTTTTTCATGGAAAAAAAGCTTTATTTTCATTTTTAAAATGGGATTTTAGGAAAAAAATTAAAATTTTACACACAGAAATCAATAATACGTCAAGCTTGGAAGCACATGTCGGTGAAAGGTCCGTCGAATTGTGGAAGTACAATTACACGTCGAATGATGGCCCGAAAATGTACGATTGGCGATGTTTTGGATCGAAATTCGATTGATTATCATAATTTGGAGATTGTGGAATTTTTACAGAAAAGTGAGTGGGAGGGAATCTGGAAAAAAAATGAATTTTTTTAGAAATATTGAGAATTTTCTGATTTTTTAAAGGCGGTGCATCGTTGTTTTTTGTATATTTATAAACAATGCTCCGCATTTACACTGCATTGGAAAATAATCTCGTTTTTATGACAAATTTACTGTATCCAAGTGGAATTTTTTTCCGAAATAAAATTTGTGCCAAAAATCCAGAATTTTGAAATTTTCCCCACAAATAATCTCATCCACGTGGCAAAATTTTGTTCGGGAAAACAATTTTTTTTTTGAATTTTGAAAGTTTCGCGCTGAAAAAATCCTAATTTTAACTACCAGCAAATCAGTTTTTGAAAATTAAAAAATTAATTTAAGACGTGAATTTTTATGAAATTCATTTTCAGAAAAATTAAAATTTCGAGAATATTTAATCAAATTTCAGACATGAACTATGATTTTGTCTAAAAGTTTCAAATATTTTTTTTGCAAAGCAAAATCCAAATTTTTTGGATGAATTTCAGATTTTCTAATGGAGAAAGTTTTCGGAAAGAGAATTTTTCAGCCATTTTCAGAGTTTGGGCAAAAAAATTTTTTTTTAATTTTTGAAATTTAACAACATTTTTTTTCATTTTTGTGTGGAAAAAATAGGTTTTCGACATTTTCTGAATCGAATTTTTTTGTCAAAAAAAATTTTTTTATTACATTTTTAGACAAAATCAGAACTTCACATCTGAAATTCGATTAAAAATTCTCAAATTTTAATTTTTCTGAAAATGAATTTCATAAAAATGCACGTCTTAAATTAATTTTTTTTTTGAATTTCTGGTAGTTAAAACTAGGATTTTTCAGCGCGAAACTTTCAAAATTCAAAAAAAAAATAATTTGTTTTCCTGAACAAAATTTTGCCACGTGGATGAGATTATTTGTGGGGAAAATTTCAAAATTTTGAATTTTTGGCACTAATTTCATTTGGGAAAAAATTCCAATGCATTGTAAATGCGGAGCATTGTTTAAATATACAAAAAACAACGATGCTCCGCCTTTAAAAAATCATAAAATTCTCAATGGAGCGCACTTGAATTTTGCAGTCATGCAAAACCTCGACGACCCTCCAAAAAATCGCCGAAATTTGCAAAAAAATCGGCCAACAACATGCGAAATATCGAAAATTGAAGGGAATGAAGGTGAAAAATTCAGAATTTTTTTTTGGAAAAAATAATTTCTAGATTGATTATTGGGATAAATTGGGCGAGGCGATCACTGAAACAATTCGCGAATATCAAGGTTGGAAAATTCATCGCGAAAGTTTGAGAGCTGCCACTATTTTGACGTCATATGTTGTGGATCAGTTGAGATTTGGTGAGCTTTGAAAAGGGGCGGAGCCTGAGCATGTTTGGGCTCAAAATGCTCCAAATTTTTAGACCCAGAAATCTAGTATTTTTTAAGGCTGAAGATGCTCCAAAAAGGGGCGGAGCCTGAGCATGTTTGAGCTCAAAATGCTCCAAATTTTAAAGCTCATAATTGTCCTTTTATTTTAGACTAGAGTCTAGTCATGTTCGGGCTCAAAATGCTCCAAAACTAGTCATGCTCATAAGTCACTAGAAATCATTAAAAAATTCCGTTTTTGAGCCCGAACATGACTAGTTTTGGAGCATTTTGTACCTAGATTTTGGGTCTAAGAATTTGGAGCATTTTAAGCCCGAACATGACTAGACTCTAGTCTAAAATTAAAGGACAATTATGAGCTTGAAAATTTGAAGCATTTTGAGCCTAAACTTGACTAGAGTATAGTCTGAATTTTGAAGCATTTTGAGCCCAAAAATCTTGTAAACTTACAGGTTATTCACGTGGATTACACGCAAATGGGTCTCGCGAAGAAATTGAGGAGAAAGTAGATCAAAATCCATAAATCACTGCATTCTGGCTCTCTTCGCCTCCAAATTTTGCTCCTTCAAATCATCGAAAAACTTTTTGACATCTTCAACTTTTACAACTTCACCATCTGTAGTTTTTTTGGTGAAAAAATCGCCAAGTTTTCTTTTGAGATCATTGACGGCTGCAAATTTTGTGTGAATTTTTTAGTATTGATTTATTGGGGCTAATTCACGAACGAAAAAAATGTTGAAAAATGTTTTTTTGAACACGAAAAATCAAAAAATGTCGAAAAAACATTAGTTTTTCGAGTTTTTCAGCCAAAAATGATGACAAATCGATATTTTTCAAGCTTCTGGAGTAATTTCTGATGAAAATTGACCTTCAGAAGGTTTTGCTGATTTTTCGTAAAATAAAAAATTTTAAAATTTTGATGAATTTCGAAAAAATTCATAAAATAAAGCAAAATAAGCTGAATTTTTTCGAAATTCATCAAAATTTAAATTTTTTTATTTTACGAAAAATCAGCAAAACCCTCTGAAGGTCAATTTTCATCAGAAATCACTCCAGAAGCTTGAAAAATATCGATTTTTCATCATTTTTGGCTGAAAAACTCTAAAAAAAAAACTAATCCCACTTTCAAAATATAACAGCCTGCTAGCAGAGTTTGAATCCTTGAAGTTACTCGTCTACTCAATGAAGGCTCAAATGACCAAATTGGACTTAATTGATGATATAAATAGCAAACTCGATATCATCATGTCAAATCAATATCAAAATGTGGCTATTTCGCCCTCGACACCGGTTCAGCTTGACAATGCACTTATGCTCAAGCACTTCGATGAGTTTCAAAGCAAAAAAACACGTGCGGTGATTGAACGATTAGCTGATGGGAAAAGTGGAACTGAGCAGCAAGAGGATGCATCATTTGTAAATGAATTATGTAAAGAGATGAACTTGGATCCACCGTTGAAAGTGTATAGACACGACTGTGAAGCAATTATTCGCCCATTGAAGATTGACTTTGGATCCCAATCCCTTCGTGATACTTTCTTGAAAAAGTACAATAAAACCATAAAGGAGATGGAGAGTGTTAAAGCTCTCAAAGTCAAACCAAGAGCGAGAAGAGATTTGACTAAAATTGAACTCGAAACTCTCAAGAAAAACAGGAAAATGGCGTATGATGAAAATGTGAAAGCTGGAAAACTTGTCTATTATATTTATGATATCGAAATTCGTAAAAATGATGATCCTCGCCCGTTTAATTTTGTTCCCTCCCACCAATAACTTCCCAGTATCTCAGCTCTCCTGTTTCCTATGCAGAGACCAAAGGTGGGTTGATGGGTTTTGACAAAAAAAAAATATTTCGTGCTAGAGTTTCTGCTTGTTTGGCTAATGTTAGAGGCGTGGCTAGTAAACCCAAAATCATGATGTTGAATGATTACCTTGAAACTAGCGATATAGATTTGCTTGCTTTGACTGAAACTTTTTTTTCAGAAACTATCAATTCCAAATTTATTAGTAATGAATTGTATAATGTTTTTAGATTTGACAGAAATCCTCAAATTTCAAAATTACGCGGCGGTGGCGTGGCTCTAATCTTAAAAAAAAAGCTTTAAATCTGTTGAAGTCGACATTAATATGGCTGATTTTTACCCACTTCATCTTTCCGAAGTACTTTGTGTTGACCTAATTGAGTCAAATAACCAGAAAACCCGTATTTTTGTAGTGTACCGCCCCCCTCATCTTACGTCTAACCATACTGAAAAACTTACTGCTCATTTGTCTAGGTACCTATTATCCTCCCCAAATAATGTTATTCTGGGTGATTTTAACCTTCCTAAAATCTCATGGAATGACCAGCTCTCAAGTAATGACCCGATAGTTGAATTTTTGGCGACCCATGATTTATCCCAGCATGTCCTTGATTTCACTAGAATTCCCAAACTTGGAAACCCCTCAATTCTGGACTTGGTTATCTCGAGTAGTGAGTTAGTAGCTGATGTTTTAGTTGACCTACCCCTTTTATTGTCTGACCATAATTCGGTAAGATTTCAAATCTGTATCTCCTGCCCTAAACCCGATATAATAAATTGTACCACCACTTCATCCCGTTTAAACTATTCTAAAGCTGATTTTGAGACTATCAACCGACTAATTTTACAGTATAATTGGGATCATCAGTTTTCCTTCTTCCTAACTCTCGACACCAAGTTACAGCATTTTACTCGTATCGTTAACGAAATTATTCGGGATAATTGTCCTGTCGCGCCCCAACGTAATACTAAAAAAATGAAAATAACTAGTAAAATAAGAAGACTTAATCGTAAGAAAGCCAAAATTGTTATGTCTGACCACTCTAACAAGGTAATTCTAGATAAGCTTCTAAAAATCCAGAAAAAAATACGTGCTAATTACAAGAAACATATCCGTAGAACAGAAGATAATATTATTAAAAACAACAGCTATAAAAAAACCGTTCGCTTCATGACTAGCATTATGAAAACAAAAACATCAGAAATTCCAACCCTTGTTGTAAATGGGGCCCCTATTATTGAAAATGCGGATAAAACTACAGTATTTTTGAACAAATTTGCAGAAAACTACAGTTCTAGCTCACCTAGCAAAAAACCATCTCATGTTAGTAATTGTAAGCCCAAATGTCCATCTATTATGTTTGAACCCTATGTAGTCCACAACTATTTATCCAAGTGTCCCAAAAAATGTGGATTCAGTAACGATCACCTTAATTATTTTGTTTTGAGTAAATTGGCCTATTCTCTTTCAGTTCCCCTTTCCATCCTTTTTTCCATCTCCTACAATACTAGCTATGTTCCCCTAGCATGGAAAACATCAGTGGTTCTACCCATATTCAAAAAGGGAAGGGCTTCTGATCCCAAAAATTATAGACCAATTTCACTTACCCCACCAATTTGTAGAGTAATGGAAAGAATTGTGGTTGATTATATTAAATACAAACATAGTCATAAATTATCACAGCACCAATATGGGTTTCTCAACAAGCGTAGTTGCAAATCCTCTCTAATTTCAATGATCACCAAAATTCGACAAAATTTTCATAAAAAGAAGAATACTGATATTGTGTATTTTGATTTTGCAAAAGCTTTTGACCGTGTCGATCACAATTTGATTATTGAGAAATTGAGAGAATTTGGTTTAGATGAATATTTATGTAGATGGTACGAAAATTTTCTTGAAGGCAGAAAGTTCTTTGTCAAGGTTGGTAATTGTATGTCCAGTGAATCCGCCTCAGTACCATCCGGGGTTATTCAGGGTAGTGTCTCTGGGCCAATACTTTTCATCATATTTATCAATACTGTATTTGAACTCGCAGATGATGATGTAACTATCCAAGCTTTTGCCGATGATCTCAAAATAATAGGTTCAGATCCCTTGCGAGTTCAAAGTGTAATTGATAAGATATGTGCATGGGCTAAGGATAATTCCATGGAATTAGCACCGGAAAAATCTTCTGTCATGTACTTCGGTAGGAAAAATAAGAGAGCAAATTACGTGGCTAACAACATCATAATACCGCACAAAGAACATGTTCGGGATCTCGGGGTAATAATTGACAATAACCTAACGTTTGAGAAAAATACTACCAGTATTGTTAATATCGCCAATCTTAGATCAAATCAAATTCTCCGTAACTTCCATTTTAGCACAATAAAACCCTACGCATTTCTCTTCAAAATGTATGTCCTCCCCATTCTAGAATATTGTAGCGAAGTTTACGACCCCTTCCTAACTAAAAATCTATCAAATAACCTAGAAAATCCATTACGTCAATTCACTCGTAAAGTCTTCAATCGTTGTAATATGCCATTTGAATCTTATGAGGATCGCCTCAAACAGATCAACATGGTGTCAACCCATACTCGTAGATCCAGAGCCAATATTATTCATCTTTTCAAAGCCCTTAATGGATTTTCTCACCAGCCAGAAACATTTGACTTCATCAGCTTCTCAACACTTCCACGTCACCCAGCCCGCCTAGTTTTAACTCAAAAATGCCACAATTCTTTTTTCTCACATACAGTTCCCAAGTGGAACTCTTTATCGCACCTCATTGAAATGAATTCTTCAGTGCAATCGTTCAGAATATTGATTAATGGTTTGAACGCATCGCTCTTATCATGAACCCTTACGGCCAGATTCTCGCACACTCTTTCTTATCTCTTTGTCAAAACCTCCAACTGACCAGGTCTCTTGCGGGATTTAGGTCTTTTAAAAATTTGGGAAGTTATTTTATTCACCCTATTTATTTTTCGATTTCATGTGAATTACCCCTTTTTCTCTCTCCCTTTGATCTCACTATTTTTATGTGCCGGTGAATTTATAACATTCTAAATAAAAATTCAAAATTCAAATTCAAATTTTTCGACATTTTTTGACTTTTCGCGTTAAAAAAAACATTTTTTAACATTTTTTTCGTTCGTGAATCAGCCCTATTGATTTTTTGACCTACCGCCCAAAATATTGATAGCCCCATCCATTCCAACTTCCTGAACCAGTTCGCGCATTTCTTCATTTTCGGTTCGCCGATTTTCTTCCGCTTTTGCTTTGCCTTCTTGCTCGAATTTTGTCAAATCATCGTCTTCGTCCAATAAATATTCGCATTGATGATTTTCCAAGATTTTCTGAAATATTTGAATTTTCGAAATTCCCGCCAAAGATTAGACAATTCTCAATGGGGCGCAATTGAACATTTATTGAAAAAATTTGAAATTCGCGCTCCATTGAGAATTGTTGAATTTTGCAGCGCGAGTTTTCATATTTAAACGATACTCCGCATTTACACTGCATTGAAAAATATTGATTTTTATCAAAAACGTTTTTTTAACATTAAAAAACCAAAAAAAGTGATTCACGAACGGTATTTTTATTCAATTTTTCACCATTTTCTCAACACATTGAATAAAGTGAAGCTAAAACGCATTTTAGTGTCCAGAAATGCTATTTAAAGACTTTCTAATCAGCCTAAAAAGAAAAATCAAGCCTTCAAAATCAAATTCACAGGCAAATGCAAACTGGCCGGATACTTGTCAAAAATTGAAAAACGGTCCGAAACTTGTACGTTTTGGAAACTGGTCAGAAACCGGCCGATTTTCGAGTGGTTATTGTGGAATTAAAAAAAATGTGGCAGAGGAAACTAGTCCCTTGTAAATATTTCGAAAATTAATGAATGTCGGTGTGTGCGCGCGGTCGCGATGTGGTCGAAAAAAACAACATTTTCGAAGAAAAAAAATTGGCGATAAATATTGATTTTATTTCGACCGCATCGCGACCGCGCGCACACACCGACATTCGTTAATTTTCGAAATATTTACGAGGGACTAGTTTCCTCTGTCACATTTTTTCAATTCCACAAAAACCACTCGGAAATCGGCCGGTTTCTGACCAGTTTCCAAAACGTACAAGCTTCAAACCGTTTTTCAATTTTTGGCAAGTATCCGGCCAGTTTGCATTTGCCTGTGGCTTGATTTGTCTTTTAGGCTGATTAGAAGGTCTTGAAATAGCATTTCTGTACACTAAAATGCGTTTTAGCCCCTCTTTATTCAAAATGAATTAAAATACAGTTCGTAAACGTTTTTTTTCGCGAATTACCTTACAATCCTCACATTTACACAATCTTTGGCGCAATTTCTGAACAAAAATCGCTTTTTTCGGGAACGCCTCTTCAGATTTCTGTGAATTTTTAAAACAAATTCTCGTATCAGAATTAGAACCATCAAATACTTTCAGAAATTGATGATTTTTCGAATAGCAACCCGGGCAAATGAAGCTGACTGGACATTCTGAAGAAGATGATGAAGATTCTGTGGCCGCCACGTTTTCTGGAGCATCAACATGAGTTGGATGAAACCAATCTTCGCAAAATTCGCATTGTAACATGTCTTCCTCGCAATTTTTCTCGCTGGGATAAGTATCGTCACAAATGCAGAATTTTCCCGAGTAATTATGATTGTAGACGTTGAATTCGTTTTCAGCGGATTTCTCCTCGTAGAGAGTGCATTTGTTGGGAAATTTTGAATTTCCGCAATCACATCTGCAACAAAATATATGATTTTAACAGAAAAATTGATAGAAAACCCCACTTAAAACTTCTTTTTGTATACAATTCCACCAAATCATGATCAGCATGGCAGTTCAACGAGCAACCATAGCAGATTCCGGCAGTTTTGGGTGGCGGTGTACATGTGAGACAGGAGAATAGCGTTTGGCGAGGTTTATAGCCCTCGGGGTAGGTGCAAACTGTTTCGTCTTGCGCGCCAAATAGAATTTCGGCAGTTTCATTGTGCCGCTTCATATCTTCCATAACTTCGCCGAGTGTGACAATCGGATCATTTTCATTTTCGTTCTCCATTTTTTTCACCTGAAAATTCACTCAATTCGACCAGGAGGAAGGAAAATTGGCGGGAAACACAGAAAAAAAAACTTTGAACGCGACATCAGAGAAAATCTTTTGCCTCTACCCTTTTCTCATACTCTCTTGTGTGTCTCTTTTTCTCTCGCGTCTCTTCACAACTCCACACACTCTCTCTCGCTAAAACTGGCTTTTTGTTGAAATCCGCGCTGGAAACTTGAAATTTTGAAAAAGTAAAAGGATGATTAGAAAGAGGAGGAGTAGTAGAACGCAGAGATGTGCAATTCACCCAGAAAAATTTTGAAAATGCTGTTAGAAACCGAGATTGAAAAACGTGAATTTCTATTTTTCAGTTTTTTCCATCTAAAAATTGATTTTTCTGAAATGTTTTCAACGGACTGTGTAGTGAAGGTTAAGATGACTAGATTCCAATGTCAAAGTCTTTAAAAAAGATGAAGAAGCTGAGAATCTCTTGAATTTGAGTTTTTTGGCAGAAAAGAAAAAAAAAAGAGAAGAAAAACGAGTGGTTTTGAATTTCGCGGGGTTGTTCGGTGGAGCGCAGTTGCTCGCTTGGTTTTCGATGGGGCGTGTTTGCTCGTCTTCAATTTTGAAACAGATTTGTCGATTTTTTCCCGGGTTTTTGGAACTTTGCAAGCATGGAAGTGATATTCAGTGATGATGAAGAAGCTGAAAATCTCCGGCGTGATCTGTATGATGGGGTGAGTTATCAAAACTTAGAATTCGTGATGTTAATTTATCGATTTTTCAGACTTCATCGAAAAAAGAGGAAATTGCGATGTTTGGAATGTTTGGATTAGTCAAAAAAATCGAAAAACCGCGGGAAAATGTTCTGTCAAGAACCCTGGTGAACTTGCAAAAAGAACCGGATTTCGAGTTCGCGAAAAAGTTCGAGATAAAGCGCGAGATTTCTGGCGGGCTTCCCGTGCATGTGGATTTGGAGAAGACGAATTCCGCGTCGCAAATCAAGTGCCAACGAGAACAATTGCTGAAGAAATGGGAGGAGGAGAATCGAGAAGAAGTTGAATCTAGAAAATCCGATTTTCCCCTGCCCACCACCAGAAAACGCAAATCGGCTGAAAATATTCTGGAAACTTCCAGCAAAAAACGCCGAAGAAGTCGGCGAATTCAAATTGAAGAAAGTAGTAGTAGCGAGGAAGAAGAAGAAGAGTTGGTCCCTGAAAAATCTTAATTTTCAGAAGCGCCTCGAATTAATTGCTACCTGCTGTGTGAAATATTGGATTTTCTTTGTATTTTTTTCTAATTTTGTGAATTTAAATGAACGGGTTGCTTTTCTTCTTTGATGATTGATGAGTTTTTTTAAAAACGGTTTCAAAAATCCGTTTAATTCTTGAATATGAATGACATTTTCAGGTTTTTTTAGCAAGCGAGTTGAAATATTGGGTTTTAATGTTATTCATAGGGTAGAATGGTCTAAGACGAACAGAATGATATAAAATTTGATGACTTTACCTTATCCATAAGTGATTTAGCGAGGTTTAGGCGAAAAGTCGCTAAATAACTTATGGCTAAGGTAAACTCATCAAAATTTATATCATTTTGTTCGTCTTAGACCATTCTATCATATGAATAACATTAAAACCCAATATTTCAACTCATTTGCTTAAAAAACCTGAAAATGTCATTTAGTGGAAATGAGTTTTGATGAATTTAACCGTTATTTAGATAGTTCCTGTGGTTTTAGCTTTCATTTTAAAAATCTTTTAGCTTTAAAAATCCCATTTTGCCCCAAAGGGCAGGAAATTTGGATTCAAAATATGCCTAGAAGAATTTTCGATTAGAGACAATGGAAAATTGAGAGAGCGCAGAGAACACAATTGAATTTTCGAGCGGAGCGAGTGTAAACCGCAAGCTTCCGCGTAAGCGGCACTATCTACCGCTTCAGCGGCCACGTGGATAACTATGACGTGGCAAAAACTTTAAAAAAACATCGGAGCGAGTGAAAACCAAGTTTTTGCCACGTCATAGTTATCCACGTGGCCGCTGAAGCGGTAGATAGTGCCGCTTACGCGGAAGCTTGCGGTTTACACTCGCTCCGCTCGAAGGTTAGGACACAATCAGTTATTTTGTAATTTCGCTCGAGAATTTAATTGTGTTCTCTGCGCTCTCTCAATTTTCCATTGTCTCTAATGGAGAATTGATATTTTTAAAAAATTCCAATAAAAAAAACGTTTTTTAACGTTAAAAAACCAAAAAAAAGTGATTCACAAACGGTATTTTTATTCATTTTTTCACCATTTTCTTAACACATTGAATAAAGTGAAGCTAAAACGCATTTTAGTGTCCAGAAATGCTATTTCAAGACTTTCTAATCAGCCTAAAAGACAAAAAGCTTGATTTGTCTTTTAGGTTGATTAGAAGGTCTTAAAATAGAATTTCTGGACACTAAAATGCGTTTTAGCTTCACTTTATTCAATGTGTTGAGAAAATGGTGAAAAAAATGAATAAAAATACCGTTCTTGAATCACTTTTTCGGGTTTTTAACGTTAAAAAACGTTTTTTTTTCTAAATTTCGTGAATGAAAATTTGTTCCAGAAAGTGTATTTACACAAAAAAGTGTATTTTTTTCCCGCCTCAAGTGTTCCTCCCACTATATAGAATATTTACACTTTTTCTCTGCTTTCTTCTTCTCAAAAATACTATCATCTGACGAAATAGTGTGTTGATTTAGGAGAGAGAGTTAGAGAAAGAGAGAAAGAGAGAAGAGCTGAAGGAGATTCGGGAAAAGCCGAGCAGCAAGGATTATTGATTCGATTTGTGATTTTTCGGTCAAATTTTGTTACGCTATCTGAAAAATGGTCAAGGTTATTGGTGAGTTTTTCGGAATTTTGATTTTTAAATCAGAAAACGTGGATTTTTGCCATGTGGCCGAATTTCTGCAACGAAATTCCACGTTTTTTGAGACTACACAAGCCTAGGCCTAAAATTTGGGCCAAGCCTAAGCCTAGGCTCATTTGATATCAGAAAATGTGGATTTTTGCCACGTGGCCGAATTTCTGCACCGAAATTCCACGTTTTTTGAGACCACATAAGCCTAGGCCTAAAATTTGGGCCAAGCCTAAGCCTAGGCTTGTTTGGTGTCACAAAAACGTGGATTTTTGCCACGTGGCCATAATTTCTGCATCGAAATTCCACGTTTTTTGAGACTACACAAGCCTAGGCCTAAAATTTGGGTCAAGCCTAAGCCTGGGCTCATTTGATATCAGAAAACGTGGATTTTTGCCACGTAGCCGGGAATTCTGCACCGAAATTTCACGTTTTTTGAGACTACACAAGCCTAGGCCTAAAATTTGGGCCAAGCCTAAGCCTAGGCTTATTTGATATCAGAAAACGTGGATTTTTGCCACGTGGCCCGATTTCTGCACCGAAATTCCACGTTTTTTGAGACTACACAAGCCTAGGCCTAAAATTTGGGCCAAGCCTAAGCCTAGGCTTGTTTGGTGTCGGAAAACGTGGATTTTTGCCACGTGGCCGGGATTTCTGCACCGAAATTTCACGTTTTTTGAGACTACACAAGCCTAGGCCTAAAATTTGGGCCAAGCCTAAGCGTAGGCTTGTTTGATATCAGAAAACGTGGATTTTTGCCACGTAGCCGGGAATTCTGCACCGAAATTCCACGTTTTTTGAGACTACACAAGCCTAGGCCTAAAATTTGGGCCAAGCCTAAGCCTAGGCTTGTTTGGTGTCAGAAAACGTGGATTTTTGCCACGTGGCCGAATTTCTGCACGGAAATTCCACGTTTTTTGAGACTACACAAGCCTAGGCCTAAAATTTGGGCCAAGCCTAAGCCTAGGCTTGTTTGGTGTCAGAAAACGTGGATTTTTGCCACGTGGCCGAAATTCCACGTTTTTTTGACATCAAATAAGCCTAGGCCTAAAAAGGCCTAAAAACCTGCTCAAAAATCACCAAATTATTTTCCAGACGAAGCTACGATCCGAAAATCGCTGGAAACCATCCCAGAATCTGAGAAAATCGAAAAACTCATCCAAAAATTAGTGGAATCGGAAAAAGAGAACGCCGAACTCAAGACAAAAATTCCATTAATCGACAAAATTTCGAAGCAACGCGATGTTTTGGAGAAAAAATTGGATAAATCCAATCAGATTTTATTGCGAACCGAAGAATCGAAAATGAAGTTGGAGGAATTGTGTCGTGGATTGCAGAAGTTGAATCATCAGATTCGAGAGGAGAATAATGAGAAGATCAAGAAATTGGAGACCGAGAGAAAAGAGGCGGTTGTGCAATTGAAGACTACGCTTAAGGTACGGGATTTTGATATTAAAAAAATTTTCTCCACAATTTTCTGAGCATTTTGACACCGAACACGCCCATTTTTCTGTGCCTTGCGGAAAATTTGCGAAATTTTGAAGCCACGCAACCCTGGCACGGTTTTCCCGAGCATTTTGAACTCAAATATGGTTATTTTTGAAGCCACGCCCATTTTTCTGTGCCCGGTGGAAAATTTGCGAAATTTTGAACCCAAACTTACTTTTTGCAACTCTGGCACGGTTTTCCTGAGCATTTTGAACTCAAATATGGTTATTTTTGAAGCCACGCCCATTTTTCTGTGCCCGGTGGAAAATTTGCGAAATTTTGAACCCAAGCTTACTTTTTTGCAACCCTGGCACGGTTTTCCTGAGTATTTTTGAAGCCACGCCCATTTTTCTGTGCCCCGGTGGAAAATTTGCGAAATTTTGAACCCAAGCTTACTTTTTTGCAACCCTGGCACGGTTTTCCTGAGTATTTTTGAAGCCACGCCCATTTTTCTGTGCCCCGGTGGAAAATTTACGAAATTTTGAACCTAAGCTTACTTTTTGGCAACCCTGGCACGGTTTTCCTGAGTATTTTGAATCTGAATTTGAGTATTTTTGAAGCCACGCCCACTTTTCTGTGCCCCGGTGGAAAATTTGCGAAATTTTGACCCTAAGCTTGCTTTTGGCAACCCTGGCACGGTTTTCTTGAACATTTTGAGTATTTTCGAAGCCACGCCCATTTTTCTGTGCCCTGTGGAAAATTTGCGAAATTTTGACCCTAAGCTTGCTTTTGGCAACCCTGGCACGGTTTTTCTGAGCATTTTGAACTCAAATATGGTTATTTTTGAAGCCACGCCCATTTTTTTGCAACTCTGGCACAGTTTTTCCAGAAATTTTTCCACCAACACTTAAAAATTGTTTTTTTCAGGATATCGAAAATTCAATGACAGCGGGCAAAGAAAAATCGGATTCATTAGCTGAAGACAATCGAAAATTGTCAGAAAAGTTCACGGAACTCGCAAAACAATACGAAGATCGTCTAAAATGTGTGGAAGAACAATACGAAAAAAAAGGAAAATATTGGGAAGAATATGGAAAAACGAAAGATGTTGAGATCAAATTATTGAATGCAAAATTGGAAGCATCAAGTATAACTGCACAAAAATTGGGATTGGAAAAAGAGGAGTTGATTAAATCGGTGATTGATGAAACTGCGAGAGTTGGTGGAGCTATTGAGACTGAAAAACATTTGAGAGATCAGGTAACATTGAAGAAATATTTTTTGAAAATCTAGACACACTTTAGAAAAATTTTAGAACTGATTTATGAACCAAAAATGATGAGATTTTTGAAGCATCTGATGAAAATTGACCCTGGAATCCACTTTTCAGAAGTTTTTGCTGATGTTTCGAAAAATTCATCAAAAATCACTCCAGATCTCGATTTGTCATCATTTTTGGCTGGAAAACTTTGAAGCTCTAAAACTTTGAAGTTTTTCAGCCAAAAATTATGAAAAATCGAGATTTTTTGAAGCTTCTGAGATGATTTTTGATAAAAATTGACCCTGTAATCAAAAAAATCAGCAAAAACTTCTGAAAAAAGGATTCCAGGGTCAATTTTCATCAGAAATCACTTCAGAAGCTTCGAAAATCCTCGATTTGTCATCATTTTTGGCTGAAAAACCCGAAGAACTAAAAATTTCAGCTCAAAATTAGTGTTTCGAGTTTTTCAGCCAAAAATGATGACAAATCGAGATTTTTTGAAGCTTCTGAAGTGATTTCTGATGAAAATTGATCTTGGAATCAAAAAAATCAGCAAAAACTTCTGAAAAGTGAACTACAGGATCAATTTTCATCAGAAGTCACTTCAAAACCTTCAAAAATCTCGATTTGTCATTTTTTTTGGCTGAAAAATTCGAAAAACTAAAAATTATGACAACTTGAGATTTTTGAAGTTTCTAAAGTGATTTTTGATGAAAATTGACCTTGGAATCCACTTTTCAGAAGTTTTTTTCTGATGTTTGTCTGAAAAATGGATTCCAGGATCAATTTTCATCTTGATTTGTCATCATTTTGGCTCTAAAACTTTAAAAAAACTAATTTTGAACTAAAAATTTTAGTTCTTAGAGTTTTTCAGCCAAAAATTATGAAAAATCGAGATTTCTGAAGCTTCTAAAGTGATTTTTGATGAAAATTGACCCTGTAATCAAAAAAATCAGCAAAAACTTCTGAAAAGTGGATTCTAAGGTCAATTTTCATCAGAAATCACTTCAGAAGCTTCAGAAACTTCGATTTGTCATTATTTTTGGCTGAAAAACCTCACCTGAAATTCTAGAGAGATTTTTTCATGGAGAAATTGTTTTTCCCCCCAAAAAAAAACTGTAACCAGACTGCAAAGAGTACTGTACCTCGAACTGCAAGGATTACGGTAGCCTGAGGGTTACTGTAGGTCCCAAACTGCAAGGATTACTGTAGTCAGACTGCAAGGGGTACTGTATTTGGCAAATTTTCAACATTTATCAAATTTCATGAAAAATATACCAAAAAATCGGAAATTTTCTGAATTTTTCAAAAAAAAATTGGAGAAAATCGAGAATTTCCAGAAATTAATACGTTTCAAAATTCTTTGAACTTTTTCCAGGTCAAACAATACGCCGAAAAATACTCGGAATTGAGCACTTGTCTCTCCAAAAGCAACACGGCATTCGACAAATTTCGCAAGGAAATTGATAGAGTAAGTCAGTTTCTGAAGCTGAGATTTTGCCACGTCATAGCTCATATTCAAAGTTGAGCTAACTCCTTTCTTTTAAAAATCCCCCGTTTTTCTCCAGGTTAACGCAAATTGCCGAAAAGTCGAGACAGATGTTGCGCAATGGCGCAAAAAGTATGATGAAGCTAATCAGTGAGTCCTCCCCTTTCCAAGTTATCCTAACTCTATCAATATATTTTTCCCCCGCAGAAAAGTGTTGGTGCTAACGATGAAAAACCAGGAGTACACTGAGAAATTTGCGACGCAGAACAAGAAATTGGAAAAGTTGGAGAATTTGTGTCGAGCTTTACGCGGTGGAAATACGCCAGCAATTCCGGCTCCGCAAGAATAAGTTTAACCTCGAAAATTTCGAATTTTGAATTTTGAAAATTTTCCCGCCGCCCAAATTCTTTATGTGTATATATTCAATCTCTCAACGTTGCGCATATTTTTTATTTTATTTTATTTAAAGTTTTTTTTGGATTTTTGAATGGAGAAAAATGCCACGTGGCGCGAAATTTGAAGCATTTTGACACCAAATAAGGCACTGCAAAATTTGCGCCAACAAAGTGTGATGCTGGCGTGTTTATGATCAATTCACGAAAAGTCGAAAAAACATTAGTTTTTCGAGTTTTTCAGCCAAAAATGATGAGAAATCCAGGATTTTTTAAGGTTTTGGAGTAATTTCTGATGAAAATAAGCTTTGAGAACCCTATTTTGCTTTATTTTATGAATTTTTTACGAAAAATCAGCAAAAACCTTCTGGAGGTCAATTTTCATCAGAAATTACTCCAGAAGCTTCAAAAATCCTCGATTTGTCATCATTTTTGGCTGAAAAACTCGAAAAACTAATGTTTTTTCGACATTTTTTGACTTTTCGTGTTGAAAAAAACCTTTTTTAACATTTTTTTTCGTTCGTCAATGAAAATCCCTCAAAACAAAAATCCGCATTTTTTCCGGGGCGGCAAAAAAATGCACTTTTTCGTCAACTCGAAAAAAAAGAAGAAAAAAGTTTTCTTCTTCTTCTCAATTTCAACAATTTCGTTTTTTTTTTATTTTTTGAAGAAAAAGAAGAGGAGAAGAAATCTCCGCCCACACTTTTATCCGTTTTTTTTTGTGTTGAGTCGCGAAATTTTTTTGCAGTTGAGCGTTTTTTGAAGGGTGTAAAGATTAGAGCAAAAATCGATCAAAAGTGCTCTTTGAACTTACATTAACTTCAGGAAAAATTACAGAATTGAATGAAAAAGTTTGCGATTTTTCCCACGGGGCTTTAGTTTTTGCTGCTTCTGAAGATCTAATTTCAATAATTCGACAAAATATTCATTTTTTTTAGTTTTAGAGCCAAAATGATGAAAAATCGAGGTTTCTGAAGCTTCTGAGGTGATTTCTGATGAAAATTGACCCTGGAATCCACTTTTCAGAAGTTTTTGTTTTATGATTTTCGAAAAATCAGCGAAATCTTCTGAAAAATGGATTCCAAGGTCAATTTTCATCAAAAATCATCTCAGAAGCTTCAAAAATCTCGATTTGTCATCATTTTTAGCTGAAAAAATTAATTTTCGAGATTTTCAGCCAAAAATGATGAAAAATCGAGGTTTCTGAAGCTTCTGAGGTGATTTCTGATGAAAATTGACCCTGGAATCCACTTTCAGAAGTTTTTGTTTTATGATTTTCGAAAAATCAGCAAAGACTTCTGAAAAATGGATTTCAACGTCAATTTTCATCAAAAATCTCGATTTCTCATCATTTTTGCGTGAAAAACTCTAAAATTTCAGTTCAAAAGGCCGTGAACTCCGAGAGAAGTACACACACATAAAAAATTATGTGTGCGATAGAGCGAACTTTCTTTCCTAGCGGATTTTGTGTTTTTTTCAAAAACGCAGCTTTGCTGCTGAAAAAAAAATGTGTCGAAAAAAAAAGCGCGGAGAGAAAAATTGTTGTGTGAGGGAGGAGGAATTGGTTTTGTTGTGTATGTGTGTGTGTGTGTGTTGTAATATATATATATATATATATACACTCATCCATCCGAAAGAAAGCACATCCAGCAAGCAACAAAAAATTGAAAGAAACGGGCGGTTTTCATCACTTTCTGTGTGCTTTTTTGTGTGTGCGATTTTCAGCGCTGAAAATGAAAATCGCTGCGATTTTGTCGCGCCTCACTTGTTGGCGTCGAGAAAAAAGTGCAACAATAATCGGTGGGCTGGAAAATTTGTTGCGATGATTTTTTTCGAGCGCGCCCTCCGAAAGTTTGATGGATTTTTTTTGAAAATTTTTGCTTTTTTCAATGCCATTAGTTTGTCAGTCGCGTGCGGCTGTGCGTCGCGGTCGGGATTCTTTGTTTCAGTCGCATGCGGCTGTGCTTTGCGGTCGGGATCCTTTGTTTCAGTCGCATTCGGCTGTGCGTCGCGGTCGGGATCCTTTGTTTCCGGACCGCGACGCAGAGCCGCACGCGCCTCACGAAATAATGTTTTTTTCACGGCAGCCACATTTTTGAACCTTTTTGATTTGTCTACGAACCACACCTCGGCTAAAATCGTGTCAAAATTGTACTCCAACATTTTTTAAATGTAAAAACTGGTAATTTTCAGTTTTCGGACGTCTGAAATGGTTTTCTTCAAAAATTGTAGCCACGGATTGTCCGAGGTGTGAGACCAACAATTTTCGTCCGGCGATTTTTGGTATACCACTTCGGCCTGTGAGGCCCCCCAGTCTGTGAGGCTAAATTTTTCCGACCTTTGTGTAGCTTCCTCGATTTTTTGTACATTTTTCACTCGAAATTCCACGTGAATCCATATTTTCCCCCTTCTTCCACCAATTTTGACCAAAATTTCGGATCCCTGACGTCCAAATTTTAAAAAAACCTTGTTTTTTGCCCCGATTTTCCTCCACTCTTCGTGATCTTCTTTGAGCAGCGCGATAAATTTTTTTATATTATATATATCTACATTTATATATGTATTATTTGATCTCCCATCCATTCTCTCGCGCACCCCCCGACCCTCTTAAAAGACAAGAGGGGGGAGTGTTTCATCCTTCTTCCATCTCCTCTCCTAAAACAAAAAGGCCCCCGGGGCGCCTAGCTTTGGATAATACTAATAATAATAATATAAACAAAGAGAGAGCGAGAGAGTGAAGAGCAAATATGTAGAGAGAGAGAGATATATCCCGGGAGAGAGCAGCTTTTCGTCTTTTTCACTTCGAACAGTAAGCTAGATAGAAAGAGAATAGAGCCTCAAGAGGAGGGTTTAAACAAAAATCGCAGTTGCTCCCCGCCGTCGTTTCTTCTTCTTCTTCTTTTTTTCAAGCAAGCCAGGTGCTCCTCTCTTTTCTCTTCTTCTGGAAAAAAAGAAGAAGAAGGAATGTGTCTAGTTGTCTTCTAGCTTCTTCTTCTTCTTCTACTCCTGTTTTATTTATCGATTTTTTGTGCCGCCCATAGGCTCGTCGGCTCTTCTTCTCGAGCCCCCCCCCTTTTTCTCCACACTACGACACATTTTTTCACTCACTCACTCACTCACTGGCTTTTTCTTCGTTTTCTTTTTCGCTTTTTGGGATTTTTTCGTGTGATTTTTTTGTGGGCTCCTGGGTTCCTTGTTGTTTATTTGCTCAAGCTCTTCCACGAAATTGAAAATTTTGAGACCCACCGTTTTTTTCGGTTTTTCTAGTCGTACTAGAGAGGTCGTAGTGCTGTTCATACATGAACTAGTCGCTCCGGGGACCCTTGAGTTAACCCCCCTCCAGGAAATATTTTCAAAAAGTTAACCCCCCCCCGCCCTAACCAATGTTTTGTGGGTTTTTGGCATGAAATTCTCTAAAGGCATGAAATTCTCTAAAATTTTCAAAAGTTGAGGGCCCCACCTTCAAAAATGAACCCAATGTCATACATGAACTGGGACTCCGAATTCGGAGGGAGGGGGTTAACTTTGGGTGCATTTTTGAAGGTGGGGCCCTTAACTTTTGAAAATTTTAGAGAATTTCATGACTTTAGAGGCCGAAAACCCACAAAAATTGGTTAGGGGGTTAACTTTTTGAAAATATTTCCTGGAGGGGGGTTAACTCAAGGGTCCCCGTTGCGACTAGTTCATGTATGCCCCTAACCAATTTTTTGTGGGTAGGCATGAAATTCTCTAAAATTTTCAAAAAGTTAAGGGCCCCACATTCAAAAATGCACCCAAAGTCTTAACGATGCTCTGAACTTCGAACCTCTGATATTTCTGACAACCCCACGAACTTCTGAACGATTTTCCCAACTTCTACCGAATCTCTCAGCCCTAGAAAAATTCCAAACCCATTTTTCCTATGTGTCATAAATCATTTTTTCGTCGCGCGCGCTTTCTCTGAAAATGTTTTGTTTTTCCTTTCTTTGTTCCCTTTTAATCCTCAGGCTCTTTTGCAGGTATTATATCAATATAGTTAGGCTCCATAAATAGGATTATCACCTTTTTTCTCTCTCGCCACCCCCCAAACAACACCACCATCGGAACAACATCGATGTCCGATAGTGTTGCGCGATGAATGGCGGTAGATTCGATTTCGACGACGGCGGGACGTATGTTGGCGGATGGGAGGAGGGAAAAGCGCACGGACACGGTGTGTGCACTGGACCGCAAGCCAAAGGCGAATACGCCGGAGCGTGGCATTATGGATTTGAGGTGAGAGGGGATAATTCTTGTTTCCTTGTTCAACGAACACAGCGCGACAACTGTCATCATTTGTTGTTTTTTGCCCTCCTGGAGAGAAGGCAGTGTAAAAATCATTGAACTCTCTCTGTTTCTTCTCACCCACTTGAAGCCATAAATCAAGAAATCAGAATGAAAATTTGAAAATTTGAATTCAAGTCGAAAAAAAATAATAAAAAACATTTTTTCAACAAAAAATTTCGTCAAAAACTATATTTTTTTCCTATTTTTTGACATTTTTCTTAATTTTTGTGTCGAAAAAAAAGGCAAAAATAGAAAAAATATAGTTTTTTGACATTTGATGAATCGAAATCCAAAAATCCACAAAAACCTAAGAAAGAACGAAAAAATAAGAGTGTGTGTGTCAACACCGACTGCCCGCAAACACCAAATCCTACGCGCAATCTTGTAAAAATAAAATAACGACACTCCGCTCAGACAGTGTGTGAAAATTAAACAACAGGCAAGCCGATTTTTGACAAAAAATCTTTTTTTTATTTTTTGTTCGACCTGAATCACCCCAGAAGTGTTCAAAACGTGTTTTTGACCAGTAGTGCCCAATATTTTCCAATAATCAACTTAGCTTTAGTGTTGTCTTACAGGTTTCTGGTGTTTACACGTGGCCATCTGGTAACACCTATCAAGGACAATGGCAGAATGGAAAACGACATGGATTAGGAACAGAGCAGAGGGGAAGGTGGATTTATCGGTGAGTGCAAACACCACGACGCAACCGTGCACAGAAATTCTCTTTCCGGGAAAAAACATCGGTTTTTTTGCAGAGGTGAATGGACGCAAGGCTACAAAGGCCGCTACGGTGTCCGTCAGTCGGCGAATTCGCAAGCCAGGTATCAGGGCACCTGGTCGGCCGGATTTCACGACGGCTACGGAACCGAAATCTATGTGGACGGCGGAAATTATCAGGGACAATGGTTGCGCGGAATGCGACACGGCTACGGTATCCGCAAATCGACGACGTACGGAAATGCGGCGAAATTCCGGTCGAAATCGCAGACGCATGCGTCGCTGACGAGTTTACGCAGTGGGCGGATGGATGAGGAGAATGGCGATGAAACGCAGCAAAGTGAGTTGGGATATATTTATTTTCTGGAAGAGCTAAGCTATTCTCTTTTCAAATTTAAATATAAACAATTTTCAATTTCGAAAAAAAAACATCTGCTGTCAATTGTCCTGAAAAATCCACCTGACTTCAGAAAAAAAATTCACGAAATAAAAAAAAACACATTTTTTAACGTGAAAAAACCAAAAAAGTGATTTACTAACGGTATTTTTATTCATTTCTTACCATTTTCTTAACACATTGAATAAAGTTAAGCTAAAACGCATTTTAGTGTCCAGAAATATTCTATTTCAAGACCTCATGATGAATTTTGGCTGAAAAATGCTGAAATTCGTGATTTTAAATCTAAAAAACGCTGAAAATTGTGAATTTCAGGCTCTAACAGCTGAAAATCTGAATATAATTGACCAACATTTTTCAGCCAAAAATTGAATTTTCTGGAGCTGATTTTTCTGATTTTTCCGCTTCTGGAACAACTTTCCGAGCTTCAGACGAATTTGAAGCTAAATTTTCAGGTTTTGGTCAATCATATTCAGATTTTCAGCTGTTAGAACCTGAAATTCACGATTTTCAGCTTGAAAATCGATATTTTCAGCATTTTTCAGCCAAAATGCGTTTTAGCTTCACTTTATTCAATGTGTTGAGAAAATTTAAAAAAAAATGAATAAAAATACGGTTCCTGAAGGTTTTTAACGTTAAAAAACCTTTTTTTTTATTTCGTGAATCACTGCATTACAAAAAAAATGCAAAATGTTTGCAGAAGAAGGTCTAACGGGTCGAGGAGGATTTGTGCTGCGCGCCAATTCAGCCGCCCCTCAACGTCGCCGTCGATCTCTCTCCGAACGATCTCTCGCCGTCAAGCGAACTCTCCTCTCCGGACTGCGCATCAAAAAACAACACTCAACCGGTGATATTCATCAACGAGTCGCCTCAATGACCGGAAGTCTTCGATCCAGCGGCTCGACGATGAGCTGCACCAGCGAGGATTCGTTACACGGTGGCGGCGGACATCATCATCATCATCACCATGGTTTGGGTGGACAGGATGAGGAGCCGGTGGAGGAAAGTGTGACTGAGATTTATATGGGAGAGTGGAAAAATGATTCGAGAAGCGGGTTTGGGATTTGTGAACGGAGTGATGGGTTGAAGTGAGTTTTTTTAAAATTTAATTGCAAAAACTGTGTGCGGCAGTTGCATTTAAGCCACGCCCACTTACACATACATTTTTAACTCCACAAAATAGCGTCAGCTAGTCCCTCGTAAAAATTTCGAAAATTAATGAATATCGGTGTGCGCGCGCGGTCGCGATGCGGTCGAACGAAAATCAATATCGCCAATTTTTTTCATTTTTCCCTCGAAAATTAATTTTTCCCTCAGTTTTCAGTCTGAAAAACCTAAAATATTAAATTTTGTTTGAAAATGTGACCATTTTCACCATTTTTGCTGAAAAAAACTTAAAAAATGAATAAATTCAATTTAATTACGCAAAAAATGACCGTTTTTGGTGAAAAAACGACCGCATCGCGCCCGCGCGCGCACACCGACATTCATTGATTTTCGAAATATTTACGAGGGACTAGCTATCGCTGTTTTCCTTCACGTATTTTTTTGGCTTTCGGTTCGCGGTTGGTATACTGTATTGACTTTTGCAAACACGGTGACGCACAAATGCACAAAAATGTCTCGCGTCTCTCCATTTTGCGCGCTGTGTTTCGAAATTGGTCTCGCCACGAACCCCGCGAACCGAGATTTTTTGTTCAGCAACAAAATACGTGCCTCTCTTTTAAGTTTTTCAAAAATCAAATCCAAATCTCTAATTTCCAGATATCACGGTGAATGGGCGAACAATGCGAAATGCGGATTCGGCGTAACCATTCTCAAAGATGGAACTCGCGAAGAAGGTCGCTACAAAAACAACGTGCTCATCATGTCGGCTCGCCGAAAAGGCGTGCTCTTCATGAGAGCCTCGAAATTCCGCGAAAAGGTCGAGCAAGCTGTCGGAACCGCATCGCGTGCCGCCTCAATTGCCCAACAAAAAGCCGACATTGCCGCGAGTCGCACATCAACAGCTCGTGAACGCAGCGAACAAGCACAATTTGTGGCTGCGCAAGCGAGAGAGGATAGCGAGATTGCGCGGATACATGCCAAACAATTTGACCCGAGTTTTAAGCAGCCCGGAACTCGCCGGTTATTATTGAAGGATAATAATGGAGGAGAGAGTTTTGGGACGGATTTGAGTGATGCGATTAGTTATTCAAGGCATTTATCGCAAACCCATAGCAAACAACATTCTTTCGAGCAAAATTTGTCGGTTGATATGGGTGATGAGATGGCTTCCACTTCGAAACAACAAGCAAATCATGTTGGTGGAAATCATGTGAAGTGAGTTTTCGAAGAGGGTCAAAAGGCTCCACCGAAATAAACACGCAACGCAGACCGCGTCGCGCTATAACACACACAAATGAGGGAACGATTCAAATTCCCTCCCTTTTTTGCGTGTGTTGTGGCGCGGCGCGGTCTGCGTTGCGTGTTTATTTCAGTGGAGCGCGAAAAAATTGAAAAATATTTAAAAAAAAAAAATATTATACCGTAGTTCTTTTTCGCGACGAGACCCTGTGTGTTTCAGCTGTTGCGCCTTTCAAAAACTACGGTATTTTTTGTTTTTTTTTCGAGGTTTTTGCATGAAAAAAGGCGGAAAGCAAGAAATACTGAAAAACAGTGTTTTATTGAGGAAAAATCGATTTTTCGGGTGAAAATTACGAAAAATTAGTTGTAATTCACTTTTCTCAAGTTGAATTTCTCGTTTTGATCAAAGGCGCATGGATTTTTGAAAGATGTGGGTCTCGTCGCGACGAAAAAACTACGGTATATAATTTTTTTTACGTTTATAATACCCAATTCTAATAAGCTAATGGGCGGAGCAAAATCCAATCCTTGATTAATATGAGCAATTCATCATTCAGCTTTCAACCTCATGTATATACGGATCAGACACCAGTCGAAGGTCACGATTTTCTACCACCGCAACCGCATCTCATCGCAAACAACGTTCAGGAAATGCCAAGTATTGCTGTACAACATCATGAAGATGAGGAGAAGCCGCTGATAATTCCGCCGTCGACTTCGCAGCTGGGAGCAGCAGCGGCTGGAACATCTGGCACGAATCTGAAAACGCAGGCGCCGAATACGATGTCGTCGAGGTTTTCGTTGAGGTTAGTGTTTATGAACCTGTATTCCACGTGGCAAAATTTCAAGGATGTGTGTTTTTCGAAATAAAAAATAAAATTCAGGAAACTTGAAAACTGCCACGTGTCAATCTCAAAAATATTATGTTTATTACTTTTTTGGATAATTTTTGAACCTCAGAAAATTTTTTTTTTAATTTCAGAAAATTTGAAATGCCACGTGGCAATTTTTTTTTTGATTTAGCAAAGAAATTTTTTTAAACGTTTTCTAGTCTCGAGTTTTAATTATTGAAATTTTTTCTTTAAAATCCACGTGGAAACATTTTTGAACTGACAAATTTCTAACTGCCACGTGGATTTTTCTTTAGGGCTGAACGAAAAAAAATGTTTGAAAATGTTTTTTAACATCGAAAGATCAATTCACGAAAAGTCGAAAAACGTCGAAAAACCATTAGTTTTTCGAGTTTTTCAGCCAAAAATGATGACAAATCAATATTTTTCAAGCTTCTGGAGTAATTTCTGATTAGAATAAGCTTCGAGAACCCTATTTTGCTTTATTTTATTGATTTTTTTCGAAATGTAAAATTTTTTTATTTACGAAAAATCAGCAAAACCTTCTTAAGGTCAATTTTCAACAAAAATTACTCCAGAAGCTTGAAAAATATTGATTTGTCATCATTTTTAGCTGAAAAACTCGAAAAACTAATGTTTTTTCGACATTTTTTGACTTTTCGCAAAAAAACTAATTTCCACGTGGAAATATTGCTGTTTTGCAAATCCTATTTCATTTTTCATCATCATTTCAAAAAACCAATTCATTTTTTTTCCTGCAGCGACGATCACTACGATCAATATGTGATGGCTGGCAGTAAAGTGGCAAGTGCCAGTGGTTCATCATCTCCTCCAGGCGCAATCGACCAACAACAACAGCAAAAATTACGACGCAACAGGCCGTCGCTGATGAGACAGGCGGATGTCAACGAGACGAACAGCGTATGTTTTTTTCTTGCAGGATTTTTTTCATCTCATTTTTGCAGGCAGCATCTGGTATTAATCGACGTTCGACGCTGGCTTCTGCGAGGGATCGAAATGGCGACGCCAGGATGAATCCGTCGATTGCCGCGCTGCAGCAGCAACAACAGAATCAGCAAGGCGATGAGAATATGGGAAGCTTGCCGAATTTGGCGGAACTTGAAACGCAGGGGGTTAGTGTGGGGCAGAATTTTCATCAATTCTAACCATTTCTGACGTCTAAATCACAAAAAATAACCCTAGAACCCAAGAAAAAACGAAAAACGAGGATTTTTGCAAAAATTTTCGAAACTTGTCCGCGAGAACTACACAACGCGTCATTGCGGAGTGTCGTTGTTTTTTTTTGAATTTTATTTTTTGACGTGGAGGATTTCTTGGTTCTAGGGTTATTTTTCGTGCTGGGAACGATGAAATCATTGAAAAAAATTGGTAGTGTAATTCCACGTGGATTTTTGGCGCCAGAAATTTTTTTTGAAAAAATTTCCGAGTGAAAAAAATTTTATTTCGAGAAATTTTATGAATGAGCCAATTTTCAATTGGGGCTGAATTTTAAGAATTTCAGGAAATCTGAAAATTTCGATTTTTTCGTACCAAAACTCTAGAAATTGCAGAATTTCTCTATTTTCAAATCTGAATTTTGAAAACAAATTTTTCCACGTGGATTTTTGGGCCTCAAAAACACTGAAAATTAAAAACCACGTGGATTTTTCATCTCCAAAACCCAATTTCAAAACCGAAAAAAAATAACATTTTTAAACTTGTCCGCGAGAACTACACAACGCGTCATTGCGGAGTATCGTTGTTTTAAAAAAAAAAAGGGTTTTAACGGGGAAAACTTGGTTCTAGGGTTATTTTTCGTGCTGGGAACGATGAAATTACCGAATTTTCAAATTTTGCAGGTTCGACTACGTCGTGAAGAAGCGGCGCGTCTCGCCGGGCAGCGTCGTCAAGAAGTTCTTCGCGAGCAAGAAGAACAAGCGCTGCTCCGCGCCAATCCGCTACGTCATTTCCTGCAACCGGCGTTCAGAGTGAGTTTTTGAATGGAATTTTTGACTAGAGTGTAGTTTATGTGTGATTTTTAGTGAAAAATCCGAATTTTTAACCTCAAAAATTCAAATTTTTTCGCATTTCAGGGCTGGCTGATTCGATGGCGAGTTCCAATTCTGTTAGCAATTGCCAACATCTCTCTACTATGTCTTTTCTACAATCTTCTCACTTATGAAAAAAAGAAGAAATCTTCTAATTAGGTACCCTTATATCTTCTATTTTATTGCTCATATTAGGTTTCCATTCATTTTGTTCTATCTATTTGGTGCTTTTTTGTTTTTGGTGAAAATCGAAGCCCTGATCGATTTTTCGCCGAATCTTATCTATTTTAATAATTACTTATACTCTCTTTATTTGAAATGTGGCCTTACTAAAATATATTTTATGATTCTTACCGGAGTATTTTTAAAATAATAAATCAATTTATAAAAGCGGGGACGAGTAAAGTGTAGCGGAAATCTGAAATTTATTTGTTTTTTTTGTGCTGAAAATCGTGGAATAACAAAAAATCAAAAATTCAAGTCCAAAAATAGATATAAACCATTAAAAAACAGTCATGAGAAACAAAATTTTGTTTAAAAAACCTCGAAAATTTCCAATTCATAAAATGTTTCTTCTATTTTTGATTCCATCAATTCTTGGATCACCCGAATCTGATGCTAAATCTCTAAATGATGCACTTTATGGAATACCAAATGGATTCAATGAATCAACATTGATCACGGTGATTTATGAGAAAAAATTCATGGAAAGACAGAAAATGATGGAGAGTTTTCGAAGAGTTTACGGTGAAAATGCGTATTCTGATCTATGCAACAAAATCGCATATGCTCCAGAAGACATCACAATGGGAATAATCGATAATAGTTCAGCGTATTATGATGCTAAAGTTCTAATTCGTGCAATGTATGGTTGGTGGTATGAAAGAGATCCTGTATTCGAAATTATGATATCAAGAACATCTCAAGAAATTCGAGAGATCAAAAAGGCAAGTTATGGATTAGGCACTGATTTGTGTGATCGTCTTAATTGGAAAACAATCGGCGATTTGAACGATGTGATGGTTTTACTTTGTAAAGCTGATAGAAATGAAGATAATTGGTATGATGTAGATTTAGCACTAAAAGATTGTGATAAGCTTTATCAATTTGGCCCTCGTAGAATGTTAGATACAGATGAATATGGGATAAATCACATTTTGTTCAAACGAAACTATGAACAACTTCGAGTGATGTTTAGGGTTTTCTCGAATTATGTATTCACATATTTATGGAAAGATGAATATATAACTTTGGAGAAACGATCGATTGAAACGATGATTAGAGAAGAATATTCATTTGACACAGAGGTTGCACTTTTAGAATATGTGAAAGTTGTCAAGAATCGTATTGGATATTTTGCAAGTCTTATTCGGAAAGGTTTGACAGGTTGGTTTATCGCATGAGGTATGACGTGGCGACTTTATGAGGTCAGAACTCGCCTTTAAAATTATTTTCATGAAAATCTGATAGCATAGGGTTGTTCAGGAAGGTTATATAATAACTCATGTTAGGCTTCGAGCTTTAGAATCATGTTCAGCGGGTCGAAAACTACAGAAGTTTGATTGATTTGCAGATGGCGCTGGATCTCAGGGCGAACGACGAGTGATTCGAACCATTTTCGGACGCGCTGGCATTGATTTACCCGAAATTGTCAAGGAGTTTGGTGGCAAAAATGAACTTGTGGAGGCAATTCAAAAATCTGCGGATTTATATTGGTTTACTAAACAAGCTTTGATCGCTGTTCTGAATGCGAATTGCGAACAATGTTGAGGAATCATTTTTTTCTCTATATAAATTTTTATTTCTCAATTTTTCCTCATTTTTGGGCGGTTTTTGGTGAGTTATGACGTGGCAAAATTTTGAATATTGTAGCTGGGAAACATTTGAAGAAAGCCGAGACATAGTTTTCGCAACAAGACCCATCTCAAAAATAACATGTTCCTTTAACCTTTTAAATTACTGTAAACTGGTCTTATTTTTTGTTTTCAAAAAATATTAATTTTTTCTGGATGGAGCACTTTTTCTTGTTTTTCATCTAAACATGATAATTTTTATCGAATTTTTCTAAAATCAAACAAAATTCCGAAATTTTGAGCTAGAAGACTTGATTTTCAAACAATTTTGGGCCAGAAATCACGAAATTTGGATAAATGTGAAAAAATCCAAAATTTCCGAACTTTTTGTAAAATTTCGCGATTTTTGGATTTCCTAGCCTTTTTCAAGCATTTTAACCCGAAAATTCAGAGTTTTTATTGAAAAAAAAACAGTTTTCGAACCTGGTGGCCTTGATAAGTAGAATCCAGAAAACTCCAGCTCCACTCATTCAATCGAAGCCCTGATCGATTTTTCGCCGAATCTTATTTTTTATACATGTTTTCCTTGCCAAACTCCAATTGACTTCCTATAAATTGTTCCCAAGCCAAAAAATGGGCGGAGCTTAAAGGGTGTGAAAAATAGGAAAGAAAAAACAACGCTCCTAAATACTTTTTTATTATTTATAAAATAATTAGAACCTGCTAGTTTTTCTGTTTCTCATTATTTTTGTTGCTGGAAAAAATGGTGCTACTGAAGTTTAAAAATCAAAGCGATTATGAATTTGACTACGAAAATGTTGGGAAGATATTTTTCTTTGATTGGAAGCAAATCGAAAATCCGGTGAGTTTTCAAAACTTTTCAAAATTCATTTTATCAGTCCAAAAAAAAAATAAGCAGTCCCAAATTTATTTTGGGTCTGCAAATTATTTATTGAACATTTTGTGTTCTGCAAATAAAATTGTGACATAGTTCAGTGGTAAAACTCTCGATTTTGAATCTGAGGGTGGCGAGTTCGATTCCTCGTGCATGCGAATTTTTTTTTTGTTTTCTCTATTTTTGACCAATCAAAACCTACGTTTCTTGCAGTTCGATATTCTTCCAATGGAAATGAAAATGATGATTTTCATAAATTTGGATCCGGAAGATATAACTCAATTTGGAAAATGCTCAAAAAGTTGTCAAAAATTATTCAAATTATTGCGACCAAAAATCAAAAGTGTATATTATCGAGGAAATATAGAAATGAGCCATTCTCAAGAATGTTATCTACAAATCCAATTTCATAAATATCCGACGAAAATGTACCAAATAGAAATTGAAACAATCAATTCGAAAAAATTATCGAGAAGAAATAAGATGATTGAATGTAATGGAATAATCGTCGAAACTATTGGATCGAAAAAATAAAATACGAAAGGATGCAGATCCAGTATTTTACTCACAAAGTTAGTTTTTTATTGAAAATTTTTTTTTCAATTGGAATTTTTACTAAAAAGTTATGACGTCAAACCATAAAGACACGTAGAATTTATCCTAGAAATCGTTCAAAAATCATTATTTGCATGTTTTTTATCATCCTTCAAACAGTGGAAGTACATAAACAAAATTGAAAGTCTGCCAATTATTTATTGAACATTTTGTGGTCTGCAATTAAAAGTACTAGTGCAAATAGTTTAGTGGTAACGCGCTGGATTTTGAATCTGAGGGTGGCGAGTTCGATCCCTCTCGCACGCTTTCCTTTTTTTTTTGAGGAATCTTCAGTCTGAGATGATTTTTAGGAAAAAAATAATGAAAGAACTTTTTTTGCTGAGACTTTCGGATTTCGAATCACAGTTCGATTCCAGCGGAAGGAATTCATATTTTCAGATTCACAATAACACCACAATCAACATATCAAGATACGAAACTACTATTACATCGAACAAATCCAAAATGGCTTCATTTGATTGCTTTTGAAATATTCAAAAATATAATTGAATTCAACAAATCATCGATTGATGAAATTACAATTGAAGCAAATAGTATTGAATCAATTTACATGAGAGTGATCGATATTTATTCGGAAAACTTGAAAATATTGCAAATCGATGGAAATTTCACAGATCATCCACAATTGAATCAATTTCTCTCGATTGAATTTGTTAGCATGAAAAATTTCAAAATCAGCTCGCAACATCTTCCAATGATAAAATCAAAAGATCTTGTGTTGCACAAAACAGTTATGGACCAAACATTGTATAACGAGGTTTTGACAAAATGGAGAGATGGTTTGATGGAAAATTTGAGAAAAGTTACGATGTTTGGAGATGATGATTGGTTTCATGATTTGTTTGTTGATAATACGATTCTTAGAGTTGTGATGAATGAATATGGAGAGTTAGTACAGAAGTGAGTTGATGCTTAAAAATTATTTACAATAAATAGGCTTATCAGATTTGAAGACACGTAGAGAGTTAGAAAATCTTCATATTTTTGCAGCAGTGATGATGAAATAAGATGTGAAGTTGTTGGCTCGCCATCAGTAGATATCAGTATCCAAGGAGGTATTACGATTGATATGCAATGTTTGGTTGTTCGAATGTATCTGAGACGAGACGATTTTTAACAATTATTGTAGTTTGAGCTTTTAAAAATAATAAATCAATTGTTATTGAATTTGGAGTTTTTGACGCTCAGAAATGCGTCATTTTTAAGCCAGCAAATCCTCTTCGAAGAAAAATGATGAAAATTTTGAATTTTTTGGAAATATCACTTTTCGCAGGGAAATTTTAGATGTAGCCTATGAGATGTGGAAAATGCAAAATTTCTCAAAATTTCATTTTTTAAAATTTATTACAAAAATTCAAAAATTTCATTAAAAACTTTCGGGATTTTTAAGCCATTTTTTTTGAAAATTACAAATTTTAACCAAATTTTAGTGCCAGATTTCTGGAAATTTGTCTGAAAATGTGCATTTTTGAAATTTCAACATTTTCATTAGGCTTAGGCTTAGTAAACCACCCCAAAACCTTGAATTTTTCAAAGAAAAAAAAATTCCCTGAAAATTATACGTTTCAAAATTATATCAAGAAAATTCGGATTTTTTTTTTCGCCGATAATTCTGGTGTTGTTGCAACTACGAACATTTCGAAGGAAATCATCTGCAAAATTATAGATGTAAATACTAAAAGTTTTATAATTATTTTGCTTACTTTGTGTTCTTTTTTGATTTCATCATTGAATTTCGTTGATGACCAACTCAAAATTTCCTCATTATTGTATAAAAATGTTGGGGTACTGTAGTTCGAGATGTGTGTAGTGGCATTTAATCTGACGCGCACTTATTTTTATTTTTCGTTTTTTTTCTGGTCAAGCGTTTTTTATGTTTTTTTGGTGTTTTTTGCGGATTTTCCCATCATATGCTGATGGTTATATCTGGAATACCATGTGGATGCGGAAGCTATGCCCAAAATTCGATTTTTTTACAGATTTTTTTCAAAAAATGGAGGAACAAACTTGGGTTTGGGTTTGAATTTGAACTTGGGTTTGAATTCGAATCCCGAAGCTGGAGCCCAAGCTGAAGATGAAATTGGTTGGAGAATTGTCAAAATTTGAATTTCGCTCAAGTTTGTGAATTGAAAGCGTGTTATATTTGCTTGAAAAATCTTCGTTTATCAACTGAGAATATTGAACATTTTTTGAAATTTTGGAAAAATGGAGAAGTTGGGGAGAATATTCAAAAAGTATTCATGCAAACAATCGAGGAAATCAATACAGAAGAGATTTTGAGAGATTTGGAAACTATTGGCAAGCATGAGAAGTGAGTTTTGGTTTTAAAGAATTTCAAATCTTTAAATAAATACATTTATATTTAGCGACGATGGAAAGATCTGATTGAAACTTCGAAATTTGGCTGGAGAAACTGCGGAAGTTTCGGTGTCTCGCAATTCGATGTCAATGAATTTAACAATATTGGATGATGAGGACGATTTCGAGTATGAAAATCTGGAAGATTCTGAAGACGAAATCGATTTGGAAAATTCGTTGGACGAGTTTCTTGAAGCCGAAATTTATCGCAATTTTTTGAATGACAATGGTTTTGAATTCGGTGATGAAGACGATGACGATTTCGATGATTATATTGATCCTTTGTATAATTATTGATTGAAATTTCGTTGCTCATGTTAAATTTAATTATTACTTTTTTGTTTTTTTTGTTTGAAAAATATGTTTGTTTTTGAAGAATTTTGAATATATTTTTTTCAATTTCAGAAAAGGGTTTTCAAACCTAAAACTGTGATGATATTTTGAAATTTGTTGAGCAGGTTCGAAAATCCTGAAATCCCGTGAACCTAAAAAACAAATGAAAAATCCTTTGAGAAATGGAGGAACAACTCGAAAACCTGAATTTGAATTTGGAATCGGAAGAAGACGATGAAATTGGTTGGTATAGTATTCCGCTGGAAATGAGAGAAATCGTTTTGGAAAATATGACAACTGAAACAAAACGACGATTCTCGATGTGCTCCAAAGATTGTTGGAAGAAGGTTAGAGGATCGAAGAAGTTTTTGAGAAAAATCTCATTGATTTGGACAAAATGTAATGTTAGAATGGAAGTTTTGATTGGCGATGATTTTTATGTTAAATTCATGTTTTTTCAAAATATGGAGGAAGAGACAAACTGTTGGAGCATTGGGCCGAATTATAGCGAAATTTTCAAAGTTGTTGGAGATTTTCATAGTATTGGTCTTGAATATTTTCAAAAGTTTATTGAAGATGCGATTCATCTTGAAAATCTTGGATTGGAAGTGGTGAGCAAATTATTTGTAATTTATTTTTCAATAATAATATATATAATTTAGGATAACTTCCCATTCGATAAAGTCAATATTCACCATTTGAAGAAACTCAAAAACTTGAGAATCAAGAAGTATCATCTTGCGGAAGAGGAATTAATCGATCCAGTGGAATCTGGTTTCTTGAATTTCGCGCAAGTTTCAACAATTGAAAATAGTATTCGAATTGAGAATTGTCAAAGTTTGGATTTCGCGCAAGTTTGTGAATTGAAAGCGTGTTATATTTGCTTGAAAAATCTTCGTTTATCAACTGAGAATTTCGAACAATATTTGAAATTGTGGAAAAATGGAGAACTTGGGGAGAATATTCAAAAAGTATTCATGAAAACAATCGAGGAAATTGATTGCGAAGAGATTTTGAGAGATTTGGAAACTATTGGCAAGCATGAGAAGTGCGTTTTGGTTTTGAAGAATTTCAAATCTTTAAATGAATATATTTATATTTAGCAACGATGGAAAGATCTGGTTGAAACTTCGAAATTCGGCTGGAAGAATGGCTGAAGTTTCGATGTCGAGCAACTCGATGTCAATGAGTTTGACAATATTGGATGACGAGGACGATTTCGAGTATGAAAATCTGGAAGATTCTAAAGACGGACTCCATTTGGAAAATTTTGTTGTACGAGTTTCTTGAAGAAGACGATTAATTGAAATTTTTGTTCTTTTTTGTTTGAAAAATGTTTTTGTTTCAGAAGATTTTTGTATTTGAATTAAAGAAAAATGGTTTTGAAGCCATAAATATTCACTAAATAATTCATTTTCTACTGTTCTCATCTCTTTTTTTCAACATTAAAGCGTTTCTTCCATAATTTAATGAATTTTTGCAAAATGTTGGGGTACTGTAGTTCGAGATGTGTGTAGTGGCATTTAATCTGACGCGCACTTATTTTTATTTTTTCGTTTTTTTTCTGGCCAAGCGTTTTTTTGGTGTTTTTTGCGGATTTTCCCATCATATGCTGATGGTTATATCTGGAATACCATGTGGATGCGGAAGCTATGCCCAAAATTCGTTTTTTTTACAGATCCTTTTCAAAAAATGGAGGAACAATTGGCGAAATTGGATTTGAATTCGAATCCCGAAGCTGAAGCTGAAGCCCAAGCCGAAGACGAAATTGGCTGGTACGATATACCCCTGGAACTTCGCGAAATTGTCCTAGAACATATGACAACTGATGCAAAACGAAGATTCTCGATGTGCTCCAAAGATTGTTTGAAGAAGGTTAGAAGATCGAAGAATTTCCTCGAGATGATCTCATTGTTCTGGACCGAATCGATTGTTGAGATGGAAGTTTCGATTGGTGATGATTTTTATGTTATATTCCAGTTTTCTCAAATCATTGAGCAGGTGACAGGATATTCGATTTTTGGACCGACATATTACAAAACTTTCATGGTTGATGGGGATTTTCATAGTATTGGTCTTGAATATTTTCAAAAGTTTATTGAAGATGCAATTCATCTCGAAAATCTTGAATTGGAAGTGGTGAGCAAATTATTTGAAATTTATTTTTCAATAATAATATATATAATTTAGGATAACTTCCCATTCGATAAAGTCAATATTCACCATTTGAAGAAACTCAAAAAGCTTAGAATCAAGAAAACTGACAATGCTGAAGGAGAATTGATTGATCCGTTCAAAGCTGGTTTCTTGAATTTCGCGCAAGTTTCAACAATTGAAAATAGTATTCGATTGGAGAATTGTCAAAGTTTGGATTTCGCTCAAGTTTGTGAATTGAAAGCGCGTCATATTTGCTTGAAAAATCTTCGTTTATCAACTGAAAATTTCGAACAATATTTGAAATTTTGGAAAAATGGAGAACTTGGCAAGGATATTCAAAACGTGTTCATGCAAACAACAGAAAAAATCAACCAAGAAGAGATTTTGAGAGATTTCGAAACTATTGGCAAGCATGAGAAGTGAGTTTTGGTTTTGAAGATTTTCAAATGTTTAAATAAATATATTTATATTTAGCTACGATGGAAAGATCTGGTTTAAACTTCGAAATTTGACTGGAGAAACTGCCGAAGTTTCGATGTCTAGCAATTCGGTGTCAATGAATTTGACAACATTGGATGACGAGGACGATTTTGAGCATGAAAATCTGGAAGATTCTGCAGATGAACAAATTTTGGATGAATCAAGTCGCGAGGAAGAAGAAACTAATTATGGAAGTTCGTTAGAAGAATCTTTTGAAATTGAAAATCATCGCCAATTTTTGGATGAAAATGATCACAGCGAAGTTGAAGATGAAGAAAACTTCGAAGGTCAAAATGTTGAAGATTCTGAAGAGGAAATTGATTCGGGAAGTTTGTTGGAAGAGTCTATTCAAGCTGGAGTTCATCAACAATTTTGGGATGATGATAGTTACGACGAATTTGAAGATTACGGTTTCGATTATTTTGATGAGGACGAATTCGAATACGATTTCGACGATTTTCGTGAATTTTTTGATGCTTCGGATGAAAATTATGATTATGATTGATTGGAATTTTGTTGCTCATGTTAAATATAATTTTTTTTGTTTGAAAAATATGTTTGTTTAAGATTTTTGTATTTGAATTAAAGAAAAAATGGTTTCCAAGCCATAAATATCATTGAACTGTTAACATTTTAGCTCTGATGATTTTTCAGCGTGGAAAAATGAGCGAGGAATTGGTGCCAATGGTGAGTGCGGAGGGACTAGAAAACCAAGAACGCGCGCAAGTGCGCTCTAACGAAAACATGAATTTTTAAATGTCTGAAATTTCAGACAATTGGCTGGTTCGATCTTCCATTCGAGATGCGTGAGATGGTTATGAATGAAATGGATACAGTTTCAAAAGGTAGATTATCATCATGTTCGAAAGATTGTCTGGAAGAAGTTAGAACATCCAAAAAGTTCATCAAAAGCATTTCTGTCTTCTACTATCGAAATTCGGCGAAAATCAAAGTGTTATTCGAAAATGCGCGATCAATTTATCTGGATTTCGGCGACTATTTCCACTGTATTCTCATCACCTACAGCACAGCCGGACGTATTCGAAGAGCAAGTCAAATCAATGGAGAATTCGCCGATGTTTTCGTGGAATATTTGCAAAAGTTTGTTGATGTTGCGATTCATTTGGAATATTTTGAAATTCGCGGATACAGATTTCCATTTGATAAAATGAATATTCAAAGTTTGAGAAAATTGAGAAGAATTATTATTGAAGATGAAAAAGAAGATCTTGGAAATTTATTTGAAAACGGGTTTATTGATCCAAAACAGGTATTTTTTATTTTCAAAAATTCAATGGGAAATAATAGTTACTTATCTTTCAGTTTTTCTCGATCAATGAGGTTCATTTAAACGGTTTCGAGTTAGAATTCGAACATTTATGCAACATCAAATCTTCAATCTTCACAATTTCCAACGCATTTATCCCACCAAGTGATTTGAATTTGTTTCTGAAAAACTGGGAAAATGGTAATATTTCAAAAAATCTTCGAAAAATGAGAATTTCTATGAGAAATTGCTTGGCAGATAGTCGAATTCGTGATATTATTTTGAAAAATGTTGATGTTATTGGAATTCATGAAGAATATTCGAGAATTTGGGGAAAATTGGTGAATTTTGATGAGGAGAATGCTGAATTTCACATGGATAATTATTTCTTTTTTTTGGATTTTGGAACATCGAAGGATACATTTGATTATTATGGATTTGATAAAGAGGATATTTTTGACAATTATTGGTGTGCCTGGTGAAGCTCAATTTGGACTAATACATTTTAAACTGTTAAATTACTTTGAATGAAATTCACTTTTGTTATTAATCATTTTTGTTTTTTTTTTGAATTTTATTGGTTTTATGAGAAAAGGACCATTGAAAATATCTTATTCCAAAAAAACGCCTGTTTTTCCTGAACAAAATTCGTCGGTACAGTAATATGCCGCCAAAAATAGGTCTCCATTTGGCGGCGCCGCGTTTTATCTCTTGGGGGCCCAGAAAAATTTCAAAACATTCATACATATGTAATTTGATCTGTTCTCTTTGAATAAGTGTAGTAGAAGCCTTAAAAATGTCGTTTTCACGTAGAAAAACGTGAAAAACTGGAATCGCTGCGAGACCTCACTCTTTCGAAAGATGTGTGCGCCTTTGATTTGCTCAGAATTTGATTTTCAGCCCATAACTTTTTTGAGAATGCGTTTCAGAAACAAGTAAATAGTTTTTCTGGCTCATCTCGACGAGACGAATCAGATGGTATATTCAGTGTTTTCTGAAAATGCCTCTAACATGCTGAAAATGCGCTGAAACCACTATCTAGTGTGTAAACACCGCGACGCACAAATGCACAAATCAAGTACCGTAGTGAAATTTTTCACCGTCGCAAAAAATCAGGCGTGAAAAAAGTTTGAAATTTATGGGCCTATGCAGAATAATGTTTTGTAATAAAAAAACGTTTTTCTGCATAGTCCCATTACAAGAATTCCAGATCGAAGAAAATGAGCGAGGAATTGGTGCCAATGGTTAGTTTGTTTTTTGAATTTCTTGTCAAATTTTGAGATTTTCAGACAATTGGTTGGTTCGACATGCCTTTTGAGATGCGAGAAATGGTTATGGAACAAATGGAAGTTAGGACAAAAGGAAAATTAATGCAATGCTCAAAGGATTGTGATGAAGAAGTCAAAGGAACGAAGAATTTCATTGATAGAATCGAATTGTGTTTGTCTTCAAGATTTGCCACCATGGAAGTATTTTTCGCCGATGGTTTTAAATTCAAATTCATTAAAAGCAACGAGTTAAACGATAAGATATTTCTGCAATTTAACAGGTAATGAAAAGAAACCTTTCTCATATCAATATCATATTTTTAGTTCAAGATTAAAGGAATTTTCTGAAAAATTGGTGGGAAGTTTCGAGGAAATTTCCTTGAATCGAATCAAAAATTGGATTTATAAGGCTGTCAATCTCGACACTTTGAATGTGAAATTGGTGAGAAGAGCTCGTTTGATCAATAAAAATCAATATATTTTTGTAGGCCGATTTTCCATTGGTTGATTTTGACATCACTCATCTCAAGAAATTGAAATATATCAAAATTGAAAGTGAAATGAGTTTTGGTGAATTTTTGAATGATGGATTGATGGTAAAAGATCAGGTAACAATTTTTTGGCTCTGAAATATTAATAAAAAGTTTTCCAGTTTTGGTCGATCGAAAATATCACTATGGAGAATGTCAAATTGGCAATTGAGGATTTATGTGATATTAAAGCGGAATCTATCGAACTGAAAAATACAAATGTGTCAGCAGAAATGTTGAATCAATTTTTGAAATCATGGATCAGCGGAGAAATTGACAAAAAATTCACTAAAATGAAGATCGGAATGAAGGAAAATAACAACAAGACAGAATTGTCGAGTATTATTCTCAAAGAAGTTAATGCAATTGGTCAACACGAGAAACATTATTGCATTTGGGTTAGATTGATGAACGAAAACAACGAATGGGCCGAAATTCATATTTCTTCTAACTCATTCATTATGATTTGCAAAACTTCCGCAGAAAAGTTTGAATATAAAGGATTCGACATTATTGAAGAAATGAATATGGTGGATCTTTCTGACTTTTCCGAAATAATGGGACAATTGGAATTAATTGAAGATGTTGAATTTGACCCTGAAGATTATGAAGGAATGTATGATTTTTATTAGTTTTAAAACATTTATAACATGTTAATCTTGAATAAAAGTCAATTTTGTTAATTGTTTTAATAATTTTTCATTGACAGAGTTTTTCGAGATTCTCCACGTTATTATTTTCAAATTTATCTTGTATTATCGAAAATCTCACGCGCTCCACCGAAATAAACACGCAACGCAGACCGCGTCGCGCCACAACACACACAAATAAGGGAACGATTCAAATTCCCTCCCTTATTTGTGTGTGTTGTGGCGCGACGCGGTCTGCGTTGCGTGTTCATTTCGGTGGAGCGCGTGAGATTTTCGATAATATTTTGCAAGATTTTCAGATTTGATTCGAAGAAAAATGAGCGAGGAATTGGTGCCAATGGTTAGTTATTTTACTGATTTTCTCGACAAAATTTAAGATTTTTAGACAATTGGTTGGTTCGATATGCCATTGGAGATGAGAGAAATGATTATGGAACAAATGGAAGTTAAGACGAAAGGAAAATTTTTACGATGCTCGAAGGATTGTGTTGTTGAAGTTAAAAGAATGAAGCATTTTATCCGCGAAATTCGACTTATTTTATATTCAACAGGTGGCAGAATGGAAGTGATTTTTATCGATGGTTCTGAATTGTTTATTATCATTGAAAAATTTAACGATAAGATAATACTAAAATGTGGCAGGTAATGAAGACAAAGCTCTATAAAATTTTTATAATATCAAATATTTTAGTTCAAAACTTGAGATTCTCTCAAAAACAATCGCTGCTAAGCGCATCAGAAGCTGGACTGATAATACGATTCATCTCGAAAATTTGCAAGTTAAATTGGTGCGTCTATTTTTCATTTTTTGAAAAATTCTATAATTTTTGAAAGTCCAATTCAGATCGACTTCCCATTTGATGGTTTCGACATTGCTCATCTCAAAAAGTTGAAAAATATCAAGATAATTAGTGAAAAAAGTTTTGATATGATTTTTAAGACCGGATTTATGGAGAAAGACCAGGTAGACATTTTTTGGCTTTGAATTTGAAAAAAAAATTCGGTTTTCCAGTTTTGGTCGATCGAAAATATCACTATGGAGAATGTCAAATTGGCAAATGAGGATTTATGTGATTTGAAATCGTCTTCTATTGAATTGAAAAATACAAATGTGTCAGCAGAAATGTTGAATCAATTTATTAAAACATGGAAACGCGGAAAGATTAACAAGAGTTTCACCAAAATGAAAATCGAAATGAAGGAAAATAAAAAAAACAAGACAGAATTGTCGAGTATTATTCTCAAAGATGTTAATGCAATTGGTGAACACGAGAAACATTATTGCATTTGGGTTAGATTGATGAACTCGAACAACGAATGGGCTGAAATTCATATTTCTTCTAACTCATTCATCATGATTTGCAAAACTTCCGCAGAAAAGTTTGAATATAAAGCATTCGACATTTTTGATGAAATGGATATAATGGGCATTTTCACCTTCGAATCAGAAAGAGATCTTTAAGCTGAAGATTATCAAGTAATGTATAAAGAATTGTATGGTTGTGAATAATTTTTAAACATTTTAACGTGCTAAACTGTTGAATAAAATGCGATGATGTTTATTTTCTTGATTTTTTAAAGATCAAATATTTTAGCATTCAGGAAATTTCGATGATTTTGGCAATGTTTTGGAAGTTTAGTGATTCGGCAAAGGTAAATTTTTTTATAGAAAAATTGTTTTCAAAACACATTTTTATTTGTTTTTCAAATTCCAAAATTGGCATGGGAACTTTTTTTCGGAATTTTTCAATAGAAAAATACAAAATAATCTTGTTTTTAAAATTCATTTCAAAAATTAGCATGTGAACTGAAATTTCCAATTTAAAAATTCCCTGAAAATTATACGTTTCAAAATTATATCAAGAAAATGGATTTTACGACTTACCTTGCTGATGATTTTTTTGCTTTATCAACATCAATCTCTTCGAAACTTGAAAAAACGTTTATTTGCAACAGAAAAAAAAGTCGATGTGCGCTCTATTGATAAAATTTATGTAGTGTTCGTACTATCCCTGTGAGCAGTTCTATAGGATGGTGCCTTTTGAATTGTCAACAAATTATGAGCCATTCGAATATTCGCAATATTATATTGATCAATTTCAATAATAGCACAAATATTCGAAAATCTTTTGTGATTTCCAATAATTTGAGCTTCATTAAAAACAATATTCCAAACATTTTCCCTGATTTCTTCATCTTCTTCTCTTATAACAAATTCCAATTTCTCGAATTTTCTATCAATTTCTGTGTATTTTCTGATTCTTCGAATTTCTTTCCACGCATTCATAAACTTTCTTAATAATTCTGCATCCATATTTGTCAAACGCATTTCTTTCGATTTGATTTGTAATAATTTCTCTTCACGAATCAGAATATTATCAAAATTGAGTTTTTCAATTGATAAAAGCTAAAAAATATTTGAATTTTGAGGTTTTTCAAAAAATTTTCCCGCAAAAAAAAATCACCTTTTCCTGACTGATAAATCCAACTTCGAATAATCTATCCAAACTAAAATTTCGAGAATCAGAATCACTTCTAATCTTGAAACTCTTCAGCATTTTCCAATTATTGATACAAAATCTGTCGATTGGAAATGAATCAATCATGTCGAGCTCAAAATCTTCGATATTTTCCGATCGCGACATAAAACTTCTGAAACATCTCAGAGCAAGATCTGCCATTCTTCTTTCCACCAAGGGGTTTTCGTGATAAATATTTGTGGCGCTGCAAAAAAAAATATTTGAAAAATTATCTAAAAATTATGAATTTTAGCTCAAAATTCGTCATTTTTTACCATTTTCAGCTGAAAATCATCCAAATTTCTTGATTTTCAGCTGAAAATTCGCAGATATTGGATCCCAGATTTAAAAAAATGGAAATTTGATTGGAAAAATTTGTAGGACCCAAAAATCGGTTCAAAAAGCTCATTTTCCACCTAACCTACGCTTGCGGAGCACAAAAATGCTCCAAATCTGAAATTCCAGGAATCTTCAACAATTCTCAGTGAAATTTGTGGATTTCCCACCAGTTTTGAAGATTTTTGAAACCTCACAAGGATTTTCAGAGCTCGCGGAGCACAAAAATGCTCCAAAATTGAAAAAAAATCGCTTGAAAACTCAAAATTTATCATTTTTAGCCGAAAATCATCGAAATTTCTCGATTTTTAGCTCAAAATTCATAATTTTTCATGATTTTCAGCCGAAAATCATCCAAATTTCTCGATTCATAACAGAATCCTCCTTACTCTCTATAAAAAATCCTCGTTGAATCATCGGATAACATCTCAAAACCAACACTCATCAAATAATCATCCCAATATTTGATATCTATTCTCGAATCTCTTTCTCCCCAAAATATTTTGATTTCTTTGACAAAACCCTTGGTTTTCCGAACTTCTTCCAAACATTTTGGCGAATTTTTTGAGAATTTGATTTTTTCCGATGTTTCCAGATAATACAGCACTTCTATTTTCATTTCTATCGGTAAATTCGACCAACCAGTTTTCTCATTTTCTGAATTTATGGCAAGTTTTTGAAAACTTTCCTCCATTTTTGCTGAAAATCTGAAATTCTGATTTTGAGAAGAAGAAGAAAAAAAATAAAATAAAATATAAAGATATTGTGAAATTTGAAAAATATGACAGAGTCAGCTAGTTCTTCGTAAATATTTCGAAAATGATGAATGTCTGTGTGCGCGCGCGGTCGCGATGCGGTCGAAATAAATCATCAATATCGCCAATTTTTGCCTTCAAAAATGTTGTTTTTTTCGACCGCATCGCGACCGCGCGCACACACCGACATTCATTAATTTTTGAAATATTTACGATGTATTTTTAGAAGGCAGACTGGTACCTCGTTTTTCAAAAAGAAATAAAAAATCACAAAAATTTATGCATTCTGATCCCAAACCTTAAGAAAGAACGGAAAAATTAAAAGTGTGTGTCAACACCAACTGGTCCGCAAAACTGCCCGATGCCCCCCGCTCACACATTCTTGATTTGCCCGGGTAGCCCGCACCCGCCTTCTAGTTTACCCGATTTGCCCGTTTGCCCGCATACACTTGCCCCTTTGCTTCTTTTGCCCGTTTTGCCCGCCACACCGTGCATTCACACGTGTAAAAACAAAAAAACAGTGAGAGAGAGTGCAAAAAAACGAGAGATAGAAAAGAAAAAGAGAAGAAAATGCACGGTGTGACGGGCAACGGGCAAATCGGGCAAACAGGCAGACGGGTGCGGGCTACCCGGGCAAATCGATCATAGTCTATCGAGGGTGTTCGAGCCGGGCCGGGGGGCAAATTACCCGACTGGCATGAGCGGCGGGCGGATTTTTTGCAGCTCTAGTTTCCACAATTATTCTTTCACATTCAATCATTTTATTTCTGTTTTCCGATGATATTTTCGAGCGATTTTTCAATGTTTCCAATTCTATTTGGTATATTTTGCCCGGATATTTATGAAATTGGATTTGTAGAAAACAATTTTGAGAATCGCTCATTTTTATATTTCCTCGATAATATACACTTTTGATTTTTGGTCGCAATAATTTGAATAATTTTTGACAACTTTTTGAGCATTTTCCAAATTGAGTTATATCTTCCGGATCCAAATATATGAAAATCATCATTTTCATTTCCATTGGAAGAATATCGTTATGAAACAAATGGAAATGAAACCATTGGGAAGATTGTCATCGTGCTCGAAGGATTGTTTGGAAGAAGTCAGAAATTCAGGATTATCTATCACAAAATTGGAATTCAATTGGATTCCTCATTTTGCACATTTGGCTGTTAATTATAATCAATACAGAATTTCGATGGTTTTCTGTTCGCCAAAAAATGACGAGAAGAAAGAATGCAAAGTTGTCTATGAAATGTACGGTATTGTTTGACGCGGCAAAATTTTATTTTTCAAAAAAAAAAAAACGTTGCCACGCGAATTTTCGGGGTCAGGATTCAAATTTCTAACAAATAGATATTTCCACGTGGATTTTTGTGGGCGCCAAGCTGATTTTCAGCCGTAAAAATTTAACTTTTTCTTCAGAAAATGAGTTTTGACGTGGCAAAAAACTTGACATTTTCTTGTATGTCAATAATTTACAGACCAAACGTCGAAAAGAAAACATGGTTGGAAGCTGGAAATGTTGGCGAAATCGCCATCAAATATTTCGAGAGTTTTCTGAAATATGCGAGCAATATTGAAGAACTCATTTTTGTTACCGTGAGTTTTGTTAGAAAGTTTTTTTTTAGACTCTATAATTTTCTATTCAATTACAGAGCGCTTTTCCATCGAATAAAATAACTCTGAAACATCTCAAAAAATTGAGAAATATTTGGTTTAAATGTCGTGGCAACACAGTTTCCAATTTCGTAAATGAGATTATCGATCTTGAGCAGGTTCCACAGCTAAAAAAAAAGATTTTTTTTGTTACCGTCATACGGTATGCATCGGTGTTTGCAGACAGCGCGTGGAGGCGTGGCCTATGGAGGCGTGGCCTATTCGGTAAGCGTTGCACACGGTTTTGGCAATGTGCGGCGCGCGTGTGTGTTTGTTGCATAATTTTTTTTTTTGGCCGGTACAACAGATTTTGTGTGTTTTCTCATATTTTTCATTGTTTAAACGGTGACTTCGGTTATTTTGAGTGAATATACCACCTTGATCGCAAGTCATACCACTTTTTAACAGTTTAAACTTCTTATTTATCATTTTCAGTGAAATATTTTCAGATAGGAGAATTTTATAAACTTTTTTTTCAAAACTTTTCACAGTTTTGGGATTTTTAACTACTTTTAACTTTATAGATTATGTCATTTCATCTCCAAATCGAGATTCACTGGCGAACTACTTCAATGATTTTTTAACACACTATTTTCGACGATTCTCTACATTTTGTATCAAAGGTAATTTTTTATCAAAAATTGTTCCGTAAACGGAATTATCCGTAGGTAATTTACATCATTCAGGTTCTATCAAGTTAATTGGTTGAAGAAAGGGCTATTACAAGCGCACAAACCGCATCAATTTTGGAAAGTACACCTGATTCGACTGTGATAGGTAATTTTTAATCGAATATTGTTCCGTATAATCATAATCCCGTAGGTCAATGAAGTTTTTTTCAGATTGAATGACAAATGATTCGTTCGTTTAATTATTTTTTGGAATGGGATATGTTGATTGGCTTCCGTGTAATGATGAAGATTTTCGAAAAAAAATATTATGGATAAACATTAGAATTTGAACTAAAAAATGACACAAAAAACGAAAAAGAAAACAAAAATGGACTTCCCCACACTCAAAATAACTCGTTAAAATCTATTTGTTCTGTAAATTCGTGTGTTTTTTGTTTATATTTTTCACATTTTTGCAAACATTAATAAATGTTTCCATGTTTTATTTTTGCGACTTCTAATTTTTAAATATTTTAATTGTTTATTTTTGATCTGAAAACTTCGATAACACCAAAAATTAGATTTTGATATCAAAAATATTTTTTGAAATAATGAAACCTTCAAGAATTCAATCAAAAGTTAATATTAATATAGATTCTCAGAAATTCAATAAATTCTCTACTCATGATAAATTAGGATATTAAATTAAATTTTCAAAAATCTTCACACAAAACTTTTTGTTTAACGTCAAACGTGTTTTATTCTTTCTAAATGTTGTTTTTGAGATCAACATGTCAATTTAGAAAGTCGAAAATAAAACAAATATCTTTTTTCAACCATATTTGCTACTTTTGACTGCGAATTTCGTTATTTTCTCGATTTCTTTTTTCATTTACAATTGAGAATTGCTTTAGTTCTTCATTTTATATTGCATTTCCTCTTTTCCATTGGGTACAAGCGCTTTTTTTTTGAAAAATGAAGCTTTGCAAACAATAAAAAAAAATAATAAAAAACCGTGCGCATGCAACACACACACGCCGCACTTTGGCGAAAATCATTTTGGACACCGCCCACTTTTTTTCTTTTTTTGGAAAAAAGGGGGGAGTACGTAACTAAAGTGTTTAATGTATTTTCTTCTTTTTTTTAGCTGTGGGTTCGTTGAATTCAACCTTATGAAATATCTCCGATATTCCTAAAGAATTTCAGCTCTTCTCAATTCAAAATAATCTGACTTTTGCTCCATTCATCTTTCCATTCGAGCAAGCTTCAAACCTTCGAGCCAAAAAAATCTGGCTTAGTTTTGGTGACCAAGAAATCACATCTGAAAATCTGAATCAATATTTGAAATTGTGGAAAAACGGAAGAATTGATAGAAATGTGGAAAGCGTGGAGTTCGAGAATCTCAAAAATCTCAACTATGACTTGGTTATGAATGGTTTGGATGTTATTGATTTGATAGACCGGTGAGATTTCCGAAGGTTTTTTCTGATTTTTTTTTGAGTTTAATTGCAGATTCGGCTGGAAGATCTTCAATTTGAAGAATGTTAATGGAACAACATTCAATGTGATCATAATGAATGATAGAATCACTATGAAATTGATAATTTCTAATATTGTTTGTTAAAATTTGAAAAATGTTAAACTTGAATAAAATTCAATTTTGTTAATTATTGTAATATATTTTCATTGACGGAGTTTTTCAAGATTCTCCAGAATATTATTTTCAAGAAATTTTCAAATTTATCTCGTATTTTGCAAGATTTTCAGATTTGATTCGAAGAAAAATGAGCGAGGAATTGGTGCCAATGGTTAGTTTGTTTTTTATTCGAATTTCTTGTCAAATTTTAAGATTTTCAGACAATTGGTTGGTTCGACATGCCCCTTGAGATGCGAGAAATGGTCATGGAGCAAATGGAAGTTAAGACAAAAGGAAAATTTTTACGATGCTCGAAGGATTGTGTTGTTGAAGTTAAAAGAATGAAGAATTTTATCCGCGAAATTCGACTTATTTTATATTCAACAGGTGGCAGAATGGAAGTGATTTTTATCGATGGTTCTGAATTGTTTATTATCATTGAAAAATTTAACGATAAGATAATACTAAAATGTGGCAGGTAATGAAGACAAAGCTCTATAAAATTTTTATAGTATCAAATATTTTTAGTTCAAAACTTGAGATTCTCTCAAAAACAATTGCTGCTAAGCGCATCAGAAGTTGGACTGATAATACGATTAATCTCGAAAATTTGCAAGTTAAATTGGTGCGTCTATTTTTCATTTTTTGAAAAATTCTATAATTTTTGAAAGTTCAATTCAGATCGACTTCCCATTTGATGGTTTCGACATTGCTCATCTCAAAAAGTTGAAAAATATCAAGATAATTAGTGAAAAAAGCTTTGATATGTTTTTTAAGACCGGATTTATGGAGAAAGATCAGGTAGACAAGTTTTTGGATTTGAATTTCAAAACAAAATTCGGTTTTTCAGTTTTGGTCGATCGAAAATATCACTATGGAGAATGTCAAATTGACAATTGAGGATTTATGTGATTTGAAATCGTCTTCTATCGATCTGAAAAATACAAATGTGTCAGGAGAAATGTTGAATCAATTTATTAAAACATGGAAACGCGGAAATATTGACAAGAATTTCACCAAAATGAAAATCGGAATGAATGAGAATAACAACAAGACAGAATTGTCGAGTATTATTCTCAAAGATGTTAATGCAATTGGTCAACACGAGAAACATTATTGCATTTGGGCAAGATTGATGAACTCGAACAACGAATGGGCCGAAATTCATATTTCTTCTAACTCATTCATCATGATTTGCAAAACTTCCGCAGAAAAGTTTGATTATAAAGCATTCGACATTTTTGATGAAATGGATATAATGGGCATTTTCACCATAGTTTCCAACTTCGAATTAGAAAGAGATCTCTAAGCTAAAGATTATCAAGTAATGTATAAAGAATTGTATGGTTGTGAATAATTTTTAAACATTTTGACGTGTTAAACTGTTGAATAAAATGCGATGATGTTTGTTATATTTTTTCTAATGATGGAGTTTTTCGAGATTCTCCACATTATTATTTTCAAAGAAATTTCAAATTTATCTTGTATTTTGCAAGAGTTTCAGATTTGATTCGAAGAAAAATGAGCGAGGAATCGGTTCCAATGGTTAGTTATTTTACTGAATTTCTCGACAAAATTCAAGATTTTCAGACAATTGGTTGGTTCGATATGCCATTGGAGATGAGAGAAATGATTATGGAACAAATGGAAGTTAAGACGAAAGGAAAATTGTTGCAATGCTCGAAGGATTGTGATAAAGAAGTCAAAGGAATGAAGAATTTCATTCGCAGAATCCGACTTATTTTGTCTTCATCAAAAGTTTGTATTCAAGTGTCATTTAATTGTGTCAAGAACAATACCGCTCTTCAATGAGCATTTAAAAAAGCTGAACCCAACAGCTAGACACCTATTACATTCCAGTATTTGCAGCAGTTTAAACATATCAGATTAAGTTGAGTCACCACCTAAAAATTCAAAAACAATACTCAAATCTCATAAAAACAACCCAAAACGCGTATTCCCGACTCTCAATCTCCCCTTTTTTTTCTTTCTTTTTTTCCCCATCTCACTACCACTTGCTTGCATGATTCTTCATTTTCATTTTTTTTTGCCCTTTGCATTTTACTCTTTTTTTTTAATCCCAATTATCACCTTCTTGTCGAATACTTGCCTAATCTCAAAGTTTTTACTCTTGATGTTTTTCATTTTCACACGTTTGCCTTTCCGCAGCGTAAATAAAAATTAAAAAATTAAATTTCTTGATGCTTATTGTTACATGGGAATTCAAATCAGAAAGTTCAATGATAAAATTCTGGTGACATATGACAGGTAAAAACAAATTTATGTTACAATTAGGTTAAATATTAAATTTAAGCTCAAACTACAATAATTGTTCTGAAACATTGGTGGGAAATTTCGAGGAAATCGCTTTGAATCGAATCAAAAATTGGATTTATAAAGCTGTCAATCTCGACACTTTGAATGTGAAATTGGTGAGAAGAGCTCTTTTGATAAATAAAAATCAATATGTTTTTGCAGGCCGATTTTCCATTGGTTGATTTTGATATCACTCATCTCAAGAAATTGAAATCTATCAAAATTGAAAGTGCAATGAGTTTCAATAAATTTTTAAATGCAGGATTCTTGGAAACAAATCAGGTAACAATTTTTTTGGCTTTGAAATATTGATAAAACATTTTCCAGTTTTGGTCGATCGAAAATATCACTCTTGAGAATATCAAATTTACAATTGAGGATTTGGGTGGTTTGAAAGCGTCTTCTATCAAATTAAGAGATACAAATGTGTCAGCAAAAATGTTGAATCAATTTTTGAAATCATGGATCAACGGAGAAATTGACAAAAATTTCACCAAAATGAAAGTCGAAATGAATGATTATAAAAACCAAAGAAAATGGTCGAGAGTTGTTCTCAAAGATGTTGATGGAATTAATGAGAGAAAAAACATCGAGAAATATGATATTGTTTGGGCTAGATTAATCAACTCAAACAACGAATGGGCTGAAATTCACCTTACCCGGTATTCATTTGAAATGGTTTGCGAAAGGTCTGTAGAGAAGGACGGATGGTGGGTCTTTCCGCAAGTTGGTAAACATTTATAATTGTAACAAAAGATAGATCATAAACTTGAATAAAATTCAATTTTGTTAATTATTGTTATAATTTTCGTATTTCTATCGCAATATATGGGTCCCATGGAAATATATGGGTCCGTAAAAACATTTAAGGGTCCCTCAGAAATATAAGGGTCCGTGAATTTTTTTATGGGTCGCAAAAAAATATAAGGGTCCGTTATTTTTTTTGAGGGTCCATAAAAAAAGTATTTTTTCTAATTTCAATTATTTATTTTTGGTGATTTTTTGTAATTTTTTCACATTTTTTTTAGCCAGTCAGTATTTTTCTAGGGGGTTTACTAAGCCTAAGCCTAAAATAATAGAGAAATTTTGAATCCTCTGGTAACTCTATTGTTGGCTTTTCAGCTTCATAATTAGGCTTAGGCTTAGTAAACCCCCCGAAAATACAAAGAATCGTCAAAAAATCAAGAAATTTACAACAAAACACTTGAAAATTCAAAAAACCACACATTTTTTGCTCCAAAAATCAGACCTATGAAAAAAATCACGGACCCTTTTATTTTTTTGGGACCCATAAAAAAATTTACGGACCCTTATATTTCTGAGGGACCCTTATATGTTTTTTCGGACCCCTATATTTTTTACGGACCCATATATTGCGATAGAGCCATTTAAAAGATGTTTTAAGATGGAAGCTTCAAGCTCACCAGTATCTGCAAAAGATGAGGAGGAAATTAAACAGGTAATGCTTATTTGTTTGTCTTTACCGCAAAAATCCAATTTTTCGACAATTGGCTGGTTCGACATGCCTTTTGAGATGCGAGAAATGGTCATGGAACATTGTGGAAACCACGATTTTGGCCGAGGTGTGTCCTGATATCTTTTTCAGATCAAATATATTAGCATTCAGGAAATTTCGATGATTTTGGCAATGTTTTGGAGGCTCAGTGATTCGTCGAAGGTAAATTTTTCTATAGAAAAATTGTTTTTTGTTTTCAAAACACATTTTTATTTGTTTTTCAAATTCCAAAATTGGCATGAGAACTTTTTTTTCGGAATTTTTCAATAGAAAAATACAAAATAATCTTGTTTTTAAAATTCATTTCAAAAATTAGCATGGGAACTTCAGAATTTTTCAAAAAACCCTGAAATTCCCAGCTAATTAAAAAATTAGCATATCCCAAAGTAATTTTTGATTTTTCGAATTTTCAAAATTATTTTTAGTAGCTCAAAAATATCCAAAAAATTTTATTCAAAAAAATTGCTTTGTTTTTTTTTATTTTGAAAATTGGCGTGTGAACTTTTTTCAGAACTTCAGAATTAAAAAAAAAAAATTTTTGCTGAAAAAAATTCCAAAAAATCATTTTTTTTTGATTCAAATTTTCAAATAAGCCTAACAACTTTCCCCTTTTTTATGCTCGAGAAAAAAAAACAAAATTGACTTTTTTAATCATAAAAAGATGAATGTTGCTATGGAAATTCACACATTGAATAATCCCTACAATTATATTTAGATCTTTTTTAGAGTGCACACAACATAAATATTATTTTGTTGGTTTTTTCTAGCTTTTTCAGCTTTAAAATAAAAAAAATAGGCAATTTTTCAGATTTATTTATGATCACGAGAGAATATCTTGAAGGAGTTTTGAAGCGATTCAAAGATGAAGATGAGAATTCGAGGATTATGACACGGGGAGCTGATTGTGAGTGATTTTTGGGTGATTTTTGAGAAAAAAAATTTTTTGGGTCTGCAAATTATTTATTGAACATTTTGCGGTTTGCAAATAAAAGTGCAAATAGTTTAGTGGTAAAGCGCTGGATTTTGAATCTCAAGGTCACGAGTTCGATCCCTCTCGCAAGCTTTTCTTTTTTTTTTTTTGGAAAAAACTCTCCAAAAGTGATCTTTGAACATAGTGCCGCTGACGCGGAAGCTTGCGGTCTACACTCGCTTCGCTCGAACAAATTAATAGGCTTGAAAATTGAATTAATTCAATTATTGTTCATGTGCGCTCCATTGAGAATTGTCTAGTTTTGGGCGCGAAATTCGAATTTTTGCTCAGATAAACGATTAGAGACAACGAGAAATTGAGAGAGAGCGTAGACAACAAAAATTTGAAAAATAATTTTGTTCGAGCGGAGCGAGTGTAGACCGCAAGCTTCCGCGTCAGCGGCACTATCTACCGCGCAGCGGCTACGTTACCACAACTTAGCCGCTGCACAGGGTGTAATTTACTACCTCAAATCGGTAGACCTCAAATTTTTCATAAATTTTTGGGTAGATCAAAAATCATTTTTCTCTAAATCTCTCGTTTTTGCGTTGAATTTCGTCGATTTTAGCGTGGGAAATTTTTTTCGGAATTTTTCAATAGAAAAATACAAAATAATCTTGTTTGTGAAATTTATTTCAAAAATTAGCGTGTGAACTGAAATTTCCAATTCAAAAATTGCGAATTCGACTCATTTTTGAGAGCTCAAAAATATTCCAAAAATTTTTGTTCTAAAAAATTGCTTTGTTTTTCAAATTTCTAAGGGAACTTTTTTCGGAACTTCAGAATTTAAAAAAATATATAATTTTTGCTGAATTTCCGGCAGGAATTGAATCAACAGCTTGTGAAAAATTATGACGAGCTAGCTATAATTTTGAAACGTATAATTTTCAGGGAATTTTTTTTCTTTGAAAAATTCAAGTTTTTGAACAAAATTAGCAATAAAATCACATCTTTTTACTCGAAAAAACACTGTCTGCATTTTTGCGTGCATTTGTGTGTGTGGTGACGCAAAAATGCACAATGATGCATTTTATTTTCTTTTTTTTCTTGAAAGAAACTTCACTCGCCACTTTTCAAATTGATAGTTTGTTATTTTTTTCTAGAAAAATGGAAATTATCAAATTTAGATGTTAAAATTTCGAAAATTTGCAGTGCCAGTAAATCCACACATCGACGAACCCGAAGTCTATCTCTCCCGCCGAATCTTCGTCATAACCGCAAAAGATCAACGAATTCGCGACAAAGATCGAACACTGGTTTATCACGAGGACACATTGATTGAACATTGGGCACTTGAGGTGGAATTGATTCAGCGAGAAGTTTATGTGGAGCGAACTGATGGTGATGTCTATCGGGTTAATGAATTTGGACTGATGGCGCCGGAATGTAGAGAGAGGAGAAATGAAGTTGTGCTACATCCGCAGGGGAAGTCTCTTGTACCGGGTGGGTTTTTTTTTTTTTTTGAAAAAAAAACGGGAAAACTTTTTCCCAAGCTCCCCAAGCTCCTTTTTTCAGAATTTTGCTGAAAATCCAGTTACAAAATTTATTTTTCCAGCTCCCAACAAAGAATATCTATCGCCATTCATCCCGATTCGAAATGCCCGCCAATTTTCGACACCAATTAATTATGTGAGCACCCCCCAACAAAAATATCACAAAAATTCCAACAATTTTCCAGGTTATCACCTATTATCGCGAGTGTTACAGTGTGCATCAGAAAAATGTGAGATTTTCAGATTTTTTTGTCGAAAAAATCGTTTCCAGCACGAAAAATAACCCTAGAACCAAGAAATCCTCCACGTGAAGAAAAAAAATTAAAAAAAAAACAACGACACTCCGCAATGACGTGTTGTGTAGTTCTCGCGGACAAGTTTCGAAAATTTTTCAAAAATCGTCGTTTTTTGTTTTTTCTATGGTTCTAGGGTTCTTTTTCGTGATTTAGATGTCAGAAATGGTTAGAATTTATGAAAATTAGCTGGGGATGGGGTTTTTCATGATTTTGAAGCGTTTTTTCAATCAAAAATGCCATGCTGCTCGAAAAATCGATAATTTTTCAGTTCATGAACTGGGTGCACAATCAAAAAATCCCACGTCACTTTGTCAGTATGTCACCCCTAAATTGCCCGAAAATCGAAGAAATTGATGATGGAGAACCATCGACAATTATTGTTGAAGAATATCAACAAGACGAAGAACAATTGGCACTTTTTAATGGTAAGTTAGGCTAACTTAGTTAGCATTTTCATATGTTTTTCTTCCAGTTCCCTTCGTCAATCGCTGAATCTGCAATTTTTCAATTCAAAAATCTCCTCAAGTATATATATTTTGAAATCCAGGCATAAATTTTGTGATATTTTTATTATTTTGCTCATTTTCTTTGAGGTACCATAGATTTACCTTGTAAAAATATATCCGAATTTTTCTTCTTCTTCTTTTTCAGTCAGAATTTCAGATTTTCAGCAAAAATGGAGGAAAGTTTTCAAAAACTTGCCATAAATTCAGAAAAGGAGAAAACTGGTTGGTCAAATTTACCAATCGAAATGAAAATAGAAGTGCTGGATTATCTGGAAACATCGGAAAAAATCAAATTCTCAAAATATTCGCCAAAATGCCTGGAAGAAGTTCGGAAAACCAAGGGTTTTGTCAAAGAAATCAAATTATTTTGGGGAGAAAGAGATTCGAGAATAGATATCAAATATTGGGATGATTCTTTGATGAGTATTGGTTTTGAGATGTTATCCGATGATTCGACGAGGATTTTTTATAGAGAGTGAGGATGATTTTGTTATGAATCGAGAAATTTGGATGATTTTCAGCTGAAAATCATGGAAAATGATGAATTTTGAGCCAAAAATCGAGAAATTTGGATGATTTTGAGCTAAAAATGATAAATTTTGAGTTTTCAAACGATTTTTTTCAATTTTGGAGCATTTTTGTGCTCCGCGAGCTCTGAAAATCCTTGTGAGGTTTCAAAAATCTTCAAAATTTTTAAAAAATCCAAAAATTTCACTGAGAAGTGTTGAAGATTCCTGGAATTTCAGATTTGGAGCATTATTTTGCTCCGCAAGCGTTTTAGCCTACATTAGGTGGAAAATGAGCTTTTCGAATCGAAACCTCTCGAAAAAACACGATTTTTGGGTCCTACACTCGGGGAAACGCTGGCGTAGAACGCCGCGTGTATGCGGCGTACACGCCTATTTTTAAAAGGCTCGCACGCTGTGTTCACGCCGATTAAACGCCGACTCACGCGGCAGACACGCCGAATTGCGGCGTTTGCGCCGATTCAAGCGCGGCGTTCGCGCCTTCTCATTTCTCTTTTCCCAGCTGCCCCGGCTTTTCGAAACATTCTACTAATCATTTGACAATTTATTAACAAAATAAGCAGAACAATAAACAATTGAAAATGTTGTGGTCTGTTTTGAAGTCTTGATTTCGATTGAGCGGAAGAAGCCATGAAGTGGCGAAGTGAAGTGATGTACCATAGAGATAGTTGATTCCTGAAAATTGATAATGAAAAAATGGGTTTGCATGAATTGTCAATTTTGTGATTTTCACAAGGTGGCAGCAATATACTAGGACATTTTCAAAAAATTTCCTTACAGATAGTTTAAGTATAGTCGTGGTTTCAACTAACGATATCTACTGATAAAAAGAGGAAGTCTTTGACAAAAAAATCAATTTTGGCAGGCAACTAATTGAGAATTTTTCAAATATGTTCAATTTCCAAGTTCGAGAATTCTAGTTATGTCACAGCCCACTTTCCTGCACAAAAGAACAGCCTCATCCTCAAAATTTAGTCTCCCAATGGACCTCCGAGCCAAGTTCTGGACTCTCAAAATTTCAAAAATTGTTAAATTGGCTCATAAAAGTCATCATAACTAAAATTTCTTTAATTTTTGTGAAAAAACTGAGTAGCAGATGATGATCAGCGTGGTCGATTTACCCAAAATGAATGAATAAACTGAGGTTTCAGAAAACTTTTTGATTTTTGGAAAAAGTATGAGTAGAGTTTGAAGTTTCAGCCGAAAAGGAAAAAAAATTCAGAGTTTCTCGAAAAAATGATTTTTATTGATGAAATTTTAATAAAACGAATATGCTGATCAATATTTGAAACTTTTTTCTGGCAAAAAATGTTTTGAAATGGATGTAAGGCCTTTTTTGAGTTCTTGAGAGCTCAGAATTTGGCTCCAAGGTCGATTGGGAGAAAAATAAAAGCCGAACCGGTTTTCCCATCCAAAAAGCTTGCTATTCTCAAAATTTCATAATCTTTTTAAGTGTTGAGTAAAAAAGGTTTCCTTGTTACGTAAGATGTTGTTAAGAATGGTAGATTGGGTAAAATCATCAATTTTTGTGAAAAATTTCCGAAAATGTTCAATTTTGTAATCCAATATCTAGCGCCAAAGAAAGTTTGTCTGCCATTGTTAAATGACTTTATCAAATCGACCCTCCTCGACAGCGTAATGTTATTAGATTTTCAACAAATCGACTTCAAAATTCCCCAAGCCTTTCAAAAAACTCACTTGATTGTTCCGACAAGCAGTCGCAGTTTTTCGTAGAAATCACATTGCTTCAAACATATCCCAAGCCATTGATTCGCCTGAAAATGGACATGTATAAATTTTTAATCGAAAATTACGAAAAACTCACATAATACATTGCATTTCTCGAAAATAATCGAATGTGGCTACAGTAACGTCACCATTGTATCACTGTTGCCAGTTTGCAACCATATACACTTGCTGTAATTGAAATTATAGATAAATTTAGGCCAAGAAAAAAAAGAAAATGAAAATAAAAATGAAAATAAACTGCGGGCAGGCGGAGTGTCGTTTGTGAAAACTTGGAAAATCAAGGCGTATACGCAGCGTGTGCGCGGCGTAAGCGCCATTGTGATCTCTGACCGCCGCATACACGCCGAACGTCTCTAAACGCGGCGTTCTACGCCGACGATTTCCCGAGCAAATTTTCCCAATCAAAATTCCATTTTTTTTTCAAATCTGGGATTCAATATCTGCGAATTTTGAGCTGAAAATCAAGAAATTTCGATGATTTGCATCTGAAAATCAAGAAAAATGATGAATTTTGAGCTGAAATGCATCATTTTTGGAAAATTTTTCAAATATTTTTTTGCAGCGCCACAAATATTTATCTCGAAAAACCGTTGGTTGAAAAAAGAATGACAGATGTTGCTCTGAGATGTTTCAGAAGTTTCATGTCGCGATCGGAAAATATCGAAGATTTTGAGCTCGACATGATTGATTCATTTCCAATCGACAGATTTTGTATCAATAATTGGAAAATGCTGAAGAGTTTCAAGATTAGAAGTGAATCGGATTTTAGTTTGGATAGATTATTCGAAATTGGATTTATCAGTCAGGAAAAGGTGATTTTTTTTTTGCGAAAAAAAATTTTTGAAAAATCTCAAAATTACCCATATTTTTTTCAGCTTTTATCAATTGAAAAACTCAATTTTGATAATATTCTGATTCGTGAAGAACAATTATTACAAATCAAATCGAAAGAAATGCGTTTGACAAATATGGATCCAGAATTATTAAGAAAGTTTATGAATGCGTGGAAAGAAATTCGAAGAATCAGAAAATACACAGAAATTGATAGAAATTTCGAGAAATTGGAATTTGTTATAAAAGAAGATGAAGAAATCAGGGAACATGTTTGGAATATTGTTTTTAATGAAGCTCAAATTATTGGAAATCACAAAAGATTTTCGAATATTTGTGCTATTATTGAAATTGATCAATATAATATTGCGAATATTCGAATCGCTGATAATTTGTTGACAATTCAAAAGGCACCATCCTATAGAACTGCTCACAGGGGTAGTACGAACACTACATAATTTTTCAATAGAGCGCACATCGACTTTTTTTCTGTTGCAAATAAACGTTTTTTCAAGTTTCGAAGAGATTGATGGTTGTTTCTCACATTTTCTTGAGGAGTATGCGAATTAGAAAATCACATTAGAATTTTTTTGAGACCTCAATGATGAAGATCGGTGCACATAAAATTGTGCAAACACTTTGACGACAATTGTGTGCTACAGTACCCCTCTCAACATTCTTAGCTATCTCTAAGTTCATTTTTGACAATGATATTTCAGTTTTATATTGCATATTCCGGTCAAAAACTCAAAACACGTTGAAAAAAATTGAAAAGTCAGTTTTCTTCCGAAAATATTGAATCTTAGTGTTCATACTTCTTCAAATTATTTTTTCATACCCAGAAAACAATTTTTTCCATGCAAATTGTGATTTTCCGAAAAAAACGGAAAAATTTTGCGAAAAAATAAAAAGAAAACAACGAGACTCCGCATTGACGCTAGCCCGCGTTGTTTGAATTTGGGTTTTTTCAATGGGTTTCCATATTTCGGCTAATACTTAATGAAACGTTCTGAATTTTTTCTCCGAACTAGAAAACAGTAAAACTAAGCTAAATCTAAGATTTGAGAACATTTGGGCTTTTTTCAAGAAAGTTTAAAACAAAGCTTCAGCAAGGTATTTGAAAATTCCGAATTTTCTTGATATAATTTTGAAACGTATAATTTTCAGGGAATTTTTTTTGGCTATAATTTTTTTTTCTTTGAAAAATTCAAGTTTTTGGGTGGTTTACTAAGCCTAAGCCTAATGAAAATGTTGAAAATCAAAAAATGCACATTTTCAGACTGATTTCCAAAAATCTGTCACTAAATATTGCAGTGTCCAAAGTAAAAAATATAACAAAAAATGCGAAAATATATCGTCCAAAGTCTAACTGTCTGCGTCTCTCGAATATACACACTATTTCTCTGGTATATATTCCGAATATAAGGCGAGCTTTGTACGATATATTCTCGCATTTTTTGCTATATTTTTTACTTTGGACACTGCAGAAGTTCCGAAAAAAAAACTTTTTTGAGCTCTCAAAAAATGAGTCGAATTCTCAATTTTTAAATTGGAAATTTCAGTTCACATGCTAATTTTTGAAATGTATTTCAAAAACAAGATTATTTTGTATTTTTCTATTGAAAAATTCCGAAAAACGTTCCCATGCCAATTTTGAAATTTGAAAAACAACGCAGAATTTTATTCAAGCTTAACATTTAACACAATTTTTCATTAGTCATAAATTTCTTCATAATCATTGATGTCCTCCCAATCATAGAAATCCTCCTCCTTCATACCGAGTTCATCCGCGTAATCGAATCCTTTATATTGAAATTTGTCGGCAGAAGTTTTGCAAATCATGATGAATGAGTTCGAAGAAATATGAATTTCGGCCCATTCGTTGTTCGAGTTCATCAATCTAACCCAAATGCAATCATATTTTATGTGCTGACCAATTGCATTAACTTCTTTGAGAATAATACTCGACAATTCTGTCTTGTTTTTATTTTCCTTCAATTCGATTTTCATTTTGGTGAAATTTTTGTCAATTTCTCCGCTGATCCATGATTTCAAAAATTGATTCAACATGTCTGCTGACACATTTGTATTTTTCAATTTGATAGAAGACGCTTTAAAACCACATAAATCTTCTGTTGTCAATATGACATTTACAAGAGTGACATTTCCGATGGAGAAAAACTGAAAATTGTTTTTGTTTCATCATAAAGTCTGACGAGGGAAGTGAGTGACCAGTCCCCGGAGATTTTCAATGAGACCTATGTCCTTTTGGTCAGTTTTTCACGCTGATAAAGCTCCTGTTTTCAGTTTTTGCTGAACGACTCTCTGAAGAGCCCAAAAATGAGCCGAAAGTTGAGAATTTCCTGAAAATCGAGTTTTTGAGTGTCCATAACTCATGTTAGAAATTAGTTTTATGGAAAACTGAATGGATCACGTTGTTCAGGAGGGTCGATTCACCAAAGTCACAAATTTTTGATTAGTAAGTCCATACTTTTTCAGAAAAAAATTTTGTGGCTCAGAAAAAGAAAATTTTTGGAAAATTTTGTCAAAATTTGTGACTTTGGTGAATCGACCCTCCTGAACAACGTGATCCATTCAGTTTTCCATAAAACTAATTTCTAACATGAGTTATGGACACTCAAAAACTCGATTTTCAGGAAATTCTCAACTTTCGGCTCATTTTTGGGCTCTTCAGAGAGTCGTTCAGCAAAAACTGAAAACAGGATCTTTATCAGCGTGAAAAACTGACCAAAAAAACATAGGTCTCATTGAAAATCTCCGGGGACTGGTCACACACTTCCCTCGTTTCCTGAAAAAAAAATGTTACCTGATCTTTTCCAATGAATCTCATCTTGAGAAAAGCATCGAGACTTTTTCGACTATTTATTGTGATAGATTTCAATTTCTTGAAATGCGTGATATCAAAATCAACCAATGGAAAATCGGCCTGCAAAAATATATTGATTTTTATTGATCAAAAGAGCTCTTCTCACCAATTTCACATCAAAAGTTTTTATATTGACAGGATTTAAAATCCAATTTTTGATGCGATTCAAAGCAATTTCCTCGAAATTTCCCACCAATGTTTCAGAGGAACGAGTGTAGTTTGAGCTTAAATTTCATGTTTAACCTAATTGTAAGATAAATTTGTTAATTTTACCTGTCATATCTCATCAGAACTTTATCATTGAACTTCTCGATTTGAATTCCCATGTAAGCACCAAAAAATGACACTTGAATGCAAACTTTTGATGAGGACAAAATAAGTCGGATTCTGCGAATGAATTTCTTCATTCCCTTAACTTCTTCGGCACATTCCTTAGAGCATTGCAACATTTTTCCTTTCGTCTTAACTTCCATGTGTTCCATGACCATTTCACGCATCTCCAAAGGCATATCGAACCAACCAATTGTCTGAAAATCTTAAATTTTGTCGAGAAAATCAGTAAAATAACTAACCATTGGCACCAATTCCTCGCTCATTTTTCTTCGAATCAAATCTGAAAATCTTGCAAAATAAATACAAGATAAATTTGAAATTTCTTTGAAAATAATATTCTGGAGATTCTCAGAAAACTCCATTATTTGAAAAAAAATATAACAAAAATCAACAATATTGAATTTTATTCAAGTTTAACATTTACACAAACTTTAACAAATTGATATTATTGTGTTAATAATAGATTCCTTCATAACCGTCATCTTCGGAATATGATCCAGGATACAAATCATTGATATCATACACATCATCGAGTTCCTCCATACGAAGTTCATCTTCCCAGTCAAATCCTTTATATTGAAATTTGTCGGCAGAAGTCTTACAGATCATGATAACAGTTAGTCGACCATCTGATGAGTCATGGGACATATGAATTTCGGCCCATTCGTTGTTTTCATTCATGAATCTTGCCCAAATGCAATCATGTTTCTTGTGTTGACCAATCGCATCAACATCTTTGAGAATAATACTCGAAATCTCTCGAAATCTTCTTCTATCTTTCATCTCGATCTTCATTTTTGTGAAATTCTTGTCAATATTTCCGTGTTTCCATGATTGAAGAAAATGATTCAAGTTCTTCGCTGACACATTTGTATTGTTTAATTGAACAGAAGACGCTTTCAAACCACAAAACTCCTTATTTGTCAATTTAACATTTACAAGAGTAAGGTTCTCGATGGAATAAAACTGAAAAAATGTTTATCATTATTTAAAAGTTGTGTAAAGTGTCACCTGGTCTTTTCCAATGAATCTCATCTTGAGAAAAGCATCGAGACTTTTTCGACTATTTATTGTGATAGATTTCAATTTCTTGAAATGCGTGATGTCAAAATCAATACATGGAAAATCGGCCTACAAAAATATAATGATTTTTATTGATCAAAAGAGCTATTCTCACCAATTTTACATCAAAAGTTTCAAGATCGACAGGATGATAAATCCAATTTTTGATGTGATTCAAAGCAATTTTGTTGAAACTGCCCACCAATATTTCGGAAAAATACTTGTTCATGTAGTTTGAGCTGGAAAATGACATTGCCTTATGATTAATTGATTATTCTACCTGTTATAACTTATTAGAACTTTATCATTGAACTTCTCGATTTGAATTCCCATGTAAGCACCAAAAAATGACACTTGAATGCAAACTTTTGATGAGGACAAAATAAGTCGGATTCTGCGAATGAAATTTTTCATTCCCTTAACTTCGTCAGAACATTCCTTCGAGCATTGCAACAATTTTCCTTTTGTCTTAACTTCCATTTGCTCCATGACCATCTCACGCATCTCCAATGGCATATCGAACCAACCAATTGTCTGAAAATTTCAAAATTTATCGAGAAAATCAGTAAAATAACTAACCATTGGCACCAATTCCTCGCTCATTTTTCCTCGATCTGACAAATTCTCATAAATTTCAAACTTTTTGGAAACAGATATTTTCAATGGTCTCATAAAACCAATAAAGTTAAAAAAAAATGATTAATAACAAAAGTGAATTTCATTCAAAGTAATTTAACAGTTTAAAATGTATTAGTCCAAATTGAGCTTCACCAGACACACCAATAATTGTCAAAAATATCCTCTTTATCAAATCCATTATAATCAAATGTATCCTTCGATGTTCCAAAATCCAAAAAAAAGAAATAATTGTCGATGTGAAATTCAGCATTCTCTTCATCAAAATTCACCAATTTTCCCCAAATTCTCGAATATTCTTCATGCATTCCAATAACATCAACATTTTGCAAAATAATATCACGAATTCGACTATCTGCCAAGCAATTTCTCATTGAGATTCTCATTTTTCGAAGATTTTTTGAAATATTGCCATTTTCCCAGTTTCTCAGAAACAAATTTAAATCACTTGGTGGGATAAATGCGTTTGAAATTGTTAAGATTGAAGATTTGATGTTGCATAAATGTTCGAATTCTAACTCAAAACCGTTTAAATGAACCTCGTTGATCGAGAAAAACTGAAAGATAACTATGATTTCCCATTGAATTTTTGAAAATAAAAAATACCTGTTTTGGATCAATAAACCCGTTTTCAAATAAATTTCCAATTTCTTCTTTTTCATCTTCAATAATAATTCTTCTCAATTTTCTCAAACTTTGAATATTCATTTTATCAAACGGAAATCTGTATCCGCGAATTTCAAAATATTCCAAATGAATCGCAACATCAACAAACTTTTGTAAATATTCCACGAAAACATCGGCGAATTCTCCATTAATTTGACTTGCTCTTCGAATACGTCCGGCTGTGGTGTAGGTGATGAGAATACAGTGGAAATAGTCGCCGAAATCCAGATAAATTGATCGCGCATTTACGAAGAGCACTTTGATTTTCGCCGAATTTCGATAGTAGAAGACAGAAATGCTTTTGATGAACTTTTTGAATGTTCGAACTTCTTCCAGACAATCCTTCGAACATGATGATAATCTACCTTTTGACACTGTATCCATTTCATCCATAACCATTTGTCGCATCTCGAATGGAAGATCGAACCATCCGATCGTCTGAAATTTCATTTAAAAATTCATGTTTGCTTTAGAGCGCACTTGCGCGCATTCTTGGTTTTCTAGTCCCCCCGCACTCACCATTGGCACCAATTCCTCGCTCATTTTTCCAAGCTGAAAAATCATCAGAGCTAAAATTTGAATAATTCAATGAAGATATTTATGGCCTGAAAACCATTTTTCATTAATTCAAATACAAAAATCTTAAACAAACATATTTTTCAAACAAAAAAAAACAAAATTTCAATTAATCGTCTTCTTCAAGAAAATCGTCCAGCGTCCTCGTCATCCAATATTGTCAAACACACCGAATTGCCAGACACCGAAACTTCCGCAGTTTCTCCAGCCAAATTTCGAAGTTTCAACCAGATCTTTCCATCGTAGCTAAATATACTTATTCATTTAAAGAATTAAAATTCTTCAAACCCAAAACTCACTTCTCATGCTTGCCAATAGTTTCCAAATCTCTGAAAACCTCTGCTCGATTGATTTTTTCTGTTGTTTGCATGAAAACTGTTAAAATATTCTCCCCAAGTTCTCCATTTTTCCACAATTTCAAATATTGTTCGAAATTCTCAGTTGATAAACGAAGATTTTTCAAGCAAATAAAACCCGCTTTCAATTCACAAACTTGCGCGAAATTCAAAATTTGACAATTCTCAATTCGAATACTATTTTCAATTGTGGAAACTTGCGCGAATTTCAAGAAACCAGCTTTGAACGGATCAATAAAATCCTCTTCAGTATTGTCAGCTTTCTCGATTCTCAGATTTTTTAGCTTCTTCAGATGATGAATGTTAAGTTTATCGAATGGGAAGTTATCCTAAATTATATATATTATTATTATTATTCTTGAAAAATAAATTACAAATAATTTGCTCACCACTTCCAATTCAAGATTTTCGAGATGAATTGCATCTTCAATAAACTTTTGAAAATATTCAAGACCAATACTATGAACATCTCCATCAACCATGAAAGTTTTGTGATATTTCGGTCCAAAAATCGAATATCCTGTCACCTGCTCAATGATTTGAGAAAACTTGAATACAACATGAAACTCGTCGCCAATCGAAACTTCCATCTCAACAATCGATTCGGTCCAGAACAATAAGATCTTCTTGAGGAAATTCTTCGATCTTCTAACCTTCTTCAAACAATCTTTGGAGCACATTGAGAACAGACGTTTTGTATCAGTTGTCATCTTCTCCAACACCATTTCTCTCATTTCCAGCGGAATACTATACCAGCCAAAATCATCTTCGGCTTGGACTTCAGCTTCAGCTTCGGGATTCGAATTCAAATCCATTTTGGCCAATTGTTCCTCCATTTTTTGAAAAGGATCTGTAAAAAAAATCGAATTTTGGGCATAGCTTCCGCATCCACATGGTATTCCAGATAAAACCATGAGCATATGATGGGAAAATCCGCAAAAAACACAAAAAAAACATAAAAAACGCTTGGCCAGAAAAAAAAACGAAAAATAAAAATAAGTGCGCGTCAGATTAAATGCCACTACACACATCTCGAACTACAGTACCCCAACATTTTGCAAAAATTCATAAAATTATGGAAGCAACGCTTTAAAGTTGAAAAAAAGAGATGAGAACAGTAGAAAATGAATTATTTAGTGAATATTTATGGCTTCAAAACCATTTTTCTTTAATTCAAATACAAAAACCGTCTAACAATGAAACAAAAACATTTTTCAAACAAAAAAGAACAAAAATTTCAATTAATCGTCTTCTTCAAGAAACTCGTACAACAAAATTTTCCAAATGGAGTCCGTCTTTAGAATCTTCCAGATTTTCATACTCAAAATCGTCCTCGTCATCCGATGTTCTTAAATTAATTGACATCGAATTGCGAGACACCGAAACTTCAGCAGTTTCTCCAGCCGAATTTCGAAGTTTCAACCAGATCTTTCCATCGTTGCTAAATATAAATATATTCATTTAAAGAATTAAAATTCTTCAAACCCAAAACTCACCTCTCATGCTTGCCAATAGTTTCAAAATCTCTCAAAACCTCTTCTCGATTGATTTCCTCGATTGTTTTCATGAATACTTTTTGAATATTCTCCCCAACTTCTCCATTTTCCCACAATTTCAAATATTGTTCGATATTCTCAGTTGATAAACGAAGATTTTTCAAGCAAATAAATCCCGCTTTCAATTCACAAACTTGCGCCAAATTCAAACTTTGACAATTCTCCAATCGAATACTATTTTCAATTGTTGAAACTTGCGCGAAATTCAAGAAACCAGCTTTGAACGGATCAATAAAATCCTCTTCAGTATTGTCAGCTTTCTTGATTCTCAAGTTTTTGAGTTTCTTCAGATGGTGAATATTGATTTTATCGAATGGGAAGTTATCCTAAATTAGATATATTATTATTATTATTGAAAATTAATCCTGAAATAATTTGCTCACCACTTTCAATTCAAGATTTTCAAGATGAATCGCATCTTCAATAAACTTTTGAAAATATTCAAGACCACCACTATGAATATCTCCAACAACTTTGAAAGTTTCGCTATAATTCGGCCCAATGCTCCAACAGTTTGTCTCTTGCTCCATATTTTGAAAAAACATGAATTTAACATAAAAATCATCGCCAATCAAAACTTCCATTCTAACATTACATTTTGTCCAAATCAATGAGATTTTTCTCAAAAACTTCTTCGATCTTCTAACCTTCTTCAAACAATCTTTGGAGCACATCGAGAATCGTCGTTTTGTTTCAGTTGTCATCTTTTCCAAGACGATTTCTCTCATTTCCAGCGGAATACTATACCAACCATTTTCCTCGTCTTCTTCCGATTCCAAATTCAAATTCAGGTTTTCGAGTTGTTCCTTCATTTCTGAAAGCATTTTTCATTTGTTTTTTAGGTTCACGGGATTTCAGGATTTTCGAACCTGCTCAACAAAAAAAAAACATAAAAAACGCTTGACCAGAAAAAAAAAACGAAAAATAAAAATAAGTGCGCGTCAGATTAAATGCCACTACACACATCTCGAACTACAGTACCCCAACATTTTTATACAATAATGAGGAAATTTTTAGTTGGTCTTCAACGAAATTCAATGATGAAATCAAAAAAGAACACAAAGTAAGCAAAATGATTATAAAACTTTTAGTATTTACATCTATAATTTTGCAGATGATTTCCTTCGAAATGTTCGTAGTTGCAACTACGCCAGAATTATCGGCGAAAAAAAATCCGAATTTTCTTGATATAATTTTGAAACGTATAATTTTCAGGGAATTTTTTTTTCTTTGAAAAATTCAAGTTTTTGGGTGGTTTACTAAGCCTAAGCCTAATGAAAATGTTGAAATTTCAAAAATGCACATTTTCAGACTAATTTCCAAAAATCTGGCACTAAAATTGAAAAATTTGTAATTTCAAAAAATTGTTCAAAAAATCCCGAAATGTCACCTTTCTAGGGGGTTTACTAAGCCTAAGCCTAAATATCTGTAAATGTTTCTGATTCTCAAAATGTTTCCAAATTTTCCAGCTCTTCTCGAATTTTCCCAAATCTAAGCTCCGCCTTTTTTTCGCACCTTCACTTTGGCGGCGCCTTTGAAGTTCAAATAATTCGCGCGAAACGTGCTGCCGAAATTCACATTTTTCCGGTTTTCCGCGTTCTTTCCGCGCGGAAACCTGATTTTTGAGAAAAAAAAGTGTATTTTTTCAGATTTGCTGATTCGCCAACACAAAGTTTTTTTAAAAGTTTTTAATGGGGTGATTCAGGTCGAAAAAAAAACTAAAAAAAAAACATTTTTTTACAAAAAAATTCGATTCAGCAAATGTCAAAAATAGGGCTGCACGTGGGGCACCCCGCGATGAAACACCGTGCAAAAAATCGCTTGCCCCCTCGCCCCTTCGCCCCCTCGCCTCTTTGCCCCCTCGCCCCGTTGCCCCCTCGCCCCGTCGCCCCTTCGCCCCGTCGCCCCCTCGCCCCCGCTTGTAACTGTGTGTGGTGAAGAAATGAAAGAAGATAGAAGCGCGCACACAGTTACAAACGGGGGCGAGGGGGCGACGGGGCGAAGGGGCGACGGGGCGAGGGGGCAATGGGGCGAGGGGGCAAAGAGGCGAGGGGGCAAAGGGGCGAGGGGGCAAAAGCGTGGCGGGGCGAGGGGGCCGCCCCCACGCCCCATCGTGCAGCCCTAGTCAAAAAACTATATTTTTTTTCTATTTCTCGACATTTTTTGACATTTTTTTTCATTGAAACATTTTCGCTGCGAGATATCTCTCATTTTTGTGTGGAAAAAAATATAGTTTTTTGACATTTGCTGAATCGAATTTTTTTGTAAAAAAATGGGTATAAACGCAGAACAGCCCCCCACCTGATTATGTCCCCCCAAGGCTCGGCAAAGCCCCCCACTTTTGTAAAATTGCCCCCCATTATAATGGTATAAGGCAGTGGGGGTGTATTCTGAAATTATCAAAATTTGAGAAGTGGGTAAATTTTTTTATCACAAAAAAACCCCCACAGTGAAAATGGGGGGTTGTTTTTGGACACCGGACAAAACGCAGAACAGACCCCCAAAGGTCTTAGTTGAGCCCCCCATTCGGCATTTTTCAAAATCAGCCCCCATGTTCAAAAAGTGGGGGGCTCATTTAAGGCTGAGATCAGCCCCCCAAAATAGGTGGGGGACTCATCTAAGGCTGAGATCAGCCCCCCAAAATAAGTGGGGGACTCATCTAAGGCTGAGATAAACCCCCCATCACAAAAATTGGGAGGGGGTTCATCTGAGGCTCATTTTAGTCTCAAAATGCCTGGTGGAAAAGCTCCTTTGAGATATTTTTCATGCTTTTATCCGGCTGCCCAAAAACAGTCTCCCATTTTTCAGAAGAGTATTCTTTTGGATAAAAATGACCACTAACATCCAAAATTTTGATAAATAATAGAATACCACCTCGTTACCCTATACCATAATAATAAGTGACAATTTTGCCAAAAGGGTGAACTTTGCCAAGTCTGGGGTGAGCCCTCCTACGAAATCCCAAACTACGGTAGAACCCAAGGAACTCACAAATAATTGCTGCCATTTGTTGTTGTTATATAAGGGAAGAATAAACTGATTCTGAGATTGTGAGAGATAAATAGGACATTGAAAATTAGGACACGTTTTGCGTGGAATTTTAAATAATTTTAGAATTTTTCTTTAAGAGCGCAATTTTCTTATTTAAAAATGTCACGTCCGAATATTTAAAATGTGTTTCTACTCTTCCAACATCACAGGAAAACAAGAAGGGAAGGGGGGTTCAAATGAAAATGTGGGGGAACGAAATGAATTTGCCAAGTGGGGGGCTGTAATGCATTGGGTGGGGGGCTATTCTAAGTTTATACCAAAAAATGTTTTTTTTTAGTTTTTTTTTCGACCTGAATCACCCCATAATGAAATTTTTGAATTTTTGTAATAAAATTTTAAAAAATGAAATTTCGAGAAATTTCGCATTTTGCACATCTCATAGGCGACGAAATCGAAAACTGGAAACAGGGGTTTGCTTTCTCTCATTTCCAGCGGAAAACGAAAAATAAAAATAAGTGCGCGTCAGATTAAATGCCACTACACACATCTCGAACTACAGTACCCCAACATTTTGCAAAAATTAATAAAATTATGGAAGCAACGCTTTAAAGTTGAAGAAAAGAGATGAGAACAGTAGAAAATGAATTATTTAGTGAATCTAATCAAATTTATAGAGTTTTAGAACGAGTTTTCATGTTTCATAACATTTTATATTGGTCCTCCGCTCTACAAATGTTAGTATTTACATCTATAATTTTGCAGATGATTTCCTTCGAAATGTTCGTAGTTGCAACAACACCAGAATTGGCAGCAATTGTACAAGAACTATTGATGAAACATAAACGACTCCTCAATATATTCTTTTTTTCTTGATATAATTTTGAAACGTATAATTTTTCAGGGAATTTTTTTTGGCTATAATTTTTTTTCTTTGAAAAATTCAAACAAAACTAGCAATAAAATCACAGCTTTTTACTCGAAAAAACACTGAAAAAGGCAAGAAAAATCATCCTTTCTGCATTTTTGCGTGCATTTGTGTGTGGTGACGCGAAAATGCACAAGGATGATTTTTATTTTCTTTTTTTTCCTTTTCGCTTGCTTTTTTGGTGTTTTTTTCGGGTAAAAAGCTGTCACATTACAATTTTTGTTGTCAATTTCGTTCAGAACGATTAAATTGATGAGGCATTCATGTATTTTTGAGAAAAAAACACTGTTTTTGTTCTATTTTTCGTTGAAAAAGTTCACTCGCCACTTTTCAAATTGATAGTTTGTTATTTTTTTTCTAGTGGGATTTATTCAATGAATTTCTTGAGTAAGTAAAACAATCCAATATTTGTTCCCCAAATTAGTTTGACTTTTTTCAGAGGTTCAAAACAAAGCTTCAGAAATCTTAGTTGTGAAATAATTGTTGATGCTTTTGAACCATACATGTTTTTCTCACCGGATGACCCTTCGGGTTAAGGACCCCTTTTTGTAAAAAATTAAAAAGTTAAAGACCCTCCACCGGAAAAAATAAGGAACCGAAATACTGCAAAAAATGGAATTCAAAGTTATGCAACACACACGCTCATCTTTTTTCTTTTTTTTCTGCAGAAAACCTTCGATGCAAAACCTAAATTCGAAAATTATTAAACGTATAGCTTACCAAATGAAATGAAATTTTTGACAGACATTCTTCGAGATATTTAACATGGATAGAAGACCCTCCAGCTCATTTCTGAGGTCATTAGTAAGTTTAGGAGACATGAACGGAAAAAACCAGTGTGACACTGGTTGTTTCCGTTCATGTCTCCTAAATCTTCAAATGGTCTTCAATGTTAGCTGGAGGGTTTTCTATGCATGTCAAATATCTCGAAGAATGTCTGTCAAAAATTTCATTTCATTTGGTTGGCTTGAAGTTATTTGGTTTTGCTTTTGATTTGAATTTGCTGCGAAAAAAAAGAAAAAGAAAAGAAAAGAAAAGAAATGTGGGCGGAGCCAGCTGCAATGAGGGATATGGTGTGTGGCGCTACCAGCGAACTGTCGGCTATGAGAGATGTTGAAATATTTCGCGTGATGCAGAATGAATCAAGTTTTGAACTTCTTGTTGAAGCTCTGCACGTCTTCGAAAGAAGAAGTTGATACAGAGATAATTTTATTTAATTGAAAAAATTTGATAATAATTTTTTTTCATAAAAGTTAAGGACCTATTTTTCATGAGAAATAAAGAAGTTAACAACCCCATTCTGTGCTTTTCCGGACCAAAAACATGTATATTTTGAAAAATATCAATCCACTGGCGTAATTCTGACAACTCGATACGAAAAATTCTTGATATAATTTTGAAACGTATAATTTTCAGGGAATTTTTTTTTGGCTATAATTTTTTTTTTCTTTGAAAAATTCAAACAAAACTAGCAATAAAATCACATCTTTTTACTCGAAAAAACACTGAAAAAAGCAAGAAAAATCATCCTGTCTGCATTTTTGCGTGCATTTGTGTGTGTGGTGACGCAAAAATGCACAATGATGCATTTTATTTTCTTTTTTTTTCTTGAAAGAAAGTTCACTCGCTAGTTTTGAAATTGATAGTTTGTTATTTTTTTCTAGATTACATCTATAATTTTGCAGATGATTTTGCAGATGAAAATAACATGTTTTGCTCCTCTCGTCGAGACGATTCTAAAATTTCCCTGTAAAAATGATATTTCAAAAAATTTTTTTTTTTTTTTTTGAATTTTTTTTCATTATTTCTTCAGGAGGCAGTATAAGTAGATGATTATGACAAATTGATGGTTATTCAGATTGTAAGATTCAGATTCAGATTCAATAAATCTCCTCTCGAACATTGTGCAAAGAATGGCGATTGCGGTATGAGAAGAAGGCGGAGAGAGCGTAGAAAATGGCGAGAATGAAGGTGAGGAACTGCAACAAAAATGGATTTCGGAGCAAAAACTAACAAGAAAACTTACAGCTGCAAATGCCCACTCATAAACAATTCGACATCCATTGTGAATGAAACCATCGGATCCCATATCATTGCAATTATTTGACCAAGATCCCGTGGAATAATAGGCTTCGATGAATGAAAGAATGAAGAAAAGGATTGAGCAAGTTACGTTGAATAGAAGATCCTGGAATTGGGGGAGATTTATTGTGAAAAAAAAGTGAAAAAATAAAATAATTGTTTTTGAAATCGCTCAGCCGACGGAAATTTCGAAAGTGTTTGCACATAGTGTGTCGCTAGAGCGCACATGCTGGTTTTGTCGTTTGAAAATACAGCAATCTGTTTTTTTCCAGTGTTTCTTGTGTCTTTAAAGTGGTGATTCAGGTGTCACGTGGCAAGAGAGGAAATTTTGAATTCAAAAAAATTCGCGCCAGAATTTATTTCACGAGAAAACATTTATTTTTCATTTTTTTCTGGATTCTAAAAGTTATTGCCACGTGGCTAAATAATTTTTTTGAAATTAAATTTTTTTTATTCGGAAAAATGTGTGATTTTTTTATAGGGTGATTCAGGTCGAAAAAAAACTTTAAAAAAATAAAATTTTTACGAAAAATTTTGGTTCAGCAAATGTCAAAAAACCAAATTTTTTTGAAAAAAAACTTTTTTTTAAATTTTTTCCTATTTGTTTTTTTATTTTCGCTGCAGAAAAAATATCAAAAATTAGGAAAAATATAGTTTTTTGACATTTTCTGTATCGAAAATGACTGATTTTGCAGTTTGCTAGGTTTTTTCGAACTGCAAGGAGTACTGTAGAGCTAGATTTTTTCGAACTGCAAGGATTACTGTATCAAGCGATTTTTTCAATACAAATTCTACTGTAATTTTGAATTTTTCAGGAGTTTTTCGAACTGCAAGGAGTACTGTAGCTTTGAATTCTCTAGACTTTTTCGAACTGCAAAAATAACTGATTTTCTAGTTCCCTAGGTTTTTTCAAACTGCAAGGGTTACTGTATTGGGAATTGGTAGAACTGCAAGGAGTACTGTAACCCTAGATTTTGTAGAAATTTCGGAATTGCAAGGATTACTGTATTAGAATATTTTCCAACTGCAAGAGGTACTGTAAGCAACGTGACGCAAAAATGCACAAAAATTTTTTTCAAGAGCAAAGTTGCTCTATTGAACAGTGTGCAAACTGCATGCAAATTTGAATTTTATTTTTTTTTTCAAAATTTGTAAAATTCGTGCTCACCGCCTCTCTCCAACAGAAAAAGTCCAAATGGCTCAAATGAAGTGTGAAAAAGTAGGCGATGAGGAAAATGAAGGTGAGAAGCATGGCGACGCTGGCGACAATCAGTAGAATTGTTTGACCGAAAAGGACACCTTTGAATGGTCCCGGACCAAAAACTGACACGATCAAGCACACGATGACGATGCACAGGAACTGCAAAAATGTGGGATTGGGAAAATTTTAGTGAAAATTCCTGCAAATCTATGTAGCCACGTGGATTTTTGAGACATTTTTCTGAAGTTTTTATATGATTTTTTCGAACTGCAAGAAGTACTGTAGTTCTGGAGCTCCAAACTGCAAGGATTACTGTAGCTCTGGATTTTCTAGGATTTTTGGAAGCAAAAGGATTACTGTAGTTCTGTATTATTTCGAGCTGCAAAGGTTACTGTAGTTCTAGACTTTACTGGGGTTTTTCTTCGAACTGCAACGGGTTACTGTAGTTCTTGAATTTCGAGCTGCAAGGGTTACTGTAGCTCTGTATTTTTAAAGGATTATTTTTTTGAACTGTAAGGATTACTGTAGCTCTGAATTTTACTGGATTTTTTCGAACTGCAACGGGTTACTGTAGTTCTTGAATTTCGAGCTGCAAAGGTTACTGTAGTTCTGAATTTTACTGGATTATTTTTTTGAACTGTAAGGATTACTGTAGCTCTGAATTTTACTGGATTTTTTCGAACTGCAACGGGTTACTGTAGCTCTGGATTTTACTGGAATTTTTTTTGAACTGCAAGAAGTACTGTAATTCTGAACTTCCGAGCTGCAAGGGTTACTGTAGCTCAGAATTTTTTTTCAAAAAATCTTTGAAAAGTTCAGACATCTTGAAAACTTTAATTTTTTCTGAAATCTAAAATCCACGTGGCTTTTTATCATCTGAATTTTCTTCCAAACTCCAGCCCCAAAAAAGAAACTGACAATCTCAATAATCCTCAAAATTCCATGCGGTCCCATACAATAATATTTGTCGGTCGGACCTCTGGCACACGACCAAACACTGTGCTCTTTGAATTTGGTTTGCTCACGGGTAGTTGTCGTGACGTAGGTTCCATCGGGTTGTTGAGTTGTGTAAACTTCACGGCGCTCCATTATTAATTAGCTTAATTAATTTATATTAGGAGATTATAGAGGAAAAAATTTAAAAAAATTGTCGCAGGCACCGGGGGTCGAACCAAAACGCCTCGACTCTCGACGCGCGCCATAGACCACTCGTACACGCGCGCCTTTTTTCCAGCATGCTAAGATTGTTAAGAAATTCTTGGAGCGCGAATAATAATTTTAATTAGACAAATTTAATTAAATTTTTAATTACCTAATTTAAAAGCTTTAAAAAAAGGAAAAATGCAAAATCTCCAACAAACACAGAAAAATAGAAAAATTGCTGCGACCACACCCAAAAATAGACAGGAGACACAAAAAATTAGTCGGTTGTATCTATCGCTCTGCGTCTCTATGATTTGCGTACTCTCTCGTCTCGCCATACATTTTTTATCGATTATTACTAGTCCTAAAATGCGGTGTAAACAACAAAAAACGAATTGAAAAGAAAAATAAATAGAAAAATGTTGAAAATGCAAAAAGTTTTATGACTTGTACGAAATTCCAGGATTGGGGTACTGTAGCTTTGAAATTTGGAACTGCAAGGATTACTGTAGATTCAGATTTTTTCGAACTGCAAAAATAACCGATTTTCTAGATTCCTAGGTTTTTTCGAACTGCAAGGGTTACTGTAGATTTTGAATTTTCTACCAGTTTTTCGAACTGCAAGGATTACTGTATCAATCGATTTTTTCAATACAAATTCTACTGTAATTTTGAATTTTTCAGGAGTTTTCCAAACTGCAAGAGGTACTGTAACTTTTGATATTCTTGGAATTTTTCGAACTGCAAGGATTACTGTAGCTTTCGATTTTCTACGAGTTTTTCGAACTGCAAGAGGTACTGTAGTTCTAGATTTTTTCGAACTGCAAGGACTACCGTATCAAGCGATTTTTTCAATACACATTCTACTGTAATTTTGAATTTTTCAGGAGTTTTTCGAACTGCAAGAGGTACTGTAGCTTTGAAGTTTTGAATTCTCTAGATTTTTCGAACTACAAACATAACTGATTTTCTAGTTTCCTATGTTTTTTCGAACTGCAAGGATTACTGTAGTTCAGGATCATTGGGTTTTTTTTCGGACTGCAAGGAGTACTGTAACTCTGGATTTTTCAGGAGTTTTTCGAACTGCAAGGAGTACTGTAACTCTGGATTTTTCAGGAGTTTTTCGAACTGCAAGGATTACTGTAGCTTTGGATTTTCTGGGATTTTTTCGAACTGCAAGAACTACTGTGGGTTTTTGAAGTTACTGTAAATCTCGATTTTCAAAAAATGAAGCTTTGGGATTTTTTTTGATGCATTTGCAACTGTGTGAACGAATTTTGCAAAAGATTTTTGTGAATCACCAATTTTTGAAACGTATTTTTCCAAAGTGTTTTTCCAAAATAATATTTGTTTTACAACAAAAAACATAACACATGATATCGATTTTTCTGCCAATTTTTATTTTTTTCAACAAAAAAACATTTTTTTTTTTTGAAAAAATCGGTGATTCATAAAAGAAATCTATTCAAGTCTATTGAAAAAAGTGATTTTTTCAATTATTTTTCGGGCTATTTAAAAAGCTGGAATTTTCTGAATAATCAGAAATCTGACTGAGAAAAATGCACGGTCTTTTATTTTTCATCCCACTGATTTTCTTCTTGATGTCTGCTGCTGAAATTCAATCCAAGTATCATTCTTCGATCAAAAGTTGCTCGAGTTCGGAGCAAAGTTCAACTGTTAACAATGTGACAACTTCGATTGTGAGTTTGGCAGAAAAAATTATGCCTAGAGATTTTTTGAGGCTCAATTTTGAGCTACAAATTTTCTCGAGAAGGGATTTCAAATTTTTTGGTAAAAAATGGCTCAAAATTTGAAAAGCGAACCTTTTTTTGCGAAAAAACATTTGGATTTTTGCGATAAATTTTTCTCATGAAATTTTTGAATTTAGAAACAGTGTCGAACTGCAAGGATTACTGTACTTCTTTGGAACTGCAAAAATTCAATCAAAGTCCTACGAACTGCAAGAGTTACTGTAGCTCAGGATTTTCAAACTGCAAGGATTACTGTAGTTTTAGGTTTTCTAGAAATTTTGGAACTGAAAGGATTACTGTAGTTTTAGGTTTTCTAGAAATTTTGGAACTGCAAGAGTTACTGTAGCTCCGAATTTTCTGGAATATTTTCAAACTGAAAGGATTACTGTACTTCTAAATTTTGGAACTGCAAGGATTACTGTAGTTTCAAGTTTTCTAGAAATTTTGGAACTGCAAGGACTACTGTAGTTTTGGATTTCCTAGAAATTGTGATACTGCAAGGATTAGTTCACTTCTGGATATTCAAACTGCAAGGATTACTGTAATTCTAAATTTTTGAACTGCAAGGATTACTGTAGTTCTGGATTTTCAAACTGAAAGGATTGCTGTACTTCTAAATTTTGGAACTGCAAGGATTACTGTAGTTATCACTAAAAATATGTCATTTTTGCAGACCGTGAAAACCTATCAAATCGACGGAATTTGCAATCAATACAACAAAACTGTGGAAAACTCGATTGAAAACGTCGAAAATTTCAAAACATCGTGCACAAAATCAAATTGTCATGATTTATCTGTGTCAATTTCATGTGATGAGTTCGAAAATGCGAAATGTCAATAATTTTTTTCGCTGAAAATTTTTTTTTGAATTATAAAACTCATTTTCGAACTGCAAAGCATACTGTAGCTATGGTTTTTTTGAACAGAAGCTGTAGTTTCCGGACATTTTCGAACTGCAAGGATTACTGTAGCTCTAGGTTTAATACGAACTCCAAGAGTTACTGTAGCTCAGGATTTTCTACAAGTTTTTCGAACTGCAAAAAGTACTGTAGCTCAGGTTTTCTAGAATTTTGATGAACTGCAAAAAGTACTGTAGCCCTGGATTTTTGAAAAAAAAACCTTTTTGATTCAAAAGTTTTTCGAACTGCAAGGAATACTGTAAGTCTGGCACATTTTTTTCGAGAGAATCTAGGAAATTGAAGAAGATCTAGAGCTACAGTAATTCATGCAGTTCGGGAAAAATCTATAAACGTGGCATTTCAGAAAAAAAAATGAAAACTGAAAATCTCTAGTTTTCAAGTGAAAAAAATCAGAATTTTGAAAAAAAAAATTTCAGAAAAAAATTAATTTCAAAAAATCTGGAAAAAGGCCACATGTAATTTTTTTTTGAAAATTTTTCCAGAAAAAAATTGATTTTATTGACTGCAAGGATTACTGTAGTTTTGAATTTTCCCCAGATTCTCTCAAACTGCAAAGATTACTGTAGTAAAAATCACAAAATCGAACATTATTGTTGTTTTTGATGACGTCATCATTTTCAACCCCCCGATTTTCTCCTATTGAACAAGACAAAAAAAATGCCCAAAGCAAGGTCATTTCTCGATTTGCTAAACAGAAAAAAAAATATATTATATGATGTGTCCACATTTTTTTCTCGCTTTCCTGCTAACCTTTTTCGGGTCGCCTTCTTTTTTGTTTAAACAAAAATTATTACACACTTTTTTTTGGTAGAAAAATAAAAAAAAAAAACTTTGAACAGCAGAAAGAAAATTGGATGACGAACTGATTATTTCTGGTTTTTTGAGAGATTTTTTTTCGTTTTTAATTGTAAAATCAAATTTTTTTAGGTGACCGGAAGTTTTTTATTACATGATTGCAAGAAAAACATTTGTAGGTCAAGATTTTTGTTTTGATAGAATTTTTTTTGGAAAAATTTGGAAATTGAAATATTTTTAGCCTAAAATTCAAGCCTAAGCCCTCTAGAAGCCTAAAATTAAAGCCTAAGCCCTCCAGAAGCCTAAAATTTAAGCCTGAGCCCTCTAGAATCCTAAAATTTAAGCCTAAGCCCTCTAGAAGCTTAGAATTTAAGCCTAAGCCCTCTAGAAGCCTAAAATTCAAGCCTAAGCCCTCTAGAAGCCTAAAATTTAAGCCTAAACCCTCTAGAAGCCTAAAATTTGAGCCTAAACCCTCTAGAAGCCTAAAATTTAAGCCTAAACCCTCTAGAAGCCTAAAATTTAAGCCTAAGCCCTCTAGAAGCCTAAAATTCAAGCCTGAGCCTTCTAGAAGCCTAAAATTTAAGCCTAAGCCCTCTAGAAGCCTAAAATTTGAGCCTAAGCCCTCTAGAAGCCTAAAATTTAAGCCTAAGCCCTCTAGAAGCCTAAAATTTAAGCCTAAACCCTCTATAAGCCTAAAATTTGAGCCTAAGCCCTCTAGAAGCCTAAAATTTGAGCCTAAGCCCTCTAGAAGCCTAAAATTTAAGCATAAGCCCTCTAGAATCCTAAAATTTAAGCCTAAGCCCTCTAGAAGCCTAAAATTCAAGCCTAAGCCCTCTAGAAGCCTAAAATTTAAGCCTAAGCCCTCTAGAAGCCTAAAATTTGAGCCTAAGCCCTCTAGAAGCCTAAAATTTAAGCCTAAGCCCTCTAGAAGCCTAAAATTTAAGCCTAAGCCCTCTAGAAGCCTAAAATTTAAGCCTAAGCCTAAAATTTAAGCCTAAACCCTCTAGAAGCCTAAAATTTAAGCCTAAGCCCTCTAGAAGCCTAGAATTTAAGCCTAAGCCTAAAATTTAAGCCTAAGCTCTCTAGAAGCCTAAAATTTAAGCCTAAGCCCTCTAGAAGCCTAAAATTTAAGCCTAAGCCCTCTAGAAGCCTAAAATTTAGGCCTAAGCCTAAAATTTAGGCCTACCCCTTTTCAAGCTTGAAATTGCCCTGATTTTTTTCTGGAAAAAAAATATTTTGATTTTTTTCTTCCACTGAAAAATTACGTTTCAACAAAAATACCTCCTAATTTTTTAACTGTATTTTTTTTCTTCAAAAAACTTTCCTTTTTCCTAATTTGTTCCTCAAGTTCAAGTTTTCTGTACTTTTTTCAGTCTAATTAATTTTCATTAATTTTTAACAAGTTTTCTCTTCACTCAACCTACAATTTGATTTTTTTTTGTTCCTCAAAAAAAAATTTTTTAATTTTTTTTTGGCCATAACTTTCACTTTTTCTGACACCTTTTTTGAATCTTGATAAAAATTTAAAGCAAAAAAAAATTTCAGATTTTTTTTTCAAACTAAAAAATGGGTTCTCAAAAACCTGAAGAGCAGCAGAAAAAACATGGTAAGACAAATTTTCAAATTTTTTTTTCAAATTAAAAAAAAATTTTCCTAGAGCCCACAAAACTGGTCCAAGGAATCGCGTGGTTTTTCTCGAAATGGGCACATTTTGTGGCGCGAAATTCGATTTTTCTCATCGTTTTGTGCACAATTTTGACGCTGGTTGGCACTTTTAAAATTGCCACGACGCCGTGAGTTTGGGCATTTGACACGTGGCATTTCAGACAAAAAAATGAAACTGAAAATCTCAAAAAAAAAGTTCAAAAAATTTCAGAATTTTGAAAAAATGTGGCATTGAAAAATCCAAAAAATTTCAGAAAAAAAAATTGATTTCAAAAAATCTTCAAAAAAGCCACGTGGAATTTTTTTTCTTGAAAATGTTTCCCTAAAAATTCAAAAATTTCAGAAATCAGAATTTTTTTCCAAAAAAAATTGATTTTATTGACTGCAAGGATTACTGTAGTTTTGGATTTTCCTAGATTCTTTCGAACTGCAAGGATTACTGTAGTTTTGAATTTTCCTAGATTTTCTCGAACTGCAAGAATTACTGTAGTTTTGAATTTTCCCAGATTTTCTCAAACTGCAAAGATTACTGTAGTTTTGATTTTTCCTAGATTCACTCAAACTGCAAAGATTACTGTAGTTGAGTTTTCAAAAAAAAAATCCACGTGGCAAAATTTCTTCTGAAAAAACAAAATTTGAAATTAAAAAAAAATCCACGTGGCATTTTTTTCTTTTGAAAATAAAAATTTTGAAATTCTGGAAAAAAGCCACGTGGCATTTTTTTTTTGAAAAAAACAAATTTTAAAAATCCACGTGTCATTTTTTCTTCTGAAAAAAAAACAAAATTTGAAATTTTTCAAAAAAAAAATCCACGTGGAAAATTTTCTTTTAAAAATACAAATTTTTAAATTTTTCAAAAAAAAAAAATTAATTTTAAAAAATCTGAAAAAAACCCACGTGGAATTTTTTCTTCTGTAAAAAAAAACAAATTTTGAAACTTTTTTTTTTCAAAAAAAAAATCCACGTGCCATTTTTTTTGAAAATTTTCTGTTAAAAATCCAAAAAATTTCATAAATCGGGATTTTTCCAAGAAAAAAATTTAATTTTAAAAAATCTGGAAAAAAGCCACGTGGTTTTTTTCTGAACTAACAAATGTCTATAGAACTTTCTGAAAATCCACGTGGCCTTGAAAAATCCAAAAATTTCAGAAATCAGAATTTTTTACGAGAAAAATGTTGATTTTATTGACTGAAAAGATTACTGTAGTTTTGAATTTTCCAAAAAAATCTCTTTAGAACTTCCTAAAAATCCACGTGGCACAGAAAAAAGGAATAAAATCCCTTGTGAAATGCAAGAAAATCGAAATTTTTTTTGGTAGAAAACATCCACGTGGAAAAAAATTCCCTAACAGCCTCCTAGACTTCCACAAAAATGTCCAAAAATCTCAGAAACGAAAACGACATCACCGGCTACACACCATACGGTGCTCGAGCTCGCGACGAATTCAACGTCATGACCGATTTCTTCTCGCAAAACGGCGCCGGCATCGCCACATTCATCTTGATCATTCCAACTCGCCGTGAAAATGTGTTGGACCCGCGAGTTCTTCGCGAAGCGCTGCGAGTCGAGCGAATTCTCTCGACAGAATTCAAGATTCGCGGCGAGAATTTTCAGCAATACTGTTCCACATTCTGCCAGATCAATGAGCCATTTGTGCAATTCGCGCAGAATTATTTGGTCGAATCGGAGATGACTGAACCTTCGGAGCGGATTAATCTCAGCTATCCGATCACAACAATCTATTCGCAGAAGATGAGTATTCAACCGAATTTTTTTGGGATTCAGATGCAAAATTCCACTGATGTTCTAGATCCTGTGGATTCAAGAAAGATCAGTAATTTGAAGTCGTCGAAATTAATTGCTTTACAATTGCGAGCTGAGAGAAAACCAGGGTGGACTACACAATTGATCAAAGACTATGAGATGTCGATTACGAATTATTTTGAAAAGTTAGTTATGACGTGGCAGTCTTGAAATTTCAGTTTTTAAATCTGAAATTCAGAATCTGCTACAAATTTCAGCCTAAAAACTTCAGTCTCTAATTTTTGCGAAAATTTTTCAGATTCCAAAATTCAGAAGTTTTCAGGTTTGCAAAATTTTCGGTCTCAAAATTTCAGCTCTGAAATTTGGAATCGGAATTTTACAAATTTCAGATCACATTCAAAAATTTTTGGGACAAAGTATTTTAAGGCTGAAATTTTGAGCCTTGAATTTATAAAAAAAATATTCTGAAATTTAAAAATTTCAGATCACTTTTAAAAATTATTTGTTTTAAGGTTGAAATTTTAGGACTGAAATTTGAGAGCTGAAATTTTCAGCCTTAAATTCATTACCGAAATTTCAAGATTTTGCAGAAAGCCTTAAGGTAAAAAAATGCAGTCTTAAAATTTCAGCCTTTGAAATTTGATCTGAAATTCGGAATCTGAATTTTACAATTTCAGATCACATTTTTAAATTATTT